GGAAACCGAGACAATCCGTCTGTTCAAGTACAAAAACAAAAGACCATAGATTTCAGTAAGTCAGTATAAATAACATTAAATCAGTGTTAGCTATGTTATGTCCGCTTTCTGTTGGTTTGGGTCGAGAGGAAAGCTAAGTGTACTCTTTTATGATAGATTAATTTTCGCCCATCGAAAACGAAAACGAAAGTCGGCTTAAGGCAACGCTCATAGGTGTAATGGGTGGACAAACAAGAAGAGACTAATCAAGAATCAAGCCGGATATATAAAAAAAGGTTCAACAAGTGCCAAACCGATATATTTGTTTTTCTTTCATTCGACTGTTTCACAGTCCTTGGTAAAGAATATGTCAACATTTAAATTAAGAGAAACAGTGAATTTTTAAAAACTTTTCATATACATTTACTTTTATCAGAGACATATATATATGTGTATATATGTCTCTGCTTTTATACAGGATATTGCAAATTTGAGATACGCCATGCTCGTAAGACCCTTCCGTTAATATCATTATAACCTTTTATTACATTTTCATAATGAAAAGGGTCAGATAAAGTGGAAAATAACGCGTTCTCTTTTAGACCGACGTCAATAAGTAGGTACAGGTATGGGTTGTTTTCATACGATATGAAAGCATATGACGGAATAAATGAGTCGTCTTTCAGCTAATAAAAGATCAACATTTTATATGAATTGAACACTCAGTTGTACATATGACAAAGAGGAAAATCGGACTTTATCAAATAAGGTATTAAATTAATGTCATTAATGAAGTCTGTTTTTTTAACAAGAGACAAGGATTTTATAATATGAAAAAGATGGGAAAACTAAAGGCAAAACTAAAATTGTTGAATCACAAGCAATACAGTTGAGTAATTAGAACTTTAAAAACCAATAAAATTGAATTAAAAAAATGTGGTTTTGAAGTAGAAGTTGAAAGAATTGTACATAATGTATATACATACAATTCTTTGGTAAAACTATAAATACCATATGTTTTTGGTAAGTTTCTGGCATCCTTTGACATACCACGGTAAAACAAAATCAAACATATTGAGTTAATGATAACAGAGATATATAATCTGATAAATATTACATCATGTTGTGTGTTTTAATGTTGTGTTTGTATTACCTTATATTCGGTAAAAAGCTCTTAAGAGCTTATGTTTGTATTGTTATATGTGAACCGAATCAAAATAAAACTTTCGTATTAGTATTCGTATCAACTAATATTCTTGAACATCAAGACTGCATGAAGTCAGCCATTAAACACCAAATCTCCATTTGCTTTCTCTCGTACGTATCACGCCGGGTCACTTGTCTCCATGAAAACGTTTAAGTTAACTTACCACAATATACAAGGCATATTTGTGTTACAGAAACAAGACTTAAAGTATCTGTGCACCGAGCTGTGGAAAAAGAAATAAAACAAAACTATCACAATATTTGCCGTTTCAGTCCCTTTTCCTCAACGGTACTTTAAACGTTTTGCCCCAAACAACATCGTTTTTGTGTGTAAATATCATTACATAGACTGCTTGATAAATGAATTAGGTATTGACAATTCACTTGGAAACTCAACATATACCCTCACGACACTTACCAAAGAGGAAATCCTGGATAATCATAGGTCTGTTCTATGTTCCTTTGGAATTTCAACCAAAGACGAAGAACTGGATCTTCCATCACTGTATTGGATACGTAAACTACATAAGTGTCCTTACAAACAACGGTATATTGCTGGGTCTTCCAAGTGCTCCACGAAACCTCTTTCTAAATTATTAACATCCATTTTATCAGCAATCAAAGCCGGGCTCCAAAGTTATTGTGAAACTGCCTATTCTAGAGGTGGCGTGAATCAGATGTGGATACTAAAAAATTCCAAAGATCTTTTAGAGTACATACAATCTAAGACTCTCTCATCTTGCAAAAGTATTAAAACATTTGACTTTTCCACACTTTACACAAGTATTCCCCATTGCAAACTAAAAGACAAATTAAAAGAGTTGGTATTACTTTGTTTCATTAAAAAGAATGGCGAACGTAGATACAAGTATCTTGTCTTGGGAAGGGATAAATCCTACTTTGTAAAGAATCACTGATTCAAACAAAACATTCTCTGAAACTGACATTATCAAGATGCTTGATTTCTTGATTGACAATATATTTGTTATGTTTGAAGGACGTGTTTTTCAACAGACTGTCGGCATTCCAATGGGAATCAATTGTGCCCCTCTGCTTGCTGACTTGTTTCTTTATTATTATGAGGCTGACTTCATACAGGAACTTCTTAGGAAGAAAGATAAGAAGTTAGCAATATCATTTAACTCTACCTTCCACTATATAGATGATGTTCTCTCACTAAATAATACAAAATTTGGTGACTATGTTGAACGAATCTATCCCATCGAACTAGAGATAAAGGATACTACAGATACAGTTAAGTCTGCCTCATATCTTGACTTACATCTAGAAATTGACAATGAGGGTCTGTTGAAAACAAAACTTTACGACAAAAGAGATGATTTCAGCTTCCCAATTGTGAACTTTCCATTTCTATGTAGCAACATTCCAGCAGCACCTGCATACGGAGTATATATCTCCCAATTGATACGATATTCCCGGGCTTGTGTTTCCTATCATGATTTCCTTGATAGAGGATTGCTGCTCACAAGGAAGATATTAAACCAAGAGTTCCAAATGGTGAAGTTGAAGTCATCCCTTCGTAAATTTTACGGATGCCATCACCAGTTGGTTGACCGTTATGGAATAACCGTTTCACAGATGATATCGGATATGTTCCTTTATGTCATAACTAAAATACCCTCCCTTTTCACGAATGTGACTTACCGAATTAGACTATTTACCGGATTTGTAATAAGATAAGCAACATGACGGATGCCACATGTGGAGCAGGATCTGCTTACCCTTCCGGAGCACCTGAGATCACCCCCAGTTTTTGGTGGGGTTCATGTTGCTTAGTCTTTGGTTTTCTATGTTGTGTCATCTGTACTATTATTTGTCTGTTTGTCTTTTTATTTTTGGCCATGGCGTTGTCAGTTTGTTTTCGATCTATGAGTTTGACTGTCCCTCTGGTATCTTTCGTCCCTCTTTTTGCCAATTACAGCTTCTACTCAACAAATATCAAAGTCTTTGATTTGAACTGCTATAACACTGATATGAATGCCCCAGCAACTAGGGACATTATATGTTTACTGGTATGAGCGTCTGACCGATTTTATGTTCATGATGATCCGTCCCACATCAAGTTTTAAAGTTTTGGCAATTCCAAATTGAAGATGAAGTTTTGGATTTGATCACCCGTTTACACGTACAGTTCAATGAACATGACACTGTGATAAACACATTGATGTGGCTTTAACTATTTTATTTGTATGTTCATCAGTTTCTTATTTAAATTACATTGTGCATGTTTCTTAATCCCTTCTGAGTCCAGAGTGATTTTCTGATAAATTTGGCCACTCCGGACTCTACATCTAAATCTACATCTACGACATAGCTGCAAAGCTATGTCATCACTTGAAAAAGGTACTTTGACCCATCACTCAAGTATAGATTTTAGTTTGACGTCTTCCAACATGACAAAAAAATTTGGATTTAACATTTAATAAACAATAGCTCCAAATTGTGCTCCAAATTTATGTACAGGTGCTGGTTAAAAATTTCATCTATCTTTTGTTTTTGTTGGTTAGCCACTACAGAGAAGCTTGGTGAGTTTGGTCTTGAATTCCTCAATGCTCTTAATCTCTAGTAGTTCGTCTGGTAGTTTATTCCAGTCTCTGATGGTCTGAGGAAAAAAGCTGTACTTGTAAATATCTTTGTTTGGCTTGATTTGTACGTATCTTTTAGTATTCGGTTGATGGAGTCTCGAAGTTCTTCTTGGTTTTAAAATGTGTGATGGAATAGGTACATGTATAGCAACCTTTTCATGGATGCCATGGCTTTATGAAAGAGTGTTATACGTGCTATTTTTCTTCTGGTTTCTAGTGGTGTCATGTTAAAAATCAGAATCCCAAAAGGGATTTACATGTTACATGTACTATGTGAAATTTTAGGATTTTATCCAAAAAACAGTTTTTATCCCAAATTCCCAAATACGATAGTGTGAAATGGAAATTGGTAGAAATACAGAAAGATGCATGTATTTTTTCAAATTTTAGTTTAAAGTATTTTTTATGTGATATACAATATAATAAATTTATTTGTTACCCATATTTAATTAAGTGAACTTCACGGTGAAAAAAGGTTTATAGATTTTTCCAAAAACACCCATAAACACTGAATAACATTATCATGATTATAACACTTCAATTTTTTTGTACTGATTGTACAAGACGTCCTTCTTAGAATTAAAAGAAAATGTTTTATCAATTATTCATTTGTCTATTTTCTAAGTTTATTTTTTATGTCTTGTTCCAACTAATTGTAACATGTTAAGTTTGGTGGTGCATACCTGCCAACCTCTGAAACCTTCAAAGAGGGAGATCTCCCTCTCAACTATGACAGCTGAGGGGGAGATTTTGCGCGATCGACATTTTCAAGTTGAATATATGACCTGTTTACGTATTCATCTACAAAACACCAAGTGTCAATAAATATACTTTATTTCTCCAATTTATGGTTATAATCTATACAACAAGGTGTTTTTTTTAGCCTTTTTTAATACTGTGACATAATCTCCAATTTGTTGAAGACAGTTACTATATGGTAGAAGTAGATTACCTCCGAGTCTCATAACTCATAACATTCCATATTTTGATTTTGAAAGTGGGAGATTTTTTACTCTATTAGATGTAACTAAAATATGGTGATGCATATTTTATGATTATTCCCATGTGTCCTTATAGTTTAAACCCTTTAAACTTTGGTTCTTTCTATGCATTGTTATGTATATCAATCCTCGTACACAAATACATGTACACATATTCTTTATTACCTTTATAATACGTAACATGTAGATTTTCATGTTTCAGAGATTGGTATGTGTTCACAGCATCCCCAAAAAAGAAGAATGTTGTCATTGTTGTGGATGAGAGTGGCTCAATGTCAATTCCTAATGGAGGATTTAAACATCCAAATACCACACTGAGAGTTGATATTGCAAAAGATGCAGCAAGAACGGTACTTGAAACCTTCAGTCCTACAGATCATGTAAGTTAGTAAATTGGGTATAAGAATGCCTTTTGAGAGACAGTATTGACAAGAAGTCATGAATTTATAGAATCCTTATACAGTAAAAACCTGACAAAAATCTGTAAAAGGAACATATTTTTGTTTGAATTGTTTTGCATTTGTCATTTCGGGACAGTTTATAGCTTGCTATGCGGTATGATTTTGCTCATTGTTGAAGGCTTGATGGTGACTTTATTATACTTCTACTTCATTTGGTCTCTGTTGGAGTGTTGTCTCATTGGCAATCATACCCCATTCACTTATTTTTTTATTAATAATTTCTGATCAAAATTTTCTGTAAAAAGAGATTTTGATTTGTTTGTTATAATAAGTCATGAACTGAGAAATCCTTATGGTTGTCACTTTAATTTCTAGGTGATACGTTAAATTTTTATGCAACTTTCAATTATTGTTTGTAAGAAATTTTGGTGATTGTACCATATAATTTTATGTTTCATTACAGGTTGGTGTTGTAGCTTTCAGTAACGAACCAAGGAGTCCATCTGGCTGTCATGGAAGCAAAGTAGCCAGAGCTACAGTAGAGAATAAGAAAATCATTCACCAGTTTCTTGATAGTATCAAACCAAAGAGTAAGTAGACAATATAAAGCCACATTTCTAAATAATCTGGCTGACTTATCGAAGACCACTTAGCCAAAACAAAAACAAATTTCATGCCCTATGATAGTAGAGGAACATTCTGTTTTCTGATCTGTGCGTCATCCTTTGTTTTGTCTTTTCAATACCAGGATAGGGTTTTTGGTCTAGGTAGTTTATAATGAAGTTAAAGTCACAACAACTTAATAAACAGGTTCATTATGATGTTAACTTTCTAAATTATATGCCAAATTACGATTTTGACCCCCAATTTCAAAGAACATGGAAATGCCGTTTTGAGAAACCAGTACATTTTCATGGAAAAGTTTTTGGTTAAGGTTGTGATAATGTGAGCAGGGCATGGTGTGTTGTGGACACATGTTCTTGTTTTTCTCTCTTATTTTTTTTTTGCTAAACTTAATCCTCAAACTGTAGTAGCCATTTTATGACTTTGATCTTGTCAAAACACCAAAGAAGATATCATTTTTCATGTAAAAAACACTTGTGAATTCTCACTTGCTTGCCTTTTGTTTGTCATTTTTTTGTAAAATGTACTTTATTTGATATTCTGTTTTGCTAGTAAAACTGTATTTGCAAAAGTCAAACCCCCCATGTGACTTTGGTTGCTCTTCCTATGCATCATTATTATTCTTTGAATGGTACTTGACCTGCTTGGTAGGGGTTAATAGTTTTACACTGATGAAATCAATTATGTACTAATTATTTGTTTAAATGTTTGGACTGTTCAAGTTAAAAGCAATTTGTGATGATGTGTACACTTGTTGTTTTTGGTTACAATGTCTGCATTAATATTTGTTTATTCATTTCTTTTAGAGGACACCTATTATGGAAAAGCATTCAGATCAGCTTTTGGACTGTTGAGAGAAGCAAAACAGCAGACACCAGTATGTATATACATAACATGAGAACAAATAAAGATAAATGTCGCATAGATGTACAAGAGGCGAATTCACTTTTATACTACTCAAGTCAACAGTAATTATAAATATTTTAATTAATGGTTCAAGCAATGAAAAAGATATCATGTTGAAGATAAAGTTAAAACTTCATCAGTTGTACATGTCTTCCAGAAAAGATGGAAGAAAGCCTTTTGTGTTGAATATTCCTGTTTATACATGTTTTGTCAACTGAGAATAGGTAATGGTTCAAAACACTACCGGTACATGTAAAGCACTCAAAATTGCCAAATTTAAAAACCAATTAAAACATACTTTTGCCATGCTTTTGGAGGGTTACACATTCCATTTAATTACGTGCTGACTTCAGATCAGCCTTCTTTTATTCATTATTGTTTGTTTAATATCGATTTTCGTGGATTTTGTGTGTATAGGAGATCCACAATTTTCAATGTTCAATGAAGTATAAATTTTCTATAGATTAGTATGCAGACTTTGGCAAAACCACAAAATCTAATATACACGAAAATACAATTTTTCCTCAATCCACGAAAATTGGTATTGACGAAAATAAATATATCCACAGTACTCATATTCTCTATTACAGGATCAGTTTGAGAACTCCCTAGACATGATACTGTTTTTAACAGATGGAACTCCATCAGAATCTAATATAAACAGTATATTAGAAGAAATTGTTCATGGACAGGACAGCGTGGTAATAACCATATGATAATACACTTTCTTTTTTTCACATGTATAGCAAAATCAGCCATAAAGGCTATAAAAATGTGAAAACAAATCAAATTAAAAAAAAGCATCCTGATTTATGACAAAACAATAATGAAAAACAGAATGACATTATTTACAGATTAAGATTTTGAAATTAGGGTTATTACAAAAAGCTTGCTTGCATTTCACTTGTACACTGCATTTTCAAGAAAATCATTCTTTTGCAGTTGAATTGCTACCAATGAATTAACACGGAAAATGTTTGTTTTTGTAATAGTTTATATATTTGTTGGAGGAAAACTGAAATTAATGGTAACAATAGCCATTTTACTCCCAGAGGTATGGAACTCTGTTGTAAGATTTTTTTTCTCTTAATTTTCTCATAAACCTCTTGGTCAACAATGGCTAAATAATGATACCCATTTATTGTTGCATTTTCTTATCCACCACCTAAGGTAAAATCATTATGGTGTAATGAAAGCAAAACATAAAGAAATAAATTCTTAACAAATAAAAAGAACAAACAAGTTTAAATATAATTGACTTCTGCTGGAAATGTTTTTTTTTTCTAATCTATTAAAGATTGTATATTTCAGAACAACACTATTAAAATTTTTGTGTATGGATTTGGACATGAGATCTTGAATTCCAAGTACCATAGTAAAACAGATTTACTACTAAAGATTGCTGACCAAAACAATCAGAATATGTCCTCCATGTTTGGTATATCAGGTGGCAAACATCTACAGTGGCCAGTATGTATGATAAAGTAGGACATATGGGAAGATTGCTTTATTCTTAAAAATATGGGATAAAAAAAAAGAGGAGGAAACGATGCTCTATTCACTAAAAATTATAAAAGTTTTATGGGTTATGCTTGAAAACTTCGAAACAAAGGTCAGGGTAAAATGGAATAGTGCATTTGTGTAATATTCATCGAAATTGTTCATAAATAAAGTTGAGAATGGAAATGGGGAATGTGTCAAAGAGACAACAACCCGACCAAAGAGCAGGAAACAGCTGAAGGCCACCAATGGGTCTTCAACACAGCAAGAAAATCCCGCACCCTGAGGTGGGTATCAGCTGGCCCCTAAACAAAAATGTGTACATGTCAGGGAAAATGGACATCATACATAACTCAAAAACATATAAATGAACTAAAATAAAAAATCATACAAGACTAACAAAGGCCAGAGGCTCCTGACTTGGGACAGGCGCAAAAATGCGGTGGTTTTAAACATGTTTAGTGAGATCTCAACCCTCCCCTATACCTCTATCCAATGTAGAAAACACAAACTCACAGTAATACGCACAGTAAAACTCAGTTTAAAAGAAGTCCAGCTCCAGACCTCAATTAAACTGATTGAAAGATTATGTCTTCCTCATATGAAAATCAAGCACAATCCCTCCCTTTAGGGGTTTAGTATCATACCATCATAAAATATATGAGAAGAATATAACCCGTATCATGCCAACAACTGGTTTTAGAATAAATGTGTTTATATCCGATGCAAAGACCCTATGAGTGAATCAATATAAATACCAAAATATGCCATCTTTAATGACCTGACAACAGTATAGTAACTATATCCCTTCTGAATAAGTCTGTTTAAAGGTTTGGTTAGCTTTTGAGGTGAATGCTGACATTTTTGTGCTTTGTAAAGAATATTACCATAAAAGATTGGATGTGAAATACCTGAACGTATAAGATGCCTGCATGTTGAATTATATTTACGAATGATGTCCTTGTACCGATGATAAAATTTAATAAATGTTTTGACTAGTTTGTGATATCGAAAACTCTGGTGTAATAATTTTTCAGTTATATGTTATAAAATTACTTACATTTTCAAGCCATTTGGTTTAGTGTTATACAAGAACACTTTGTTAGATATGAATTAAAAGAGATGTAGAATAAATGTCAAGAAGATAGGAAACCTATGACACAGAAAACAAAAAAGAAATCTAGAGGTTTAAAAACAGACGAGTGTCTCTTCCTTAAGTCTAGTGGCTCAGATGATTTTACCTTCTATCAGCTAGTATTATTTTGCAAATACCCTTCTTGAACTTGATTTATCTGTTCCTTATATATAGAATATAGTTTCAAATATTTTGTGGATCAACATAAACAACCAAATAAGAATAAATGTAAATTTCACCACATTTTATGATGTGCAGTTAGATATGAATCAATAAAATTCATGCTGTTAAAAAGAAATCTGAAACAAACATAATGAAATTTTCACCATTCAAATTTGAGGGTTTGCTGGTATTTTTGATCTTGTGAAAATAAGGTGAAGTACTGGTAAAATGAATGTAGGTAGGCAAGTGCGCCAGTTAGAGGAATGTGTTTATAATTAATGTAGTGATCAGAATATATACTTTTATTTAGTCCAATGAATAAGTTAGTTTATCAATTCTATTACAGCAACTTTCAAACCTGAAAGACACTTCTAAACCTATAGGTCCTGTGGGCAACCTGACCATTTTACCAGATGTTGACCCTGAACAACTGAGAAATGTAATGGGAAGTTATTATACAAAGTTTCCTATGTCACAACATACAGATTACAGTATTAGTCTACCACACATAGAAGATAAGTTAGGTAAAGATCTGTGTATGTTACTCATAGTAAAGTTACCACACTAAGATTCCTACAGTAGACAAGAAAGTAACTTTGTTTTAGAATTGTCTATATTACAGATGCCACTAATGTGTCGTATGTAGAATAAAACATGCATCTGGCATACCAAATTATAAGCCTGGTATCTTTTATGAATTTTCACACATGTTTTATGTTTCTTTGTCTAGTTTCCATACTATGGTATTTTACACTAGATAAAGGAGGTTACTTTTTTAATTAGCTGGTAAAGGTATTTCTATATTACACCTGATTTATGATTCCAGGTCTAGTCACCACACTAGGTATTCCCACACTGGACAAGGGAGGTAACTTCTTTGGAGTAGCAGGAATTGATCTATCTCTGTTACTCATGTTTTATGAAGTGGTACATTTTAGACAAGGACAACATGGGTATGGTTTTGTTGTTGGAAACAAGGGTAAATGTAGAAATTTTGTTTATATTTATACACCTATATAAAAAAGGGTTAAAATTCTTATTAAAAAAAGAATATCCAACAGTGAAAAATAATCTTGACATCAACAAAAACATAAGTAGACTTTGGTTTTCTGTGTGGAAAACTTTGCATGAATTTATTTTTCTGTAATACAGTGATATAGTGACCAAAATCAATTGCATTAGTGACTCTTTATAAGATTTATTCTTTCATTATGACAGACATATGGGTACAGCACTTATTATTCCAATGGAAAACACTGTCAATATATTCAATACTTTTTAATATAGGAAAAATTCTGATACATCCCTATATGTCCAATCCTCAGCAGCAGATGAAACAGCCCAGATTCTATGATGTTGACCAGATAGAGCCAGTATTAAGTAATGAAGCTGTATTCAACATAACCAATGGTTTACCAGGACATTTCTACTCAAAAACAGTATGTAATTATACTATGTTACACTTAAAGTTTTACATTTGTGTATAACAACAATAGTCCTATCAGCATTTAACAATGATTTAGGAACTTTCAGTTACCGTAATTTGCTGTGTATAGTACGCAGTTGTGTGTAATACGCACCCCTTTTCATTCCTCCAAAATCGTGAAAAAAAGTAACAAAAAAAATAAAATAAAATAGAAAGATAAAAAAAGAAAATTTAAATAAAAAAAAAATAAAAAAAAGTAAAGTATTTTTTTTTAAGTCTAGTTCACTGTAAAAAGCCTTTAATATGGAACAATTATACCATACATTTATTCTTCATTTAAGTTTATTGAAAGATGAAAATAATAAGATTGATTGTTCAATCAAATAATTTTAAAGTCACAACCAATTAAATGGTAGAGCTTTTATCGTGTAATTAACATTTATTAATTTTATAAAAGTTAAGTTATTAATTAAAGATCCCTTTTGAAATCAATGTTTGTCTAAGCTTGTTCAAGCTGATGCACTGTTCAAAAGAAATAATTAGAATGTTATGGAACAATAGAAATAAGACCTCAAACATTTTAAAAGTTGATTAGCAGTAATTAAAATTTAATGACTCTTTAATCCGATATTTCCTTTTCATTGATCATGTTGATTTAGAGTACTGCATGAGGTTATTATATTGAACACCTGTCAAAAGTTGACATGATTATTCAATTGCTACACACCCATACTTAATTCTTAATTACATTTTATGCTCACTCATGCAGGATGTCACACCATTACTTGTGTATTCAATATAGAAAGGAAAAACACTTTTTTTTAAATTACAAATAAAGAAATAAAATAAAAAACGTATTAACATATACAACAATGAAGAAAAATAAACGATATTAATAAAAAAAAAATCAAAAACCGTCTGTAACTGTGTATGATACGCAACCCCTCTACCAACTTCTTTTTGGGGTAAAAAATGCATACTATACACACCTAAAGACGGTAATATTGTTCACAGCTTTGGGATGAAACTGCTCTGGAGCTAAGGCAGGACTGATTCTAAATAAGACAAACAGCATTTTTTTTGTAACTGAACAGCTGGAAACCATGTTTTAATATAAAGGCAAGATGGAAAAGCTTGAATACTTTGGATTCATATGTTGTTGTGGATACCAATTTTTCCAGGATTGAGGAACAATTGTATTTTTGTGAATATTTCATTCTGGTTTTTGGTTTTTCCAAAGTTAACATACAAGCATATTGAAAATTTTTACTTTTTTTGAACATTTGAATTTGTGGTTTACCTACATCCATGAAATCCATGATAATTGGTATCCCACTAAAAACAGTGAATCCATAGTGTATCAATTAAGGTTTAACAGGTGAATTTAAATAAGTTCAGCCTTCACTAGCATATTTTAATGCCCCCGCCTTCCCAAAATTGGTTTCCGTTCTCTAACTTCAGTTTGCCTCAACCAAATAGTATGAAACTTATACACAATGCTTATTACCACAAAACACAGATCAAGATTGAATTTGGGTGGCGTCACTTCTACCATTCTAGAGTTATGTCCCTTTACAAATCGAAAAATTTCTGAATTTTTCATTTCTGTTCTCTAACTTAAGTTTGCCTAAACCAAATGTTATGAAACTGATACACAATGCTTAGTACCACAAAACTCAGACCAAGTTTGAATTTGGGTAGTGTCACTTTTACCATTCTTGAGTTATGTTCCTTTATAATGTTATATGCAAACGGGGGCATCATCTGTGTCCCATGGACACATTCCCCATTTATTTGATATAAAAATTTACTATGAAAAATACAAGTTAAGAATTTTGTCTAGGAGCAATTACCATCAGAAATTTACAATTTTCTTTATCAGAATGCCTGTTATAAGGAAATGCATTTTTACATTTAAAGGTTACATAATATTTGTTTTGGCACAATCAATGAAGAGAGGGTCATATTTGTGCCAATGGACAACTATTTACCAAAGACCATAGGACACGGATGTAAATAACTATAGGTTGTTATAGGGCCTTCAAAAATGAGCAAATCCATGTTATATAGAAAAAAAGTTATTTGAGCACCATCATGAAATATGCTCATATAATGTTATGTCTGAAATCTGAAGTCAAAGCGTCCTAAAGCAATAATGTCTCGTCAGCAACTTTCCAAGATGAGTTTAAAAGCAGAAAGTATGCATTTCCCTTTCTTAATTGAATCAAATAATACTAAGCTTTACAAGTTGAATAAACATTATTGTCTGAAATTAAAAGCAGTACGTAATTTTTACACAACACGCTGGTTATGGCATAAAATGTCAGGTGATAATAACTGATTCTTGACAGTAATTGGTATACATGTATTTACCAGTAGATAATAATATATTTAAGTAATACAAGTGTTGGTACTCACATTATCAGATCAAAGTTCTTAATTTTATTTCAGTTTTTGTTGAACCTGTGACTTTTGTCACAATACGAGACATAGCGATCCTACATTCCGTCGGCATCGGCGTCACCGTCGTCGTAGGCTTCCACAAATATTCACTCTGTGGTTAAAGTTTTTCAAATTTTAATAACTTTCTTAAACTATCCTGCATTTCAACCAAACTTGGACAGAAGCTTGTTTATGATCATAAGATAGTATCCAGAAGTAAATTTTGTAAAAAAAAAAATCCTGTTTATCCGTATTTTACTTATAAATGGACTTAGTTTTTCTGCCAGTTAACATTACATTCACTCTGTGGTTAAAGTTTTTCAAATTTTAATAACTTTCTTAAACTATCCTAGATTTATACCAAACTGGGACAGAAGCTTGTTTATAATCATAAGATAGTATCCAGAAGAAAATTTTGTATAAAAAAAATCCTGTTTATCTGTATTTTACTCATATATGGACTTAGTTTTTCTGCCTGTTAACATAACATTCACTCTGTGGTTAAAAGTTTTTCGAATTTAAGTAGCTTTCTTAAACTATCCTGGATTTGTACCACACTTGAACAGAAGCTTGTTTGTGATCATAAGATAGTATTCAAGAGTAAATTTTGTTAAAAAAAAATCCTGTTTATCTGTATATTACTTATAAATGGACTTAGTTTTTCTGCCAGTTAACATTACATTCACTCTGTGTTTAAAGTTTTTCAAATTTTAATAACTTTCTTAAACTATCCTGGATTTGTACCAAACTTGGAAAGAAGCTTGTTTATGATCAAAAGCTAGTATCTAGAAGGAAATTTGTAAAAATTTATTTCCTGTTTTTCCGTATATTACTTATAAATGGACTTAGTTTTATTCCAGTTAACATTACGTACAGTCTGCAGTTAAAGTTTTTAAAACATTTATTAGATTCATAAACCTTCTTGGATTTTTACCAAACTTGAACAGAACTTCTTACAATCAAAAGATAGTATCTAGAGGAAAATTTTTAATACTTTTTTCCCCATTTTTGTTGAGCCTGCGACTAACAGCAAAAGTAGGCGAGACACTGGGTTCCGCGGAACCCTTACAAATTTTTAATATATTAGTTATAATACAAAATATTGCCATTATTTTTCTCACAATTTTGTAAAACGTCATCTTAGTTGCAGCAGTCAGAAAATATTTCTGTTGATTTATTGTAGGCTACTTTCTGGAAAACACCAGAAATTCAAGGATCAAAACCTGCAACATTTTACTATAGGCCTATTCTCCATTTCCATGGAAATTATTCTGTTGTCTTGGTGATATTTGATGAGGATATTGAAGAGTTGAGGGCAGATGAGGTAACTCTCTGTAGATTTAATATTTCCTTGTTTACATTTATTTTTAAAACTTTTAATTCACTGTTTTGAAGGAAATTTCTCTCGAGATGTGTATAAGTATTCTATAGAATGTTAATACTTGCCAACTTTTCAAGAACTCCATGGGGGATTTTAAGCACAAGAGCTCCTAATATATTGTCATAGGTGTTTTTAATCTAATACTACTAGAACTCACCCGCGACATTGCTGGTCCGTGTCTAAATTAAAGTACCTATGCCTTGTTTTTAGCCTGGATTTTTAGTATTCGTATTGTCATCTGATAAAATCATGCTGATTGTAAGGTGCTCTCTGCTTTCAAATATTTCTGTTTTACCCCGTCCTGATTTCCTTACTACAATACACTTAATATAAACTAAATTTGATTTGTAACTAATTAACCAAATTAATGGTAGTATTGAGGTGGAAGAAAAGAGACTTGTTAGATAGTGTACTATATTGTAACATAGATATAAAATTACTACTGGAAGAATTCCATGTTCTCCTGATAGAGGAGGGATTTACAGAAGGTAACAGGTAACCGGAAACTACATGTGACATATACTATTGGTATTGGTATTGGATTTGACCCAGAACTTGTTAATTATGTGAAAAACAAAAGGGCCTGGAATGGTGTAATTTTTAAACAACACCATTGTCCTATATAAGTTATATATAAAGTTGGAATTCTTCGATTCGTCGTTTTTTGCGTCATGCCGGCTAAAAAATTGGACCTCGTTATTTTAGTAGTATAGATATTGTTAGAATGAGTATGTTTTTTGCTGAAATACCCTTTTAACTCATTTGAATTCCTATTTTGAGGTTTTCAGTTTTTATAATAAAGAATTCCAAAATTCAGGTCAACACCTCTCATGTGGGAAATCCCCCATAAATCATGAAAGTTGGCAGGTCTGAATTTTTAGGAATTTAAAAATTTGCATGTCTGATAAATTTTCAGAGGTCCCACCGAATTGTAGAACACATCTGTTGATTTAATTTTGTGATTTGTTTTTAGCTCTTTGGTTAAGTTTATTTTCCATTTACATCTTAAGAAGAGAATTTTGATTAACATCTTGTAAATGTAAATTGGCTTATGTATTTTCTGCAAAAAAGGCAAATTTGTGCCACATGATAACGATTTAATTTAAGCATTCTGTTTCAGGATATAGAAAAAGGAGAATTTCCAAGTTTTATTTATCATCGTATGGATCTTTATGATAATGATACACTGAATAACTCTGACTTTTGTACTAGAGATAACAGTGTAGTCTTGACAAAAAATGCAACAGTCAAGGTGAGACATATACCATAGGGGTGTAGTTAAGGCAAGATTTGTGTATACACCAATATTGTAACTGGGGTATAGACAATAGTTTACACTTCTTTTTTGTAATAGGGGTATAGAAATACAATTGTATTTAAGTAGCTAGGTTTCTTGAACTTGTGTGTCTGACAATTTAACTCATGGTGATTGGTTGGCCATCTGACTGCTGGATATATAAATACAAAGCCATATGATTAATGGTGTGGTAACATCCAATATTGTTGTATTATTTTCATGTGAAACCCATATAATGTGTAGAAGCAATCCTCTATAAAGAAAATTCTATTAGGAAATGCCAGCTCTTGTACATTGTACCAACTGGGATATTTATAGTGGTATACTCCATTTGCAAGTCCTACAAGAATGTTGCTGCATAGATTTGGAAAGTTAATATCTTTACTGCTGATATTACTGGTTTTCTTAGTAGATTTTAATTTAGTATAAAATTATTATTTAATTACAAATGACAGTGAACCAATGCTTGGTAAATATTCAGTACGATAGAATCCCTAAAGTGGATACCTCGGTTATGCAGGGTTTTCTTGTTCATGTTTACTTCCATACATGTATATACTTTCACTTTCTATTTATATACTCACAATGGTTACATTGTGACGTAATTTATGCATACCCTATTTTGTACTTCAAACGCAATTTTCTGTATTGTTTTTATCCTGATGACAGTGCCCTAGGCACCGAAACATGTCCATCTCATCAAATTACTGCAGCAATCCCTAAAGTGTTGTTGCTATAACTGCTTTTCAAAAGTTTTATTTGTTTAAGATATATACATAATAAATTAATAAATTGCAATCAGTAGTAAATTTGATATGTTGAAAGCTTTTGTCAGAAAGTGACATTTACTATTTTTGGTGTTTTTAGTTTGCCCCAAGTGTTTATTCTAATCCAGTGAAAAGTTTGGAGTATGAGCAGAATAACAAAAATAGAAGTTATCCTTTCTATCAACACTACAGAAATGCTAGATTGTTCTCTAAGAATGCAGGTAAATTACCTAGTCTATCAGTACTACAGAAATGCTAGATTGTTCTCTAGAATGCAGGTAAATTACCTAGTCTATCAGTACTACAGAAATGCTAGATTGTTCTCTAGAATGCAGGTAAATTACCTAGTCTATCAGTACTACAGATATGCTAGATTGTTCTCTAAGAATGCAGGTAAATTACCTAGTCTATCAGTACTACAGATATACTAGATTGTTCTCTAAGAATGCAGGTAAATTACCTAGTCTATCAGTACTACAGATATGCTAGATTGTTCTCTAAGAATGCGGTTAAATTACCTAGTCTTATCAGTACTACAGATACGCTAGCATCTTTTCATGAAATGCATGTAAATTACTGAATCTCAGTACTACAATCAAGATGATGATTATGATTCCAGTGGCAAGTCAAATGTATATTCAGGATGAGAACATGTTAATGTGATATGAATATAAACCCTGCTTTGTACTAGACTGACACCTTGAGTCTGGTATTTAACATGTTAGTTCACAAGATAACAGTCTGCAGGAAAACATGTCACCCTACACAGAGACATTATTCTGACTCTTAACCAACAGTCTTTGCTCCTTATTGCTGAGAGCTTAATGCCAAGAGCTCAATGCTGACAGCTTAGCAGAGAAGCAGCAAATTCCAGTTTTCAAAAGTTTTTTGGTTTGACCTGGCAGGGTATCTAACCCAGGACCTCCTGCACTTGAGGCAAGCAATCTATGACGAACCCAACAAGGCAGTTTAGAATGCAAAAAGTTTGTACATAGCATAACATAATAACCAGTGTAAATTTTTCACACTTTGGTGAACAGTAAAAAATCTCACTTGTTGACACAATAATGTTTTGAAGCATTACTTAGACATTTACACACATACCAAAATATGAACACTCCTCAGAAACAATGTAAAACTGACAAGAGAAGATTTAGATTTAAAAAAATAAATGAGTATGATTTTCTATGGACAGATATACACCAGTCTGCCTCTAATGACATTGTATTAACCGATATAACCTCTATTGACAGATATACACCAGTCTGCCTCTAATGACATTGTATTAACCGATATAACCTCTATTGACAGATATACACCAGTCTGCCTCTAATGACATTGTATTAACCGATAAAACCTCTATTGACAGATATACACCAGTCTGCCTCTAATGACATTGTATTAACAGATATAACATCTATTGACAAATATACACCAGTGTGCCTCTAATGACATTGTATTAACCGATATAACCTCAATTAACAGATATATATAGATTCCACCACTGCAACAAGTGTGTTACTATATTTCTCCACTCGAGACAGTTAAATTTTAATATTTAAAGCGCGAGGCTTGCCGAGCTTTTTAAATAATAAATATTTAACTGTTGCGAGTGGAGAAATATCGTAATACACGAGTTATAGTTGGGGAATCTGTTTTTCTAATGATTTTTATCCTTCCTTTTCAAAGATTTGCAGAAAGTTGTGTTCTTTATATGTGACGTCATCAGGCATGGTTGCCTTTTTTCATGACGTCACAATAGGAAAATTTAGAAGAAACCAAGAAAATTTGACGTCATAATCAAATTTTGACCAATCATTTGCCGAGAACAGATATTTCACTAGTGAGGAGAATATTTTTCACACACCGATCAAGAAATGTGAAAATAGCACAAAAATTAGAGAAACACCAGTCTGCCTCTATTGACATTGTATTAACCGATATAAATTCTGTTGACAGATATACACCAGTCTGCCTCTAATGACATTGTATTAACAGATATAACCTCTATTGACAGATATACACCAGTCTGCTTCTAATGACATTGTATTAACCAATATTACAGACCAAGTATGGGCAAAAGATGATATGATATGGAGGTACAATATTTCTCTTCTTTATTGTAATAATAACTTAGTTAAAGTCCATCTTTAAGCAATGATCTAACTATCTATCATTATAATTCATCAGTAGGGATATACTGGAATTGCTTGGTGAGTCTGTCTTTACAATTCTTATTTTATGTGGTGCCTTAAGTTTGTAATGCTTGTCATCACCCCTGGTTTTTGGTGGGTTCGAGTTAGCTAAAGCTTGAGATTTCTATGTGTTTTATATACTTTTGTTGTCTCACCTTGACGGAGTCGAAAAGCAAGTCATAGGTATGCTGTTTCCAGCATCGCAGTCGGCGGCAGCGGATGCATCAACAATGTATTAGTTTGTGATAAGGTCTAGTTTATAGTGAACCACTAGTGGTAGGTCAATGATATTTGGTATGCAGTTGTATTAGCATTGGCACATCTCATTACCATGGAGATTATTTGGCCTCACCCCCTCAGTCATGGTCTATTGACTGAAACTTTTACTTAGTTTACATGTATTAGTTTGTGATTAGGTCAGTTTCAGGGGAACCAATAGTGGTAGCTCAATGATATTTGGCATGCAGTTGTATTAGCATTGGCATATTTCCATAGAAATTATTTGGCCCTGCCCCCTCATTCATGGTTCATTGACTTTGAAATTTTTTATAATTTACATGTTAAAGTATTGCTATCTTAATTTCAACACTTGCATTTTACTATCAAAATAACAAAAAAGGCCAGACATATCTCTGTGTTAACATATATGTCCTTTGGTTTGTTTTTCATTTTTTGCAGTGGCGTGGTTAGTTTGTTATCGACTTATTATCCCGATGGTATCTTCCGCCTGTCTTGTCAAGAACTAAGTCATACTTTACCAAACAGTTATCCACAATTTGAAGATAGAAGTTGACTCAATCAAATTTCTTGAAGAATAACAACACAGATAATACTTGTATTGAAATGCTGTTTTGAAAACATCTTTTATTTCTAGCATCATGCAGTCAAGGTCATTTTTCACAATTATTCAAGGCATTGTCATGACCTTGACCTAAGATCATATGTGGCAAAGTTACTTCTGATGTAATGGCAAATGTTGTTCAGTTCATAACTTTGTGCTGTTGGCTTAGATCTCATTAATATTTCACAGATGTTAGCTATAATTGACACATATATATTATGACCCAAGCATGTTTTCTAATTTTGAATAAAATCACATAAAGAAGTCAAGGGGTTACTCAAATATTTATGTCCATACCACAGTAGTGTAAGTTGCCTTCTTAAATCTAAGCAATACTGTAAAATGTGGGCTATAATTAATTAATGGTAATAAGGGCATGTTTTAGTCATGATTTTGGCCTCTATGTAATATCCTGAAGTCCAAAGTGACTAATGTGAACCGTTATTAATTACTGATGTTTTAGTCATGATTTTGGCCCCTTTGTCATATCTTTAAGTCCAAAGTAACTGATTCCTATATTGAAATAACACTTCTCCTTTGTATTACAAAGCAAATAGGAAATTAATATTTGCACACAGGTCTCATCTGCCAAGAAATATGAATACGAATACGAAATATTGAAAGCTTTATTTAGATTTGGTATAGTTACAAACTACAAAACATGACCTGTACATAGCTTTTAACCAAAGACATACAAACATATATAACAATATAAAAAGCATAATCATGCAAGCAAACTAAAAATAGGGAAGCACATATAAAAGTAAGAACAGCACAAGCATGGCAAAGCAAATTATATATGCTAGCATAACTGTAAATGAGCAAAGTAATGTAAAATAAGCACAGTGAAAAAAAAAAGAAAGCTAATCTACTTGCAGAACAGGAACATTCCCAGCCATTCCAGGACTGTACAAGCCATCCTGAAATGGTTCAGAAGACTGTTCCACAATGTGGCAGCAGCAAATTTAATTTTTTTCTTACTGTAAGTGGAAGTTTCAACATGTGAATGATTTTTAACTGTGTCTAAGCCACATAAAAATAAAATAAACAATGTTGAGAATGACTATCTAACACTGCCTTTGTTTATGTGTGTATTATTTTGTTATAGATATTTAGGAACAGAAAACGGATTTTTCAAGATTTTTCCAGGAACAATGCTGTCTGATATCCATTACGATCCAAGGGATGATATTTGGTATAGAAAAGCTGCCGAAAATCCTAACAAGTATGTCTTCATTGACATGGGAACGCCACAACAAAATACTTCCTTATATGTAACCATGGCAAAGGTGTTTTATCAGACAAGGTACTATACTTCAGCGGAATCAGACAATTATTTATTTTCATATGTACCCACAATTTGCTCAAATTAAAATAATTGCTTTTTGTGATTTTCTGGAAATCTATTTCTTACACAAAATTTTGGACAGGTGTGTAAAGTTAAATTACTTTTTTCTGTTGAGAACTAGCGGCCTTAGATTTGAATTATAAAAATTGTGCATTTATCTATCAAATATTCAATAATTGACATATATTTCTGACTAGTTCAAATGCAATTTGAAGATCACATAAGGATGGATGATGTAAGATTACTTTGCACTTTGATAATATCTATTTTCAAGGATCTGCCATCAACGCCATTTTTTAAAATGAAAATTAAGACAAGTGGTGACAGGCACATGGATATGTGGTGGGGTTACTTTTAAACAAATTCATCCTAAAAATATCTTATTTTATGTTTCAAGCAATGGTTCAGTGAGTGGAGTTGTAGCAGCAGATATGAGCAGACGTCAATTTTCTACAATCCTCACAAACATAATGACTTCCTGTTTACACTGTTATATTGTGGATGACGCTGGGTAAAATCAATTATGAAGTTATATTACAAAATTGATAAAATGTTGCAGTCTATAAAATTTATTGTAAAGAATTGACCTTAAAATATCCTGACTATAATTTAAAGGACAATCTAATTTTTTTTTCTTTAACTACATCTTTATATTTAGCATACTATTTTTTGAAACGTCATAAAGCAACTATTTTCTTCAGATATGTAATTGGACAAGCCATTGCAAGTAAGGATTTAAAAAGGTCTCATATAACACAAGTAGCAGGTCCAGTCAGCTTTCTCTTGATGAAACAAGGATTTCTGAAGGTAACAACTGTTGAAAACTGTTCTGTTCATACAAATCACAGTAAATTAAGACTTGTCAACTGAACAAGTACTTTGAGCTTGCTTTGAATAATTGCAAACAGTCGATGAATACTTTTAACTATATATCTCAACAATTCTTTGCATCTTTTGATAAGGTCTGATTTAGTTCTGTTTCTCATATTGACAAGCTGTTGTCAACTTTAATAATGATATTTCTCAAGTATATTTTTGCTCACTTGGCCGGTAATACCAGTGAGAACCATTGCCATCATTTCACATCCTTTGATTTGTCATCCATTATCTGGCAAAAAGTATTAACCTTGGTTGCTGACAACAATAAGTAAATTAAAGTGAACCTAAGAAATATTAAAATAGATTAGTTGAATAATAGCTAAACTTTTACCATTATGGAAATAGGCAAGAGTGATCTGTTTATAAAAATTTTAAATAGTTTCATAGGCAACTTAGTTCATGGGAAACATATACTGATTAAAGTCAGAACAATCAATTATATACATGTGTTTTATTTTTCAGCCAGAGGTATGTATGGATGCAACTTCTGGAGTGAAAAGGCTTGCCTACAGATTAGATCTAGGTCGAAAGTGGTCCTTGATTAGAAAAGCTGGTTGTCATGACTACACTCTAATGACTATAAATAATACAAATTTGTACCTTCTGAGATACCAAGCAGATAAATGTTTTTCTTTGGATGTAGGGGTAAGTTTTTAAAACAATCATCAACTTAATTGTGGGGCCTCGGTGGCCGAGTGGTCTAAGTAGTTACTACTGTAATCACTAGCCAGTCAACGCTGAGGTTGTGAGTTCGAACCGCGCTCTTGCGGGTGCACTCGACTCCAATCTGAAATGACTAGGATTGTCAGTTTTCCTATCGAAGGTCGGTGGTTTTCTCCGGGCACTCCGGCTTCCTCCACCAATAAAAACTGGCCGCCACGAAATAGCCCAAAAGCGGTGCTTAAAAGTGGCGTTAAAACACCAAAAATCAAATCAACCTAATTGTTTTAATTGGAGTGCCATTGATGAGTCTTATGTCTGGCATACAAAATTATGAGCCTGGTATCAAAATTGTGGATTTATGGTTAAGTCTGATAGATATGTCAAATATGTGCACTTAGTTTAAAACTAACAACATCAAACTATGGACTACCATTAACTTTAAAAAATCAATATTAGATTTGATTTTTTTTAAATTGCAAAATATAATATGTATGGGGTTTGGCAATTAGATGTGGGAAATAAAAGGCGAACACAGTACCCTCTGTTAACTCTTCTTTAAATAACTAATATAAAAATAAGGAGGATTTATATCTTATTTTTAAAAACTTTTTTTTTTCAGACTTGCAATTGTCAAGAAAAGTGTTTGCGGTGTAATAATCAAATGGATTCAATGTGCCAGGTTTGTGTTATAGCATACATTTATTTTTTTTAAGTCTGTAATAAACAGAAATTTTAAGTTTGTATTCAGTCATACACAAGGTTACAAAATATGTTTGTTAAGTCAAAGTTATGACATCATAAATTAAAAGTTGTAATGAAACAATATGAATTTGTGTTAATTAAATTAATTTTATAAGTTTTCTATAGAGATAGTAATGTTATTCTTAGTTTGTGAATTTTCAGGTACATAGTCAATTCCATGTGAAATAATTTCTTTATCAAAATTATTTGCATATAAAAGTCTCAAGTTTGGATATGATCTGTAAATATATTAGCATGCTTTATGTGTATCTTCACGGTTTCAGTGTCCTTGTACTTGTGTTAACAGAACTACAGATAACTGTAATAGTAGTTTTACTATGACTCAAGGCTATGCTCCATGTAGAGGTAAATATTCTGAGTAAAGTTTGACTCGATAGTTCTCAAGTGATAGAAAATTAGCCAAAGTCAATAAATGGATCAATGATTTAAGAAAATTAAGGGTTTTGTTAATAGTAAAAAACTAAAAACTTCAGCAACAGTGGTATATTATTTTTAACTTGAGTAGAAATATATTCTATTAAATCTTCTGCACATGAACGAAACACACTTTGTTTTGTTTTACAGAAAGACTGAGACATTGGAAGACAGTTAAGGCTATCAATCTTCATCAGTCAAACATAACAGAATGTCAACCACAGTGTCCCTCATTGTAAGTGTTAAAATCTTTCATAATCAAAATGTCAGTCACAATGGCCCTCATTGTAAGTGTTAATATCTCTGAGTTCTAAAGTCAGCCACATTGTCCCTCACTGCACGTGTTAACATCTCAGATTTCTAATGTCAGTCACAATGTTACTCATTGTAAGTGTTAAATTCTCAGAATCGGAATGTCATCCACAATGTTACTCACTGTAAGTGTTAAATTCTCAGAGTCAGAATGTCAGCCACAATGTTATTCACTGTAAGTGTTAAATTCTCATAGTCAGAATGTCAGCCACAATGTTGCTCACTGTAAATGTTAACGTCTCAGAGTCAGAATGTCAGCCACAATGTTACTCACTATAAATGTTAACATATCAGAGTCAGAATGTCAGACACAATGATACTCATAGTAAGTGTTAAATTCTCAGAGTCAGAATGTCATCCACAATGTTACTCACTGTAAGTGTTAACATCTCGAGTCAGAATGTCAGTAACAAAGTTACTCGATATAAATGTTAACATCTCAAGAGTCATGACCTCAGAGTCAGAATGTCATCCACAGTGTTACTCATTGTAAGTGTTAACATGTCAGAGTTAGAATGTCAGTAACAATGTTACTCGATATAAATGTTAACATCTCAGAGTCAGAATGTCAGCCACAATGATACTCACTGTAAGTGTTAAATTCTCAGAGTCAGAATGTCAGCCACAATGTTAACTCACTGTGAGTGTTAACATCTCAGAGTCAGAATGTCAGCCACAATGTTACTGTTAATGTTAACATCTCATAGTCAGAATGTCATCCACAAAGTTAATCATTGTAAGTGTTAACATCTCATAGTCAGAATATCATCCACAGTGTAACTCATTCTAAGTTTTTATACGACCGCAAAAAAAATTTTGGGATCGTATATTGGTATGACGTTGGCGTTGTCATCGGCGGCGGCGTTGGTGTCGTTGGTGTCTGAAGACACATTGGTTTTCGCACTATAACTTTAGTTTAAGTGAATGGATCTCTATGAAATTTTACCATAAAGTTAAATACCACAAAAGGAAGGTTGGGATTGATTTTGGGGGTTATGGTACCAACAGTTAAGGAATTAGGGGCGCCAAAAAGGGGCCAAAAATAAGCATTTTCTAGTTTCCAGACAATAACTTGTGGAACGGTGTATGGATCTCTCTGAAATTATACCACAAGTTTCCATACCACAAAGGGATGGTTAGGATTTGCTTTGGGGGGTTATGGCTCAAACCGTTTAGGAATTAGGGGCAAAAAAGGGGGAAAAACAAGGTTGTCCTGGTTAATGGACAAATACTTTAGTACAAAACATAATTTAAAGCAGTGTAAGGGAGATAAATCAAATACATCATTTGAATTACCTCCCTTACACTGCTTTTAAATTATGTATAAAGTAATGGTTAATGAACAATTAAGACAATTTAAAAGCAGTGTAAGGGAGGTTATTCAAATACAACGTTTTGATTACTTCACTTACACTGCTTTTAAATTATGTTTAAAGAAATGCATATTTATAAAGGAAGACCAGTAAAAATATCTTCAAATGTTGCATCTTTTTTTTTTACAAAAAAATCCATATGAAAGATTTGACACCATATTTTAAATTCTATTATAAAATAGATTAAGTTAGCACTATGGTAAATTTAAATGGGTAAATATGGTTGCAAACTCCATTGGAAATTTGAATTGAGATTATGACCATATCTTGAGGGAAAGAATTTTTTTGGGGAAAAAGGGGGGGGGGGGGGGGTTTAAAAGAAATTGTGGGGGGTCAATTTTTTCTCATTTCAGATTTCAGAAATTAAAAAGAATTATTCTTCAAATATTATTTTTTTTTCAAATTTCAAATATTGAAAAATTTCAAGAAGTAATCTTTAATTGCACAGTATGGCGCATTAGATTTGTAAAATCTTTGACCACATTTATTTCTTTGTTATGCCGAATCTAACCATGTATTTAGATTTTTAATTTTGGGTCCAGTTTTCAAATTGGTCTACATTAAGGTCCAAAGGGTCCAAAATTAAACTTAGTTTGATTTTAACAAAAATTGAATTCTTGGGGTTCTTTGATATGCTGAATCTAAACATGTATTTAGATTTTTGATTTTGGGCCCAGTTTTCAAGTTGGTCCAAATTAAACTTTGTTTGATTTCAACAAAAAATGAATAAATGGGGTTCTTTGATATGCTGAATCTAACCATGTATTTAGATTCTTTATTTGTGGGCCCCGCTATCAAATTGGTTCATATTGAGGTCAAAAGGGTCCAAAATTAAACTTTGTTTGATTTCATCATAAATTGAATTCTTGGGGTTCTTTGATATGCCAAATCTAACCGTGTATTTAGATTTTTAATTTTGAGTCCCGTTTTTTAAATTGGTATACATTAAATTAAACTTAGTTTGATTTTAACAAAAATTGAATTCTTGGGGTTCTTTGATATGCTGAATCTAAACATATGTTTAGATTTTTGATTAGAGGGCCAGTTTTCAAGTTGGTCCAAGTTGGGTTCCAAAATTAAACTTTGTTTGATTTCAACAAAAATTGAATATATGGGGTTCTTTGATATGCTGAATCTAACCATGTATTTTGATTTTTGGGCCCCATTATCAAATTGGTCCACATTGAGGTCAAAAGGGTCCAAAATTAAACTTTGTTTGATTTCATCAAAAATTGAATTCTTTGGATTCTTTGATATGCTGAATCTAACCATGTATTTAGATTTTGGATATTGGACCATAATAGGTTAATTAAAAAATTTTAAGTTCTTAGACCACATTCATTCTGTGTCAGAAACCTATGCTGTGTCAAATATTTAATCACAATCCAAATTCAGAGCTGTATCAAGCTTGAATGTTGTGTCCATACTTGCCCCAACTGTTCAGGGTACGACCTCTGCGGTCGTATCAAGCTGCGCCCAGCAGAGCATTTTATTTAACAGCTCAAAATATCAGTCAGAGTGTTCCCCATTATAAGTGTTAACATAGTTAGAATATCAGTCACAATGTTACTCATTGAAAGTGTTAAAATCTCAGTCAAAATGTCATCCACAATGTTACTCATTGTAAGTGTTAAAATCTCATAGTCAGAATGTCATCCACAATGTTACTCATCTTAAGTGTTAATATCTCATAGTCAGAATGTCATCCATAATGTTACTCACTGTAAGTGTTAACATCTCATAGTCTGAATGTCATCCACAATGTTACTCATTGTAAGTGTTAACATCTCATAGTCAGAATGTCAGTCACAGTGTCCCTCATTGTAAGTGTTAACATCTCATATTCAGAATGTCAGAGACAGTGTCTCTCTTTGAATATTAGCTACAGTGTAAGTGTTAACATCTTAGAGTCAGAATCGTTAACATTTCAGAATGTCAGTGAAGTTGTCTGTCTTTGTTAGCCTTGATATTGGAGAATGTAAGCCACAATGTCCCTCAAGTTAAATCAAAATCATAATGTGTTCATTTGAATTTTATTGCTTAATTCAGTTTATAGGTTATCTATGATGCAGATATTTATACTACACTCCACACCATAGGAGTAGATATAAGTCAGGTGCATGAAAGCCAAATGAAGCAAGGAATGTATGATGCTGAATTGTAAGTTGATAAAAGCAAATGTATGAATTGATCTATATATTTTTTTTTTCACCTTTCAGACTAAGACCAAGTTGATTTGTTAAATGATGTAGTAATATGAGATACATACTCTCTATATTGTAGAAAAACAGAGAAAGATTGCTTACTTATGTCAGGCTGTACTTGGTGTACAACAGGATTCTATAACCACATCCCTATATGTACTAGGATATGCCCTATAGATAGGTATGAACCCTGTTTACATAACCACATCCCTATATGTACTAGGATATGTCCTATAGATAGGCAAGAACCCTGTTTACATAACCACATCCCTATATGTACTAGGATATGCCCTAAAGATAGGTATGAACCCTGTTTACATAACCACATCCCTATATGTACTAGGATATGCCCTATAGATAGGTATGAACCCTGTTTACATAAGCACATCCCTATATGTACTAGGATATGCCCTATAGATAGGTAAGAACCCTGTATACATAACCACATCCCTATATGTACTAGGATATGTCCTATAGATAGGTATGAACCCTGTTTACATAACCACATCCCTATATGTACTAGGATATGTCCTAAAGATAGGTATGAACCCTGTTTACATAAGCACATGTACTTTAACCTGCCTTCAAGATAGGTAAGAACTCTGTCTACATAACCACATCCCTATATGTATTGGAACCTGTCCTCAATATAGGTAAGAACTTTGTTTACATAAACACATCTCTAATATATTACATATACTGTCCAAGAGGTAAGTAATGTAACATAACTGTCTTCAAATTGAAAATATATGAGAATTCTGTTTCTATCAACATGTCCCTGTTTGTTAACAAAACAGTCCTTCAGATAGATAAGCATCCTGTTTATATGATGTAAGAGATACAGAATTACAAATGTAATTAACTTAAAAGGTATATTCTTAAAAAATAATGTCCATGTTTAGGAGAATTTGTTTTAAATCAATCTTCATGGGAGCGATGGCAATTGACCATCATATTCATAACTTGGTACAGGCAATTTCAAATAAAAATGATGGATTGAAAAAGGTTTTTTCTCAGTGCTAAACCTCTGACTTGTGCTACAGTGTTCAGTTTATCTTGTAGTCAAACTCTCCAACAATATGCCCAACCTATTTTGATTAGTTGTCAGTACAGGTACAAGACAATATACAACATTCTAGTCTGACTAATCAGGCATTTGTAAAAATCATTTGAAATTTCAAAGTTTTTTTTACAAATGATAGCTTAGATATTATTTGTAATATTCAAAAGATCCCAAAGTAAATTTAATTAAGTCATATGACACAAATAGATCCTTGAATTTTTTAAAGGGGTTAATTTTTACACAATTATAAATAAAATTTCCTGAAGAAAAGAGTGCAAACACCTTTGATCTGCAATTTTATGAGATGACAACTCATATTATATAATGTTATTTTACAGAATGGAGATTAACATGAAAACACCTTGCCATGATTTAACAGAACACAGTCATCAATCTTTACCATTGGAAGTACAGAAGTTATTACAATCTACTGTCAATGATTCCAATTTTGACATCAGTCTTCCCATGATAATACAACAGGTTAGATTCAGATAAGTTTGTCTGTGATAATACTACAGGTTAACATGGTTAAGTTGAACAAAACGATATCCTTGAAAAATGCCCTTTTGAGCAGTTCTTATGGAGTATCTGTGCATGAGGTAATCATATATATTGGGTAAAACAATCAATTGAAGCTCTCCACATTTTAGTTAATAAGTTGTGAGTGTAGAAAACACCATGTCAAGGGTGAAGACAATGCATGATTCCTGGCTTTAGATAGCTTCAGGGAAATACAAGATATCAAAATAAATGAAAAGTGTACATATTTTACTTACAGAACACTCCAATATTTAACAAAACCATATCTTAACCAAAAAATGAATTGCTAGGATTTTAATGTAACATTTGCCTTAATGTCCTGTTTTAAAACTACCACCAGTCCATTCCACATTTAGAAAAACCAATGTTTTATATTATTTTTAAATACTGGTAAATATGTACCAAGTGTTAGATTAGTTTTATTGATATTAAAGAAATTTCTTGGTATTCCTAAACGGAAGATTTTATACACACAGAAGAAGAAGTATACTTAACAAAATTATTTTCATTTACCTGTGTATAATATGACGCAGGTTTCTTCAAAAGTGATGATTTTCTAAAAATTGTTTGACATTTCACAGTGATATCATACTTTAACTTTGTTTAAACCTGTTTATTTACTTTTGACTTTTAATTATTTATCCCTTGTAATTTTTTATTAACTGTGTATTTGCATTCAGGTGTCACAGGTCAAATTTATTCGTTCATTGTGTGTTAATTTACGTTTTTTGATTGAGTTAAGCCTTCCAATTGATATTTTATAGTGTGTTTTTCTATGTTGTGATGTTATACTATTGTTTCAGAAAAGGGAGAAGGTTTTGGTATCATTAAAACGTTTAATCCCGCTGCAAATGTTTGCACCTGTCCTAAGTCTGGAATCTGATTACAGTAGTTGTCGTCTGTTTATGTAGTTCATATGTGTTTCTCGTTTCTCGTTTTTATATAAAGTAGACCGTTGGTTTTTATGTTTGACTGGTTTTACACTAGTAATTTTTTGGGGCCCTTTATAGCTTACTGTTCGGTGTGAGCCAATGCTCTGTGTTGAAGGCCTTACCTTGACCTATAATGGTTTACTTTTATAAATTGTAACTTGGATGGAGAGTTGTCTCATTGGCACTCATACCACATCTTCCTATATCTATATATAGCTCTGTTTGTCCAATTGGTTGTCAGTCTGTGCTTCTGTCTGTCAGTAACACATTCCAGTTGCACTTTTCTCAGCAACTTCAAGACAAATTTATGATATGATAGATGTCACCTAGCTTCATCTGGTTATGCAGTACTGTGTTCTACTTCCTGTTTGCAAAAGATGTCTTTTAAAAACTTTTTGTCACATTTTTCTCAGCAACTATAAGTTATAGATTTTAGGATATATTGCATAAGCTTCAACTGTTTAAAATGCTATACTGTGTTACATATTTTTTATCTTACAACATTTTTCTTTAAAAATACACAGTACCTCATGTTTCATCAAAAAAGACACTGAGCAGATTTTTGAATGAATGTGGTTAAGAATTTTTAACAAATTTGTTTATTGTTTATGTAGATATTTATGAATTTGTTGATGACAATGTCTCTTGTATACTTTTAGGATATGATTAATTTTACCATAGCAACAAAAGATCGAACAAGTATACCTAATAGTTGGACAGAACTGTTGTCGAAACCATTCTACACCATAGATAACATTGTGCTAATAAATCAACATACTATGAATGAATTTACATTGTAAGTGTTAAGCATCAGTAAACGTTTACTTCACATGTCATGAAAAAGCAGAAATTATGTATATAATTTGACCCATCCAGTCATTAGAATCATTAAGATAATGGTTATAACTTTGATGTCTTTGTTATCTAGCCATTTTTAATACATGAAGAAAATAATTAAATTTTTTGTTGAAATGATGTTTGAACCTCTTATTATGAAAAGTGATCATCACAATATAAACATATTCTATAGAGTTAAATAAGAGTAGGCACTTAATTTTTTCCAGTAGAATGAAACAAAGTTGCATAATACTGTTTTACATTCCTAGTTTGATTTTGATCTTTGCCAGTTTTGTGGTTCTGAAGTGGTTCAATTGTAATTTCTTTTTTAAAACTCCACAGTTAGTTATAACTTCTGTGTGCTTAGATAAGAAGCTTTTTTGTTTTATGACATATCTAATAGTTATTAATTAACATGACAGATTTTTTCATTCAGCTTATTGTCTGTTGACACAAAGTGATGCTTTGTGATTTAGCCTTCAGCAGATGCTTTTTTGTAGCTGGAAGAATACAATAAGAACATATTATTCATTGATTGTTGAAAATTTTGTAGGTTGAGATTGACACTTGCCTTTAATAATGTCAACTTTACCAAAGAATTTGAAACTGAACTGACCTTGAGAGACTACATAGATGTTCAGGTCAAGGAGTTTATTACACAAGCTTTGAATGATGGAATTGTTACTGTTTCTAATGTTTGGCCAGAACAGGTAACTCATTTACAGTTCTATGGTCTTAGTTCCAAATTTTTCATTATTCATTTTTAGTCCACATTTTTGTCTCGCCTTGACGGCGACGGCGGCAGCGTCAACAATGTATTAGTTTGTGATTAGGTCAGTTTATGGGGAACCACTAGTGGTAGGTCAATGATATTTGGTATGCAGTTATATAAGCATTGGCATATTTCATTTCCATGGAGAATATTTGGCCCCGCCCCCTCAGTCATGGTCTATTGACTTTGAAACATTTGCTTAGTTTATATGTATTAGTTTGTGATTAGATCAGTTTAAGATGAAGTGCTACTGTTAAGTCAATGATATTTGGTATGCAAATTTATTGGCATTTGCAAGTCTTATTTCCATGGAGATTATAAAGCCCCCACCCCCTCATCATGGTTCATTGACTTTGAAACTTTTACATAGTTTACAAGTTAATGTTTGTGCTTAGGTTTGTTTAAAGGGAACGACTTATGATAAGTCAATGGTATATGGTATGCAGTTGTATTAACATTGGCACATCTCATTTCCATGGAGATTGTTCAGCCATGTACCTTCAGTCATGGTTCATTGACTTTGAATATTTGCATAACTTACATGTTAAAGTATTGCTATTTTAATTGCAACATTTGCATTATCAAAATTACAAATAGGTGAGACATATCTCTGTTATAACAGTTTATTATGATGATGATGATGATGATGGATACTTAACGTCTAGCGACAAATTAAATTCATATTCAGGACAAGAACATATTAATATTCTGTAAATTCAGAAATTTTTGTAAGTCTTCAAGTAATGCGAATAATGTGACTGGTTGAGTATTGCAACAATAAGAACTCGCATTCTGATATGTGTTATAGATACATGTATCTGTATGCAGATTTTACTGAAATCACAATAATTTATCATTGCATTTTTGTCCATTCTTCAAAACATCTGTCCAATCATTTGCAGTTACATGTGATCCAAGCTGACTGAATGCTTTTATGTTACTGTAAACATAATATTGGAGAAAAAATGTGGTTGTTTAAAAATCCCCCCCCCCCCCCCCCTTCCAAAAAAAAATAAATGTAACTTTCAAAAATCTGTTTCAAAACTCCAAAGGAGCTTTTCATACAAAAGTTTACTTTTCAAAACAGTTCAGGCAAACTTTGGCATTTAATGAAACCTGCAGCCTGTGGTATTTGTCAATTCAATTTTCTAGGGTTAATGAATCTTTGTTTCTCATTGTATCTCATTAAAATACATTTATTTTATTATATTTGTGTTGCCAGGTATAATTGAATCCTTCTTTTCTTAACAATATGTTTTAAGACATAGCTATATTTTTTCGATTTAAATTCATTTGTGAAAATAATCAAATGTTTAAATGGAGATCAGTCTGACCTCAGGTTACTGTGAAATACTTTCTGAACTTACAAAACTAGTTTACCCTTTTTTATGCCCCCGCCTTAGTGGTAGGGGCATTAAGTTTTACCCTTGTCCGTCTGTACGTACGTTCGTCCCAAAATTGGTTTCCGTTCTCTAACTAGAGTTTGCCTCAACCAAATGTTATGAAACTTATACACAATGCTTATTACCACAAAACACAGATGAAGTTTGAATTTTGGAGGCGTCACTTTAACCGTTCTAGAGTTATGCCCCTTTATAAATGGAAAAATTGCAAAATTTTTATACGACCGCAAAAAAATTTTTGTGGTCGTATATTGGTATGACGTTTGCGGCGTCGTCGTCCGAAAACACATTAGTTTTCGCACTCTAACTTTAGTTTAAGTGAATGGATCTCAATGAAATTTTATCATAAGGTTCAATACCACAAAAGGAAGGTGGGGATTGATTTTGGGGGTTATGGTACCAACAGTTAAGGAATTAGGGGCCAAAAATAAGCATTTTTGTAACTTCCAGACATAACTTGTGTGTAAGTGTATGGATCTCTCTGACATTGTACCACAAGGTTCCATATCACAAAGGGAATGCTGGGATTGATTTTTGGGGTAATTGCCTCAAAATTTTAGGAATAAGGGGCAAAAAAGGGGCAAAAAACAAGCATTTTTCTAGTTTCATGACAATAACTGGTGTGCAAGTCTATGGATCTCTCTGACATTGTATCACAAGGTTCCATATCACAAAGGGAATGCTGGGATTGATTTTGGGGGTAATTGCCTCCAAATTTTAGGAATTAGGGGCCAAAAAGGGGCAAAAAACAAGCATTTTTCTAGTTTCATGGCAATAACTTGTGTGTAAGTGTATGGATCTTTATGAAATTGTACTACAAGGTTCCATATCACAAATGGAAAGCTGGTATTGGGTTTGGGGGTAGCATTTTTCTAAGTTTCCAGACAATAACTTGTGTTCAAGTGTATGGATCTCTCTGAAATTGTACTGCAAGGTACCATACCACAAAGGGAATGCTGGGATTGATTTTGGGGGTAATTGCCTCCAAATTTTAGGAATTAGGGGGCAAAAAGGGGCAAAAAACAAGCATTTTTCTAGTTTCATGACAATAACTTGTGTAAGTAAGTCTATGGATCTCTCTGACATTATATCACATGGTTCCATATCACAAAGGGAATGCTGGGATTGATTTTGGGGGTAATTGCCTCAAAATTTTAGGAATTAGGGGCAAAAAAGGGGCAAAAAACAAGCATTTTTCTAGTTTCATGGCAATAACTTGTGTGTAAGTGTATGGATCTTTATGAAATTGTACTACAAGGTTCCATATCACAAAGGGAAAGCTGGGTTTGAGTTTGGGGGTAATTGCCCTAAACGTTTAGGAATTTGGGACCAAAAAGGGGCCAAAAAACAAGCATTTTTCTAGTTTCCAGACAATAACATGTGTTCAAGTGTATGGATCTCTCTGAAATTGTACTGCAAGGTACCATACCACAAAGGGAAGGCTGGGATTGAGTTTTGGGGTGATGAATCATAAGGGGGTTCAAAAAATTTGGGGGGGGGGATTTTTTTTCTTTTTTTTTCTTTAAAATTTTCCATTTTAATTTGTTATTTCTGATTTATATATAAAAGCAAATAATAATGATATGGTTTGAATAGGTAAATTAAAATTTTTTAAGTATCTTAGACCACTTTCATTCTGTGTCAGAAACCTATGCTGTGTCAAATATTTAATTACAATCCAAATTCAGTGCTGAATCAAGCTTGAATGTTGTGTCCATACTTGCCCCAACTGGTCAGGGTTCGACCTCTGCGGTCGTATCAAGCTGCGCCCCAGCGGAGCATTTTATTAGTTTCTGTTCTCTAACTTAAGTTTGCCTCAACCAAATGTTATGAAACTTATACACAATGCTTATTACGACAAAACACAGATCAAATTTGAATTTTTGTGGCCTCACTTTATCTGTTCTAGAGTTATGCCCCTTTATAAATGGAAAAATTGCAAAACTTTTAGTTTCCATTCTCTAACTTAAGTTTGCCTCAACCAAATGTTATGAAACTTGTACACAATGCTTATTACCACAAAACACAGATCAAGTTTGAATTTTGGTGGCGTCACTTTAACAGTTCTAGAGTTATGCCCCTTTATAAATGGAAAAATTGCAAAATTTTTATTTTCTTCTAAATATCAAGTAATTTTTTAAATTGGAGTTATCTTCCTTTGTCCATGATTATAGTTGAATCAACTACAATCAATGCTTTATACAATGCAAATGTTTAATTTTGACTTCCACTGATAAAACACAGATCAAGTTGAATTTGAGTAGTGTCACTTTAACCATTATTGAGTTATGCCCCTTTATAAATCGAAAGATTGCAAAATTTTTAGTTTCCATTCTGTAACTTTAAGTTTGCCCTAACCAAACATTATGAAACCTATACACAATATTCATTACCACAAAACTAAGATCAAGTACAAATTTTTTGTTTCCGTTTTCTAACTTTAGTTTGTCTCAACCAAATGTTATGAAACTTATACACAATGCTTATTACTACATAATACAGATTAAGTACCAAATTTGGTGGCGACACTTTTACCATTCTTGAGTTATGTCCCTTTATAAACATAAAAATTGCTGAATTTTTCGTTTCCATTCTCTAACTTTAGTTTGTCTCAACCAAATGTTATAAAACTTATACACAACTGTTCTAGAGTTATGCGTGTATACAAATACAAAAATTGCTGAAATTTTAGTTTCTGTTCTCTACTTAAGTTAGCCTCAACCAAATGTTATGAGACTTACACACAATGCTTATTACCTCAAAACTCAGATCAAGTTCAAATTTGGGTAGCATCACTTTTACTGTTCTTCAGTTATGTCCCTTTATAACTGTATGATATGCAAGCGGGGGCATCATCTGTGTCCACATGTGGACACTATCCACATTTATTTTTTTAATTTTCATATATTTATATTCAAGAATGAGATATCCTTCATGCTGAATACTACAACAAATAAAACAGTTTTGATGCAACACATCCAGACATGGAATATATCAACACTACCTAGCATAGATGTGTTTGGCAGGAAGTTAAGCTTAGTGAATACCAGTGTTGAGCATAGTTACAACTCTATGTGTCATGTCAACTGCCACCAAATGTGAGTAATATAGGGTTTTAACCATTATAACTCTTATATTGATATAGTTGTTAAGAATGAAAGAAGAAACTTAAGATGTTCTGTGTTTATTCTCTTCTCTTTATCTGACTTACTTTGAAAATAATATTTCTTCTTTTCCTTTCATTATACACACTAGAAACACAGTTTTTGGGGTGTCTATAAAATCAACCTGTCTGTCTGTCACTTCAAACTTTTAGAATAAGTTAAACATCACCATTGAAAGGATCTTTTATACTGTTTAGTTTGTTTGGAATTTTGCCCCTTTCAGTGTAGACATTTTTATCCTTTTCTGAATCAACTGTTGACCTAATTATAGCCTACTTAAATAGCATTTTATCCTCAGGGCATATAACTTGACTCATGTCCATTCTTCAGTTAGATATAAGTTTTTTTGTAAAACATTACAATGCCAAGTTTCAGGTCCTCAGACCTGTGATAAAATTTGAAATTTTTTAGCTCCAGTTTGTGCCTCTGAACTGGAGATTTTTTTATCTGCATTAATTTTGTTAGTGAAACTACATATTTCACATTTTGTTAGATTTGTTCATGACCAATGTGATTTATTATGACCTTCTCTAAACAAGATTAACGTAGAACCTCAGGAATCATCAAACAAATTGGACAGTCATGGAGTAAAGGCAGTTTTCACTATCTTGTTCCCTTCATAATAAACTTCACCTTCATTTATCATAAGTAAAAACCTGAAATCTCAACTCAATGAGATTTTAAAGACGATTTAAAGTCTTGATATCAGGTTCTGTATTAGATTCATTACAAGTAAAATTTAAAAGCATTTAAAGAAGCAAGTTTTCGATATATTATATTTTATATGTGATACAAAATTAAAATCATTTAAGAAACATTTCTTTACTGAACCTGCAGTTAATTTGCTATTAATTTATATTTTTATTAATAAGGATATTTTTAAAAAGTAGAGTTTAAAAAAAAATAGCAACATAAGGGGAGTAACTCTAAATAATTTACTTCCAAACATGTGATTGAAATACATTGTATATGACATTAGACTAAGGAACACATTTTCATATGTCTGTGATAGTCAGTTCAATTTTCAACAACATCAAAGATTGCGGAGTCATTGTTTGCATACCTACTTCCATTTTTTGTTTTTTTTCACTTTTAAAAATCCAGGCAGATTGTGCCATAAACTAACTTGTTGATGACCAGGTAATGGTCAATAATCTTTAAATCCTGTATTCTGTGGATTCAGTATACCATTTTTGTGGATTTCATAGGTATAGTTGAACCATCAAAGAAGTAAAAATCCTGGTTTGAAATCCAGTTCCCTCGGGAGGGTGGAAGTTCTTGCTCCACTTTTGGCACCTATTATATTGCTTATGGCAAATAAAAATCTGGTGATATTAAAGTAACATTCTGGGATTTCATAATTAAATAGAAGAGGATAGGATCTGTCATCAAGGGGATTATATCTGTCACCATTTGTGCAACAGTAATGCCATAATAGTCAACAAAGTTATGGTGGCTTAAATTAAAACTTTTTCAAGTGATGAACAACAATTCCATTCAAAACCCTTGGTTCAAAAGCTTCCTTTTAAGAAGCAACCCTTGATGAAGGAAATCATGTTAGTAAACACATGTCCTGGAATATCATATAAATTTGAGAATATAAACTCCGTAGGAATGTATGTATAGAAAGTGACCATAATTCAAAATAACAGACACAAAAATACTGTTATATAACATCATTTAATCAAAAATTCGTAAGGGTTCCGCAGAACCCAGTGTCTCGCCTACTTTTCTGTTAATCGCAGGCTCAACAAAAATGAGGAAGTAAATCAATAAAAATATTCCTCTTGATACTATCTTTTGATTGTAAGAAGCTTCTGCCTAAGTTTGGTAAAAATCCAGGATAGTTTATGAATCTAATAAATGTTTAAAAACTTTAACTGCAGACTGAATGTAATGTTAACTGGAAGAAAACAAAATTTCCTTCTAGATACTAGCTTTTGATCATAAACAAGCTTCTGTCCAAATTTGGTACAAATCCAAAATAGTATAAGAAAGTTATTAAAATTTTAAAAACTTTAACCACAGAGTGCATGTGTTGTTTCCTGGCAGAAAATCTTAGTCCATTTAAAAGTAAAATAAGGAAAAAATGGATTTATTTTTTTACAAAATTTACTTCTGGATACTATCTTATGATCATAAACAAGCTTCTGTCCAAGTATGGTACAAACCCAGGATAGTTTAAGAAAGTTATTAAAATTTTAAAAACTTTCACCACAGAGTGAATGTAATATTTCCCGGCAGAAAAAGTAAGTCCATTTATAAGTAAAATACGGAAAAAATGGAATTTTATTTTTACAAAATTTACTTCTGGATACTATCTTATGATCATAAACAAGCTTCTGTCCAAGTTTGGTAGAAATCAAGGATAGTTTAAGAAAGTTATTAAAATTTCAAAAACTTTAACCACAGAGTGAATATTTGTGGACGCCGCCGGCGACGACGACGACACCGACGGAATGTAGGATCGCTATGTCTCGCTTTTTCGACTAAAGTCGAAGGCTCGACAAAAAGCACAATAAAAGAATACATTGATTTATTTGAAATGTATAAATTATCATATAAAGTACAGAATTTTATATGAAAGCAAGAAGACAATTTTTTTGTTATAAGATGCATAGATTATGAAATGGCCTTTTTCTATTTATAATATACTTTTTCGTTAAATCATAATCACATAAGTTAAACCAGGTGAAAAAATTGACACAAAATGACATTTGTTCACAGTTTAAAGGCAGTTACACTGCATTATGCTTTCATAACGGTTTTTTCATCTGTTGGTTTTTCATTTAGTTGTGAAAAAAATATCAGCTCCTCAAATTATATGTCTAAAATAGTTAAAGCAGATATAAAAAACGTTCTGAATTGCTTCCCTTTGTAGATGTACCTTTCATAAAAAGTAGAAAGAATAAATAGTTGAGGGAAATATGAATATTGTCAAAAATGTGCAATATATTATGACTGATCAGTACATGCCCTCTCTTTTGTAAATAAAATTTATTATTAAAAAATATTCTTTTTTTAATTTTCAATGTTTTGATTGTATATATATTTTAAAAAGGTCTTAGATACAGAAGGGATCTTACATAAATTTTTGACGAAAGTCAACATTGATTTGCTCTCCCGAAATATGCAAAGGAAAATAATTACCTTCATGCATTACATTTTCTAGATATTTCAGTTTGAAGTTTTGGTATTTTAGGTAATAGAAAGCAGTAGATTACTTTTGCAACAAATGCATACAAAAAATATCTACTGTTGACCTTTTCTTGCAATCTATATAACATTCTTGAAGCAGTTTACAATCAATGAGGAAAGAAAAAAAATAATGGGGTCTATTTGCTTACTTTTAGCTAAAAACAGAATACTTACTTTTCTTAATGCTGAAAATTTAATTTCCAATTTCTAGAGCTAAATCAAAGTGCACTGTACTCTTAATAAAACATTGTCATGCAGTTTTTCTTGCCATACTTCAAAATGTTATTACTGCCATAATTTAGAACTTATTAATGACAGAAAAGTAAACAGTCTTCATATGCCTATAATTTTATGACCCTGGCCCTGCAGTAGATTTTGTGTGCTTAAATATACTTTGTGTTTGTTTTCCTTTGCAAATGCTTTCAAATTCACTTAGCCAATTTGATGACCTCTGGGAAATTTTCTGCCAATTTTGGATGCTTATCATTTAATAGCAATACATTACATTTAGATGCATTACTATTTCCCCTTGCTAAAGTATCATATGACCATAAGCAGTTTAAAATTACATTTGGATGTTATTACAAAGTTATTGTCAAGTGGATTTCATTTCATATATGATTTGAAAACTGCTTGTATTTTCTTTTATCAAAATCATTCAAAATTGAATTACTAAAAAATGTACATGTATTGACAACATTTGTAACCGGATTACTTTTGAACTACATAACCTGCATTGTGGATGATTAACTGACATGAATGGATGAAATGTTGTTAAAATATATAACTTGTTGACATTTTTCACTTATCAGATCCTGTAAACAAGAAATAACATTGATGTGACATGCAACATGTGTGTACTGAAATATACCATGAACATCAGGAAACAATGTAATTTTTGGGGGAGTGTTTTATTTTCTGTCTCTTGATTTTGAAGAAAGAAATTCATTGATTTAAGAAATAAAAAAAATAAATGATAATTTTGTTTTGCAATCCTTCTTTTGGTCAATATCATTCCCTTTTATTGGGGAAAAATTATATTGTGCACTTTCAAGTTCCAACGAGTACATGTAACTAAAATGGCTTGCATGGAATGATTAAAGATAAAATAATGTATGGCACTTTTGCAATAAATCCAGATTCTTATAGCAAATTACAAACAAAATCAATAGATTAGATGTAGTGTTAAATATACCTTTGAATAATGACTTGTTGTGAATTTGAATTTAAAAACAAATTGAAAATTTAAATAAATTGACACGAACAAGATAAGAACCATTTTAAAGTTTAATAAATATGATAAAGATTTGTCTATTAAAGGGTGTTTTTTTTATATTTTACTTCATTCTTCTAAATTATACATGTATGCTTAACTTGTGTGTAACATGCAGTGTTATAATGATAATTGCACATGCAAAAAAAATATTTTGAATGAAATGAATCAGTAATTGACACTTGAAACTCCCAAGGGGAATAAATAGTTCCTTTTAAGGTCCTGAGTTGGCAATTTGTTGTAGCAAACATTGTCCTTTTGATTTGTGTGAAAATGACTTTTATGAAAATGAGCTGTTGTTGTAAGCACTTCTGCTTCGTCGTCTTTGTAAGCTGCCACAAAATTTGTTGAAAAGTTTTCATTGTGAACATGTAAATTGTCTAATGCCCACTGCATCTTCACATCAGAAACAAGTCTTTTCTGAGTCCGTGGAGTTCTTGTTTTCTTCATCATTCTGACTGCAGTATCCAGCGATTTTTTGAATTTTTCACCGTTAGGTCCTTTCACTGGCACAACTAAGGTCACAGAAAATGCAGTTCCTTTGTTTCGAATCATCAACAAACACATCTGAAATAAACGTTCCTCGTCAATTCTCGGTGTAACTATGTAAACACTTGCACCACAACCAAACCAGTCATCTAGTAAACTTTTCCACAATCTCATTATATAATCATGCTGCATTATACCCCCACCTTCTGGTATCATATCCAGTAAGTCTTGAACCTGGAAAAAATAAATAAAATCAACATACATGTACATTTCAATTAAATAAAATCAACATACATGTACATTTCAATAAAATAAAATCAACATACATGTACATTTCAATAAAATAAAATCAACATACATGTACATTTCAATAAAATAAAATCAACATACATGTACATTTCAATAAAATAAAATCAACATACATGTACATTTCAATGAATCTAGAAAATAGAAACAGTTGTCAAATAAATGTAACCCTTTCAGTATCTACCGTTTTATTTTGACAATTGAAAAAAAGGCATTTATAGCTTGCTATGCAATATGGGTTTTGCTCATTGTTGAAGGATGTACAGTGACCTATAGTTGCTAACCTTGTACGTTATTTTATCTCTGCTGGAAAGTTGTCTCATTGGCAATCTCACCACATCTTCTTATTTTTATATTTAACTAGCATTGTGACCAATACTAGAGTAGACAAATACATTGTACATGAAGGAAAGCATAGTCTTTTTAGTACACTACTAATGTGCAATCATACATCATCATTTGTTGTTATATATCTTAATTATACTACATGTACATATAACGGTAATACACAATTATTAGTTTCATTGACATTACTATTATGATGCATATGATTGTTCATAAAGATAAACACAGCCATTTTTCAAACAGAGGCATTTATCAGACAGTATTGCAATATAATTGTGCTAAATATTAAGTTACCAACAATTTCATCATACAGTTATGTTTAAGGATGTTTTTTGTAAATAAAATTTAAAGTTGTTCCCTTTTAGTTAATTCTGCCATAACAAACATTTGATAACTAAAATACATGAGAACTAAACATCTCAAACTTTGATATACAGGTATATATTATAAAAGTGTTTATCATGTAGATAAAATACTAAAATGTTCAGGGTATACAATGTTTTAGTAACATTTGTGAATTCTATAGTTGTTTATTAGTTTCTCTGAATGTAATGTACTATATGTCGGTAAAATCTTCAGGCTATAAAATTAAACCGTAATGTACTATAATAACCATGTTTACTCCTGACACATGTAATTTACAATTATGGTTTGATGGACTTTTAAAACTAGGCTTTAAGTATAGATAATAGTCTGCTAGCAGTTTATTATATTATTCTAAACTAATTTAGTGTTATTATGGTTGAATTAGTCATTTACTTCTCATGGAAAATCCAAGACCAATTAGATTATTATGAGTACATGTACATGTATCTTTTTCATTGTACATACATGTAACAAGTATACAGTGACAATACATGTAGTTGAAACCCCATACATGTAATTGAAAAATAGCATGCACTACTTGATTATATATATTACTTAATATCCAAGGCATTTATGGTAGTTTAAATTCAGTAGATTCGATACATGTAGTATTCTTTGACATATATTGATCATGCTTGGTTAGATGCTCAGCATTCTTGAATAAATAAATATCTTAATATATGTGAGAATTTGATCTTTTTGAAGGATTAACTGTGGGTCAAAATGTAGGTCATTTAAAAAAAACAGGTGAGGATTTAAGGGGACTCATGTTATACACTAACCCTAAAACCAGTGAAAAAATCTGGTTTGGGTGTTTGCAGTGTCAACAATTGTAAAATGTTTTTAATTTGACATACATGTATGTGTCTCTATGTTAATAGTTTATTTTGATGGGTTTACCTGGTTGGGGAGGATCCTCATAAATGGATACTATCCTCATTTATGGTTATTATACCTTAAAATGGGTATCAATTTTCAGTGATAAAAATATAAACTTTGAATTTACAGATGTTTTTTGTCATGGAGGAAACATTCGGGTAAAGAACAACATTTTGCCTAAAGACACCATGACTGAAATATCACCAGGATAAAAGTTAACAGCCTTCAAAAAGTAGGATTTTTGGAGGCCATTATCTCTATGTTCAGTTCTTATTTGAACTATGGTCTTAAATGGAAAAATGTTGTCATTTGCATGAATATTTTCGCCATGACAGCTATCATGATGAAATAAAAATTTCAATATATTTATCACTGTAAACCGGATTTTGGGTATAATACCCATAAATTACCCATTTATGAGGAACTTCTTCAACCTGTTTACTTATGTAAAAAGCTGTTCCTTGCTGCACACAATTGGAACTGTTGAGATGAGATGGATGCAAAGCAAAAGTTTAAGGAAATAGCAAATAAAAAGCTGTTCATTGGATACCTGTATATTGAAATATATAAAATAAGACTTTTATTGATGTTCTTCATCTTTGCCATTAACTAAAGAGTTCCCATATCGTACAACAAGGTCAGGATTAAATAAGTCACATGCTTTTAACCAACCCCATTGTCAACTCTTTAAAATATCTTATACATTGGTGATGAAAAGATTTGCAAACACGATGAATAATTGGTATGGAAAAAAGTTTCTAGATTATTTATAGTTACCTCTTCCACATTTTTATCCAGTTGTAGATAACGTGTTACAGAATTGTCTGATACAGATTGCACATCTGCCAATTCCTGCATGTCGGAATTAGCTTGCTCCAAAATGTCTGCAAAATTGTCTATAAACCATATCCAGTGATTTTTACCATAAATTTTCATTATTCCTGTTCGTTTATTAATTTTCACTGTCACTGCGGGAGCAATTTTCATTTTGGTGATGTCTGCTTTCTCCCTATAAGTTTTATCGGGGAATATACTTTTGAACACACGTAACCACCATATAGTTTTGTCACCCTTATATGCTGTTGTAACAACAATTTCATTTCCTTTGTCAAAAAAATCCACATCCACTGGGGTAGGAGTAGCCCAGATCTGAGAGAGAATTTTACGTCGGTCTTTCTTAGATGGCATTGTTCCGATTATTTAGTCTCTTGTTTTACATGACCTGACCCTGAAAAGGATTTAATAGGCATGTAAGACAACAATCATAAAAATCAATGATCACTTCCTTAATGTAAAGAATGTTATTTCAAATAATCATGTGATCTAAATATTGTCATGAATAATGAAGTATGAACTATTACCTTTGAATAATTTTTATAAAATCCATATGAATATTAAGATCAGAGCAATGTGTTGTAAATCTATTAACAATACACAAACCTATGTGTAATATCTATCTTTGTTATGACACACCTGTGTTTTCACCTGAAAGAAACCATTGAAATGATTTCATTGGCTTTCTATCTTAAATTGTCCAATCAAATCTTTAGTTTGCTTTAGGGCAGAATAAACAAGTGAATATCTTATCACCCACTTGACTATAAATAGTAAGTAATTGTCAATATTACCTGACAGGTATTAATCAGATTAAATCAATAGAGTAATAAAAAAAAATAATGAGTGAAATTAATCAGTTTCTTTTTTCAGGAGAAAAAGGAGGGGTATTTAATTAATTTTTAGTTTTAGCTGATAAAATTAATTAATGAATTTAATATTTTATACACGAACTGTGACCAAATATTAGTTGTTTATGTTTTAATCCCAGATATGATGGAAAGGAAAGGAGATTTAAATTTTGATACATTTCTTTCAACAATGAATTTGCACAGAAGAAAATATTGAAGTTAAAATTTTGACCTAGATTTTAATGATTAGACAGTTGCATAAAATTTTTGTTATTTATATAAAAATAGACGCATGTATGAAAATATAATTAAATAAATAAACCTTGTTATGCTGATAGGGAAAAAAACTCACCAAAAGATACCAGGCTTATGATTTGGTATGCCAGACATGCTTTTCATCCACACAACACTCGATCATCAGTGCTGCTTGAATCCAAACAGTTGGAAAGCCAAAAACACATCTAAGTTCAAAAGCATTGAAAACAAAAAAATCAAAAGAAGTTCTGCCAAATAAATGAGTGAATAAGTAATTGCTAATTATCTTAAAAAAAATTGCATGTCATCACTCATTCTGACGGGGATCATTGTGAGTAATATGTAATTTAACGACAGGTGACACCTTACCTTGACCTCATTTTCATTATTCATTGATCGATAACCTAAAATAGACTGGTCTTGAGAGAAATGAAATGGGTTGGATGTTCATCTGGTGAAAATGTCACCAAATATTATCAAATAGCCAATATATCAAATTATTGCTGTTCTCAGTCTTGAAAGTTACTGGAAGGTCTTTAATAAGAACTGAAATAGCCATACCTTACAGGAAGACAAAGATGACCCTTATTGAACCTTATATACTTAAACAGTGCTTGCTGATATTTGTTGGTAACCAGTCTACATATATGTCTCTTTAATGTAACATACACAGGAGTAATTTGAAAAAAAAAACTGGTGAAATTTCTTAATAAATCTATCATTTGTTGCCAATCAAGGAAGTTTCCAACCATAACAATTACAAACAAACATGATGTTTTGTCTTGCCTGGGACTGGGAAACCTAGGGATGCTTCTCCGATGGCAGCACAATAAATGGCATAAATGTTTTATATTTCAGAAGGTAGAAGAGTTGAATAATCAAAGTCTTGTATACATTTTTTTTATGTTGAGGTTTCGTGATGATATCAGCTTGTCAATTCAAATAAATGATTATTCAACTATACTTGGTTTATAGAATCATTGATAAGTATATGTATGTCTATAGTAAAAGTAAATGTGTTGATGCAAATGTGAATGCTTCAGTTTCATCAGTTACTTTTTAGAGCATTCATTATCTTAACTGTTTGAGATAAGAATGTCTTCTTAAAAAAACCCACATAGTACTTATAGAATATTGTTAAACTTTGCAAGTGAGAAATGTACACAGAGCGATAAATTCTTTAGCAGGAAGAATTTATGCTAAAAGTTGAGAATTATATGAAAAAGTTTGTGTATACTTGTAGTTTGATTATTTCAGTGATGATCAGCATGGATGTAACAAGGTTCCTGGTTGCCATTGGGATATCTATAGTCAGGGAATATGTACCAATAATTCTCTTATTCCAGAAAGGTAGGACATTATTTTTACAATAATTTGAACTGAATACATTTTAAAGGAAAAAATAAAAAAAATATGGAGGCGGTGGAAAACTTTCAAAAGTGCATAGCATAGTCGTTTTGTATTCAAGCAGCAGCTATAATGGATGATATTGCTATACGAAAAAAGAAAAATTATAAAGAAGCGCTGTTCTTGATTTAGTTTCTTCTTGAATGCTCAAAACTAAAAGATTGAAAGCTGCGCATATATAAAAACTTAAGGAGCTATATGTGACCAGCAGGACCTAAACAGAATATCTAAGGTCAACTTTGTCTGACCTTTGCTAGTCTCCATCTTTTTAAGGGAACCCTGGTTACAAATGTTCAGCATTGTGTCAGTTCAGATATTTTAAGCAGCATGCATATTCACTTTAATTATATTTCATTTTAACTACAATTAATTTGAATTTACTCAAGGTCATAAAGGAGAAGGTCTGGTAAGGGCTTATTTTGGCATAAAATTTGAAGTACATCTGATGAAAGATGTTTGACATTTTTTAAACACTTAAGTGTCTTCTTCAGTCGATCCAATTAGTTTATTTAAAAGATTTGAACTGATTTGGTCATTTAAAACGCCTAAAAATCTATCAAATATGCCACAAAACGTCACATTTCAGATGGTTTTTGTCAAAAATGGAAGTGGATGCATTCGTGTTCAGTCTCAACCTTTATATATGTTATGTATCACCACCAAATACAACATATATTTCAATATTAAGACTGAACACAAGTGTGGCCACCTCCATTTAAGACAAAAACTGTCTAAAAATAAACATAAATGCTAAAATTGTGATGATTTCAGTAATTTTGCTTGATTTAATGATGCTATTACCTGATGCATGTGCAATGTATTATCAAAAACAGCCCATATTTATGTAACAAAAGTATTTAACTTTCCAATAATTAGCTAAAAACTTTAATTTTTAACAAATTTTTGAAATGATATATTTTGGGGCCAAAAAAGGGGTCTTACCCGGCCTACTCCTTTCTGAAAAGTTTTTCTTTGGGTTATGACCATCTTTTCTGATAAAGTAAGGTTATATTTAAAATAAATGGGTGTTAACCAAGAAGAGAAAATGTTGTTGTAAAATTATTATTTTGCAGTTCATTTATAAACTAATAAGCTCATCTTTAAGCTTTTGATTAAATTGAATTATCTCCCCTTCATATAAGGGGAAAGATAGTTAAATAGGTAATCTTTGAACTGGATCTTGGCTATTAGTTGGCATTAAGTAAGACAATAGTTTACTAGAGTGAAGATGACTACAGGGTACAAAAGAGCAAATTATTTATAATTTTATCATTGCATTTATAGTTTTTTAGCTTTTCTCATCACTTGGCGTCCGTCGTCCGTCGTCGTTAACTTTTACAAAAATCTTCTCCTCTGAAACTACTTGGCCACAATCATCATTGGGGTCTCTAGTTTAAAAAATGTGTCCGGTGACCCAGCCAACCAACCAAGATGGCCGCCATGGCTAAAAATAGAACATAGGGGTAAAATGTAGATTTTGGCTTATATCTCTGAAACCAAAGCATTTAGAGCAAATCTGACATGGGGGTAAAATTGTTAATCAGGTCAAGATCTATCTGCCCTGAAATTTTCAGATGAATCAGACAACCCGTTGTTGGGTTGCTGCCCCTGAAGTGGTTATTTTAAGGAAATTTTGCCGTTTTTGGTTATTATCTTGAGTATTATTATAGATAGAGATAAACTGTAAACAGCAATAATGTTCAGCAAAGTAAGATCTACAAATAAGTCAACATGACCAAAATGGTCAGTTGACCCCTTAAGGAGTTATTGCCCTTTATAGTCAATTTTTAACCATTTTTCGTAAATTTTTGTAATCTTTTACAAAAATCTTCTTCTGAAACTACTAAGACAAATTTAACCAAACTTGTCCACAATCATCATTAGGGTATCTAGTTTTAAAAATGTGTCCAGTGACCCCGCCCGCGAACCAAGATGGCCGACATGGCTAAAAAATAGTACATAGGGTAAAATGTAATTTTTGGCTCATATCTCTGAAACCAAAGCATTTAGAGCAAATCTGACGGGTATAAAATTGTTCATTAGGTCATTATCTTGAATATTATTATAGATAGAGATAAACTGTAAACAGCAATAATGTACAGCAAAGTAAGATCTACAAATAAGTCACATGACCAAAATTGTCAATTGACCTCTTAAGGAGTTATTGCCCTTTATAGTCAATTTTTTACAATTTTCATAAATTTTGTAATTTTTTTTAAAATTTTTACAAAATATTTTCCACTGTAACTACTGGGCCAAGTTCATTATAGATAGAGATAATTGTAAGCAGCAAGAATGTTCAGTAAAGTAAGATCTACAAACACATCACCATTACCAAAACACAATTTTGTCATGAATCCATCTGTGTCCTTTGCTTAATATGCACATAGACCAAGGTGAGCGACACAGGCTCTTTAGAGCCTCTAGTTTTAAAATAAGCAAATATAAGAACTATGAAAAAGAAATAAACTAGCAGTATATCAGTGTCAGTGGCATTAACATGAATGACTAAATTCTTTTATTTTCAGAATTAAAGCTACAGTTTCTTTACCTTGTCTTGGACTGTACTCAAATCAAACATTTTCTGAAGATGATGTAATCAAACAATTTAATGATTTACTTATGAATGATATTCCATCATTAGATAAAACTATGATGCAGATCAGTATGGTTCAGGTTTGTACTTGCCTATATAACAATAGGGAGATGTGGTAAGATTGCCAAAGACATAACTTCCCACCAATTTCTAGGCTTAAGTTAATTAATAAATCATGTGCCATAATCATGAATGGAATGCTGGGGTTCCAAGAAAGCTGAAATTGAAAGAAAATAATACCAAATGTATTGGTTGAGAATTATAAAGATTACATACTTTTTTTCTAGAGGTTATTGATTTGTAAACTGGCTAGCTGCCATTCAAACTTTATATACACATTACATATAATAAAACTTCCATCAGACTTTTATGAAGTTTGTGAATCAGACTAGTTTACACTGACTTTATTAGTTGACAGCTCATATGATTTGGACACTTAAACTGCCTGGAAGGATAAGTAGATTTTCCCCCAGTATTAATTACATTTTTGCTTTGATTTTTCACAGGACAATACATTAATAGGGAGACAAATCCAGGTTGTATTACAAGGAAGAGTTACTTCCCTTCCTGTGTCAGAGATCTGGTGGAATATACGACAGCTGATAGAAGGTCGCCAAAATGTTTCTGTAAATGGGACTGGATACCACATTATGGTACATCCTGTTACATACCAACAGTTTACAAAGTAAATGTCATACAATATGAAAATAAAAATATGTGGTATGATTGCCAATGAGACACCTCTCCACAAGAGACCAAATGACACATAGATTAACAACTATAGGTCACTGTACAGCCTTCAACAATGAGTAAAACCCATACTGCATAGTCAGCTATTAAAGGCCCTGAAATGACAAATGTAAAACAATTCAAACGAGAAAACTAACGGCCTGATTTATGTACAAAGTAATAAACGAAAAACAAATATGATATACAGCAACAAACAACAACCACTGCATTACAGGCTCCTGACTTGGGACAGGCACATACAGAATGCGGCTGGGTTAAACATGTTAGCTGGAGCCCAACCCTCCCCCTTACCAGGGACAGTGGTGTAACAGTGCAACATATGAACAAACTATAAAAATCAGTTGAAAAGGGCTTTACTCATCAGATCGATACAAAGCATAAAAACAAGTAGCAAAAACACAGAGTGGGCGTGGCAGGGTACTTATACATCCCCACAACAAAAAGACACTTAGTACAGATCTGAGAGTACTCGCAGTTACTGACAGCTAGTTCAAAGCCAATAACAACTAATAAAAGAAATCATGGATAAAAAAAAATCTAAAAAAGTTTGTTGTGATCAGATAAAAAAAATATATTCATAGATTCTACCTCCACAATGAGTAAGGGCTATTCCATTAAAAAGAATGTACCAGGGTCGGACGGCAATTATAAAAAATCCCGTTGGTTGTTGATGTGCTGAAGCGGTTAAGGCCAGTGGTCCTTGGTGTTTAGAGAAACTAAGTATTGTTGGTTGTTGGTCTTTTTTGACAGTCAGTTTTTGTGACTGTCGGTTTCATTGTGTTATTTTTCGTTATTTATTATTATTTGTTTTTGCAAGGACTTATATAACCGATTGTTTATGTCTCCTGCTCATATCGTGATATTTTGGAAAACATAACTGTTCCTGCGACTTACGCAGCGGCAGGCGCAACGTTGTATTCTACCTATGGTACCAGTTCTGGAAGTGCAAGAGTTACTTCCCTATAATGACAAGCACATGAGGTACGATGTCAAATTCTATTGAAAGAACCTTCGATTTGAAAGAAAATAAAAATTAACTTTGCCGACCTTTTTAAGCATCAGTAGGGTAATTTTAAAACCATATTACTATTGAGATCTTATTCTAGTATTCTACAGGGTCCAAAGGCAATGGCAAATACGTTTTTCCCAGTTTTCAATTTGGGACCAAAACTTCCAAACGATCTCAAAATTTATTTTTATCTTTATTATTCATGACAGCGATGCTCATTTTGTTCAACCGCTAGCTTTATACTGAAAATCGCCATCAAGTAATGTGTAAATACGAGTAAAATCGTATCTGACTGACAAAAACAACATTGAAAAACAATGGATGCCATAATCCGGAAATGAAGACAGTGACAATACCGGATCAGATTCCGGGGTCAGATAAGGGTAATTCCAGGTTTGCCGATCAAATACAATAAAAAAATAATAATTCCAGGCAGGTGACAAAATACATCTATGATGATGAAATATAAACACTTGAATTGAAAACCAAAAGATATATGGAAAAGAAAGAAAAAGCATGAAATATTTTATACAGAAACTCAGAATAACTTTTAGTTCACAAATTTCATGTCAAAATCCAATGAAATGTGACAGTAATATTCTTTATCATTAATAAATGTTGATATTACGTGTAGATGTTTTTATAGAGTATACGCGGGAATTTCTCGCTGCATTGAAGACCTGTTGGTGACCTTCTGCTGTTGTCTGTTCTATGGTCGGGTTGTTGTCTCTTTGACACATTCCCCATTTCCATTCTCAATTTTATATATCTACAATTCCAAGAGGTAATTTCTTCTCAATTTTGAAGGGCCAGTAAAAAATAAGTTATATATATTCCAGTTGGTTCTTGTATTATCATGAAACGACTTCCTGTTGGTTGGTGTTAAGATACATGGTACATTCCTCTTGGTCATGGGGGTACTTAACAATTGCCTTCCGACCCTAGTACCTCCTTTTTAATGGAATAGCCCTAAGATTTTATTTCACCATTGGAGATTATTAAAAGTGAGGATTGTAGATTGTTTTATACATGAAAGATTTGATTGTATGGAGAAAAAATATAAAATTTAAAGATGTATTTGTAGAATATTTTTCTCTTGTCAAATCTGTTTCTCTTAGATGATATTCATTCTATTTGATTATAGGAAAAACTTTCTTTCTTCTGTGTGACTTATTTCCAATAAAATATGAGATTATTATTATTTTATTTTTTTGCAGTATGTATATATCATTAACTGTAGATGGATTTGATGCTGACAGTTTGATACAAGACCATCCACTTAATGGAAGAGAAGACATTAGACATGCTGTCATAGAAGTGGCCAAATCATACATTAGACCCCAAATTGTTAAAAGTATTGGAGACTTCAAATTTATTATGGTAAATATTAAAACATTAAAATTTTCATTCATTTTTGTTAAATTCATTTTAACTTGTACACTATTTAGAGTTTGCAGAATTTCAATTTTGGTGTTAATTGTCAAACATCAAGGGCTGTAGGGTAACATCTAGATGCTATCCTTATGGATTCTTTGCCCTTAATTTTTTTAGTGTTCATAAAGAAAAACGAAAGTTAAACTTCAGTGTTAACATTTTAATATGGACTTGGCATTGCTTACAAAGCACACTCATTAATTTATATGCCCTTCCTTGCAAATTACACATAAGTTAGGATGCAGGATCCAGTACACACTTTAAGTAACCCAAAACATATTGGATATTTTAAAAATAGAATTGTCCGATGATTTTGGAAACAACAGTTGAAAAAAAGCTGTTTTAGGTATGTTAAAAAATTTAATGTTAATGATTAAAAGCAAATATTGGAAAAAAAAATCTCTTCTAAAGAATTGTTTTGGTCTTGTGGTATCATGCTTACCTTAACCGCATTAGGTCAAGAGTTAGATTCCTGGGTAGGGAAAATGATAGACCTTAAAATTTGGAATTATCTTTATCACTGCCAAGCACACTGCATTTAGAAAAAAGTGCAAAGACTGGTTGACTCAGAGTCAGAATAATGTATCTGAGAATGGTGACATGTCTTCCTACCAATCTTTGCCAATGAGCTAGCACATTAAAAATTTTGACTCTGCTAGTACAAAGCAGGGTATAATTATATCTTATAAGCATGCTGTTAAGAAACGTACCATCAATCAATCAAGCAAAGGATTGTCATTGGATCAAGTGATGATTGACTGGCAGTTCTAACTTCCATATCAATTCAATAAAGGATATATGCTTTATTAAACCCAATGGAGAAATGAGGTGAATGTTATAATCTATCGTGGATTCCCTAGTCTGTAAATTCTGAAATTATTGCGTGCATTTATTATTGAGAATTTTGAAGAATGGACATATAAATGCGAGATTAATTATTGCGATTTCAGGCAAATTTGCATACAGATTTATGTATCATATATCAGAATTTGAGTTCTTATTAGTGCGATACTCACCCAGTCACATTATTTGCAATAATAAAAACCTCGCAATAATTTCTGAATTTACAGTATTTTACTAGCAGTATACATATATTTTCAGGATGAAGTGACATTTTCTGTGGACAGTAGCTATGACAACAGTATCGATCTTAGGTCAGAGTATGATATTTTACAGAAGGCTGTCACAAATGGCAAGGTCAATGTCACAGTCAATGAGCAGACATATGATGTCAAATATATTTTCTTTATTGGCAGTTTTGATCATCTATGTCCAAGGAGCTGTGATGAAGGGTATGCAATACTGATAGATATTTTCTGACTGCTTTAATTGTTATTAACCTTGGTGGAAATGTGTGAAACTATTTTACACGATTAATAGGTAAAATATGTGCAGAACATGTAGACAAGGTAAACAGAAACAAGGGAATATTTTATTAAGTGTAAGGTCAGAAGGGCCCATCCTGAATGTGTTGGTAAATTGCACCCAATATTTTAAGCTAGAGACAATACTGTGGTTACTGAAATGGTATTTCCTCAAATTTCACAAAAATAGAATCATTATAAGCATTTTTTAGATGTATCAGTCCAGTATTAAATATATATTTGCCTGAGAATGTATGTAGACTATTTCCACCTTACCATTTTTCAGAACACGGAGTACTTGTAGCATTATTCCAGGTTGTGATTGGTCAAATACAGGACAGTGTTTATCTGACGTAGTTTTTCCAGAAAGGTAACTTTTACATTGAATAGTAGAAAATGATAAGAATCAATAGGAATTAAAACAAACCACCTTGATAATTGATCAATGGTTTACTCTGAAGAAGGAGCAGTATTATAGTTAGGCTGACATTATTAATTTTAAGGACGGTTTTACCCCTGTCGGTCCATCAGTTTTTCCATTCACTGTTCACCAATGTGACTACATTTCATGTTCATTTTTGGTATGTCTTTCTTAGTTAGTTACTGGTAATATTTTCAAACAGGAACATATGCATAAGCTCAGCAGAGTGTTGAAAATTTCATTTTAATAAAATAACCAGTTGGTTTTTGTCAAATTTTGTGTGTGTGGCGTTATTAGTTTGTTTAATAGACAACTTTCGATTTTTTGCACTTTCCTGTAATTTCCAAACATCACAATGCTTATGTTATAATGTCAAAGTAAGAACCAATTGTTCGATGACGTCGATTATGCTGATTGACCCCAGGTCAACCAGTATTACTTATCATAGAAAACAAATTGAGTTTGATGTATAGTAGCTACTTTATTTTCTAAGTTTTCAAGGTAGATTCTGTCTGTTTTATTGGATGTTTTGTACATGTACCAACATAGGATAGTCAGTAATGTGGGCTATACATCACAGAGAAAGTAAAATGTATGAAGAATTAATTTATTTTACAACAAATTTTCCTTTAAGGAAGACTGTCAATGTTGTTTTCCCGTGTATAGACATCAGAAAGCTGACAGATCCAGAGAAGAACCATTTATTGTCCAAAGCTACAAAATACATCACCAAATACTTAAAAACAAAGACACCATCAACTGTTGTTACTTCTGTTCAATATCCAAAGGTATGCCTTCTATGGTGGTTTTGTACATTTTACTAGAGATTTTTTTTTAAAGTTAAACCTGTCCTCTCACTATTTTTTGCTAGATTTGACTTTGTTATTAAGTTATTCCCTAAGTAACATGAATGATGCCTTGTATGAATCGAGAATTTCTTATCCTTCCAAAGCATCTGAGTGTGACCATGGTGTTATATGGGATTTTTTTTCATCCCTCTGAAAATGATTTTTCAGTCATAAAATATTTTCAATTTTTTCTTTAAAAATGGCAAAAATTGAATAGTTTTATACATACCAGTATTTGTGAGGAAAATTAATTGAGTACCTGCAAGTACCCCAAAAATTAGGTTGATACTAGTATGTAATCTTTATTGGTAGGTCCAAAATCTATAAAAATGTTATGACAAAAAAAACTATCAAACAGACAAAAGAGGAAATCTTAAAATAGAATTTAAAATTAAAAAATCAAGAAAAATAAGGCCCTTATTTCACCATGCCCTTTCTTTAATCAGGAATCATATGGCTCTTATTACACCATGTTCTTTCTTTAATCCGGAAACATAAGGGCCTTATTGCACCCTGTCCTTTCTTGAAATCAAGAAACATAATATTATATGTAAAGTGTATGTAAAGTTTGAGTGGCAGCTACCCAGTTTACAAATCAATAACCTCTAGAAAAAAAGTATTTAATCTTTATAATTCCCAACCAAAACATTTGGTATTATTTTCTTTATTGCACCCTGTCCTTTCTTTAATCAGGAAACAAAAGGCCCCTATTGCACCATGTTTTTTCTTTAATCAGGAAACAAAAGGCCCTTATTGCATCCTATCCTTTCTTTAACCAGGAATCATAAGGCTCTTATTGCACCATGTTCTTTCTTTAATCTTGAAACATAAGGCCCTTATTGCACCCTGTCCTATCTTGAAATCAGGAATCATAAGGCTCTTAATGTACCATGTCCTTTCCTTAATCCTAAAACATAAGGATCTTATTGCACCATGTCCTTTTTTCATTCAGGAAACATAAGGCTCATAATGCACCTTGTCATTTTTTTCAATCAGGAAACATAAGGCCCTTTTTGCAATCAGGAAACAAAAGGATGTTATTGCACCATGTCCTTTTTTCATTTAGGAAACATGAGATTTTTAATGCACCTTGTCATTTTTTTCAATCAGGAAACAAGGCCCTTTTTGCAATCAGGAAACAAAAGAATTTTATTGCACCATGTCTTTTTTTCATTCAAGAAACATGGCTCTTAATGCACCTTGTCATTTTTTTCAATCAGGAAACATAAGGCGTTTATTGCACCATGTCCTTTCTTTAATCAAGAAACATAAGGCCCTTATTGCACCCTGTCCTTTCTTGAAATCAAGAAACATAAGGCCCTTATTGCACCCTGTCCTTTCTTTAATCAGGAAGCATAAGGCATTTATTGCACCATGTTTTTTTCTTTAATCAGGAAACATATGGCCTTTATTGCATCCTGTCCTTTCTTTAATCAGGAATCATAAGGCTCTTATTGCACCAAGTTCTTTCTTTAATCTTGAAACATAAGGCCCTTATTGCACCCTGTCCTGTCATGAAATCAGAAAACATAAGGCCCTTATTGCACCATGTCCTTTCTTGAAATCAGGAAACATAAGGCCCTTATTGTGCCATGTCCTTTTTTTTAATCAGGAAACATAAGGCACTTATTGTACAATGTCCTTTTTTTTAATCAGGAAACATAAGGCACTTATTGTACAATGTCCTTTCCTTAATCCTGAAACATAAGGATCTTATTGCACCATGTTTTTTTTTTCATTCAGAAAACATAGGCTCTTAATGCACCTTGTCATTTTTTTTCAATCAGGAAACATAAGGCCCTCTTTGCAATCAGGAAACAAAAGGATTTAATTGCACTATGTCCTTTTTTTTAGCTCACTGGGCCCAAAGGGCCCCATGTGAGCTTATGCCATCACTTGGCATCCGTTGTCGTCCGTCGTTGTCTGTCGTCGTCGTCGACGTAAACTATTTCAAGAATCTTCTTCTCTGAAACTACTGGGCCAATCAAACTTTAACTGAATGTTCCTTAGGGTATTTAATTTATAAATTGTATCCGAAGTTTTGATCCATCAACAGACATGGATGCCATGGCTAAAAATAGAACACAGGGGTCAAATGCAGTTTTTGGCTTGTATCTCAAAAACTAAAGCATTTAGAGCAAATCTGAAAGGGGTAAAAATGTTCCATTATTCAAGATCTATCAGCCCTGAAATTTTCAGCCGAACCGAACAACCCATTGTTAGGTTTCTGCCACTAAATTGGTAATTTTAAGGAAATTTTGCAGTTTTTATACGCCCGTTTACGGGACGTATTATGGTATACCGTTGACCGTCTGTCTGTCTGTTCGTCCGTCCGTCTGTCCGTCCGTCGTCAACATGTCGGACATTAACTCAAAAACGCTTGAGCTCCCTTTCGATTTTTATATATTTTAGATTTTACATTTCCCAGTTACAGGGTTTTTTTCATAAAAAAAAGGGGGGATTTTCCAGTTTTCGGACAAAAAATCAAAAATGCTTTCAACAGTTCTTATGAAACTTTGGTGAATTGTTTATATCTATTGATGTAAGCTCCGTTTAGAATTTTATAAATTTTACATTTTACATTTTTGAGTTATGGGGTTTTATTCATTAAAAAAGGAAGGATTTTCCAGTTTTCGGACAATAACTCAAAAATGCTGTCAGCAATTCTCATGAAACTTTGGTGAATTGTATATATCTATTGATGTACGCTTCCTTTACATTTTCATAAATTTCTAATGTGACATTGAGAATTAATTGAACTTTATTTGTTTATAGTCTGACAACAGATTTACTAAGTATTGCGCAACAGCACAGTGTATTGCACAACAGCAAGAAATCTTTAATTGAATATAAATTTAATTCATATAACCAATTTCAAGTTCTTTGACTACATTTATTCAGAAAACCTATAATATTTCAAATATTTAATTACAATCCAAATTCAGACCTGTATCAAGCTTGAATATTGTGTCCACTTTTGCCCCAACTGTTCAGGGTTGGACCTCTGCGGGCGTATCCAGCTGCACTCAGCGAAGCAGTTTATTGGTGATTATCTTGAATATTATTGAAGATAAAGATAAACTGTTAACAGCAAAAATGTTCAGCGAAGTAAGATCTATAAAAAAGTTTATATGACCAAAATTGTCAATTGACCTCTTAAGGAGTTATTGCCCTTTAAAGACAATTTTTCACACTTTGTTCATCTAGTTTGCTTGCCTTACTTTAAAAAATCTTCTGCTTTGAAACTGCCGAATTTTTTTGAGCCAAACTAGGACTGAATATGTTTCAAAGTATCTAGTATACATTTTGTATTTTATTTCCTTGCACGCCAAGAAACATAGCCACTATGGCTATAATGGAATAAAGGGGTAAAATGCATTTTTTTTTGCTTTTGAAGAAAATATGACAGATACAAAGAGCATTTAAATGGCATTTTTAAGCCACTCATTAATAAATATTGAAAGTAAAAATAATCATTGATGAAAGATTTTCAGCAAAAAGTTACAGGTGAGAGATTCATGCTCTTGAGAGCCTCTTGTTTCATTCAGGAAACATAAGGCTCTTAAGGATGTACACCTGAGGAGCCAAAAATTTCTAGAATTAAACTTTTTTTCTTAACCTGATTTTTGGGTTTATATGACTGTAAAAAAATAATTGGTGAAGAAAAAATCTTATGGTGGTGCACTTCTTTTTTTGCTACGGCCCTTTGAAAGTACCCAATTTTGATGATTTTCCCATTTTCATCAATTTTTACATATTTTTGGGCTTTTATCGTGAAAAAAATCACAGTTCCACAATTAAACTTTTTTACATACTTTCAATAAAGATGTAGTGGACCAATCTGAATAAATTTAACTAAAAAAAAAATAGGTAGGTGTTAGTATAAGAAAGTTTTATCATATTTTGATGCTTTTTTGTGTCAAATTTACCATGCTGTCAATTTTGTAAATTTGTGATTTTTCTCAGTTTTAAGAACAAAATGCATATTATTTCAACTTTTTTGTTATAAATGATTGAAAAAATACATATCTAAGAAATTTGAAAAGAAAAAAATGATATGGGATGTACATGATTCTGGTAAAATCATTTTTATACCCCTCACCCATTTTCTCAAAATTTTGGCTAAAAAGACTGACTTGATTGGTCATAAAATTTGAAAAATTGATTACTCAAAAACTACTCATTGTAAATACACAATTTTTTCACAGAATTAAGTTTATTCATAACATTTTTAAAATTCATTGATATTTTCCACTTGTATCACATGTTTTGGAAATAATTCCAGAACGAGATTTCAACGAGACTGAAACGTCAGAAAAATACATCCTTAATGCACCTTGTCATTTTTTTCAATCAGGAAACATAATGCTCTTATTGCACCATGTCCTTTCTTTAATAAAGAAACATAAGGCCCTTATTGCAACCTGTCCTTTCTTTAATCAGGAAACATAAGGAACTTATTGCACCCTTTCCTTTCTTGAAATCAGGAAACATAAGGCTCTTATTGCACCATGTCCTTTCTTTTATCAGGAAACATAAGGCTCTTATTGCACCATGTTTTCTTTAATCAGGAAATATAAGGCACTTATTGCACCATGTTCTTTATTGCCTTTAAGCTATTTAAAAAAAAATGTTGAATACACTTTGGGTATGCGAGGAAATGCTTCAATACTATATTATAAGACTTTTATATTTTTACTTAATTTCAGTCTGCTAAAAAGAGTTTGAAGTAATAAACCCTAATTTAAGTCACTTTGACAAAAGATATGATTATTTTTGTAGGATAGTCCTAACCATATTGTCATTACTCTACAAGCCACTTCTAGATCTCCACCATTATCTGTTTTGTACAAGGACACTGAACAGTGGCTGAAGGACAAGACGTTAGATCTATCATTTAACAATTACACTCTATTAGGAAGATCAAGCAATGATTTTACAAGGTAAATGTAAATATTATGAACTCTATGAGATTCCGTAAAACTTTGATAAGTAAACAGAACTATAGTATCAGTATACTTTTGGTTCATTTTTATTTACAGGGGTATAATAAAAATGTTTCATGTATTTTGTTTAATAAAAGTAGTTTTCAATATCAAACTCAGTACTATGCAGTAAGACAATATAACATGGTCTTTGGTCTGGTTTGGATGAGGATATAACCTAGATTTTCTTTAATAGTATTCAAATGAAATCTTTGATATTGAAATCTGCAGCAAGCAAGAATTTTGAGTGTGTTTCATATGTGCAACCCTTATACCTAATTATTCTATTTGACTTAACTGATTTGATAGTTATTGACTACCTAAAGTATTTTTGAAAGGCATCTCAAAGTGAAAAAGTTATTCACTGAACTATCACACAATTTTATTTAGGGGCCAGCTAAGGACCCCCTCCGGGTGTGGGATTTTCTCGCTGCATTGAAGACCCATTGGTGGCCTTCGGCTGTTGTCTGCTCTTTGGTCGGGTTGTTGTCTCTTTGACATATTCCCCATTTCCATTCTCAATTTTATGTTAAGCATAAATGTCACAGAGATTAGGGTAAATAAAAATCATGAATGCTAACTGATTATTAGAAAATAAAATACATTTTGTATATGCTTTAAGAATGATTGCCTTCTAAAAGAGACATCTACTGGTCTGAGTAGTGTAGTATGTGTAGTATAATAAATCCCAGATAAGGATTATCATATTTTGGAGGAGAGTGAATAGTTTTGCATATCTCAACAGGCCACCTCTGGTAAAGATTATTTTTTCTAAAGATACCAAACTGTATTGCATTTAAAACTATGCAGACTACTTCAAAATTCAGATGTCGTTTGAAGTGCAGAGTGCTAGCCGCATTAAAAAACCCATTCAAAATAAGTATCACAATTTAAAGAAAGCTTTGAAATTTATGCAGCATTGTTACTGTTAGTTTATCAAAGACTTAGTTATGAATTTAAAATCAAAATTTATATATTATCTTCTTTTTCAGTATTTCAGTAGCACTGGAATTTTCAAACATCAATTTCACAGAATTATCAATACATAAAAGAATGGATTGGATAAAAGAAATATCAAGTAGATTAAAGTTAATCCTAAGTGATGGAGTTAGTGTAGACAATGAATGGTTGACTTTGGTAAGGAAAAATATTTTCATTATCTCTATGAATAGACATATAGAGCATACATGTGTCTATTATTGCAGTATATGGTAGGCAAGCAGAAAAATAAGGTATCTTACTATGTATTCAAACCTTCAGTTTTAATCCAATCTTATATTCAATACAAACTGAATTTCTTCAAGGATTTGTCACGACTATTTTGAATGTAAATTTGTGAGTAGAACATCGAACTGGATAATTATTGAAGAAAAACTTGTATCACCTGGTGAAAGAAGGTGTGTGTCAAAATACTGATAACTTGTACAAAACCCTGTACAAATTATAATTTGTAAGAAATTACAACTTGTACACAACATATACATTATGTTCAGGAGGATTTTGTTTTATGAAAATACCAGTTGAAAAGGAAACATTTCCTGATTCACCAGGCAAGGGAAATTCTTTCTCTAGACTAGAATTTTTGGCAAATACCCCTCCTTAACATGGTATATGTGTTTTATTACAATGAAAATCAATAAGAAGGGTTAAGTTTAACATTTCAGTATATTCCTTAATTCTTTTGGTATCAAAATGATAGCAAAAATGGCTGCATATTAAAAAAAATATTACATGAATGATCAAACAACTCCTTAAGGAGTGAAACAGGCACACATGTTTTCCAATATATCATGACAGAGAGGGTAAAAAAAGCCTTGTGCATATACCCCGGTGACAATGAAATATGAACAATAATATCCATCAGGTAAAGAAAAATGCATGACAAATATACTGGCTATTAACCAATTAAAATTAAGCATACTTACACTAGGTGTAATTACCCCAAAAATTCAAATCCTTAAAACTACACAGGTTATATGATACATATATACTCCTATTACTGTACTGTAGAAAGGAATAGAAGGTTAAGCAGATTGGCCATTCATTTAGGGTTTCCATATATTGAATATCTAGCTAGGTGTTCTGACATTTCTGTTTCCACAGTTAATAATTCTTATATATGATATGTATCTGTTTCAACTGCTATATATTTCACTGTTTTTATCATAGAATTACAGTATTTTTGATATTAGAAGAAGCAACAACATATCATACCACATTGATTTGGATAAAGTTTTAGAGAAAATACAGACATTTATAAACCTTGGTGGATTATCATTTCATTCACAGAGCAATCCAATAACACCACATAATGTTCTTATGAATGGCAATATAGACTGTAACATTTGTAATCTAACAGCTCAGATTTGTAAAATGGAAAGAAAATGTTTCTGGCAGGGAAAATGGGATGTTAAATTTTGTAATGCTGTAAAAAATCCTGATAAGTAAGTTGAACAAGGATTAAGTATGTTGTCTTGTACATGTAGTAATTTTTGGCGATATATCCTAAGAAGCATGAAAGGAATACCTAGAATTAACAAGAACACAGTTCTGAAGGTTCTAATTTTTGCACTATTGTGACCCACCCCCATTCATATATTAATGCATAAAATTTTTAGCCCCCTCATATATGGGGGTGGTTCTGAGCACGGAAACACCAGAAATCCGGTGCGGATCCAGGATTTAATGTTAGGGGGTGCAAAAAATATTGTTCTGTAAGTTTTCACTCTATATGTCACCAATTAAAGGTATTTATAAACACATATTATTTTGTTCAGTGGAATGCATCCAGTGTATAACAATGACATATCCTATGATGAGATCACAAACGCCAATAGTTTCTGTCGGGAAGACTATTCTTTTGGGTGTCATATTGAGTGATGGTATTTCGTCTGTGACACGCTTCAAAAAGATTTAAGATCTTAATATCGCCTTACACCAAAACTATATATCTTCAAATTATGAACCAAAGTATATTTCGCGGGTATTTTCTAGTATTATATTATTGCTGTTTAACAAAGCTTACAACTCCATAAAGGTGACTTTTGACAATATTGGCTGTTTGGTTGTACAATGTAATTCTTTTGTGACTAACTTATTAATTGTTGATCATCACCTGGCCACTGGTATTCTGTCTGTTACTTACTAAAAGCTGATGTCCACCACTGGTTCTCTGCTCTTTAGCTACTCAAAATTGAAAAGGAAAGTCTTTTTAATGTGTTTTTTTTTTTATAAAAAAAGAAAATACGAAGAGTTAGGTCAATTTTCAGTTAGTTTTTTTACCCTCAAATATATAGCACATACAAGTACCAAGTAGGACTCTTCCTTTAAGAATCTTAGAAAAAAGTCAACATCATCTGATACCACTGTAATATATTCATTTCAAAGCGAAAAAAGAGGCCAAAGATACCAAAGGGATATTCAAATCTCACAAGTCGAGAGAAACTGACAACAGCATTGCAAAAAGTGAAAGACGACAAAAAGAGAAACACAAGTCCACAAAACCCTACAAAGTAAACTAAAGACTGAGCAACAGGAACCCAACCAAAAAACTGGGGTTGGTCTCAGGTTCTCCAGAAGTGTAAGCAGATCCTGCTTCACTACAGACACTTGTCCTGTTACTCATGTTAAGTACAAATTAGATGAGGAGTCTCATTCATTAATGTCACAATTGAGGAAAAGAGATGGAATACATGTAAATATCATACATCTATTTTTAGATTTACTTATGAAGTACTTCTGCCGTGTAATCAGACTCAGACATTGACTGTGGATGAAAAGAAAGACTCAGAGAAAATATTGTATAACAAGGTTCTACAGTTACTGCATCCTGCTGGACAGGACATTATTAATTCTGTTCATATTCAACAGGTATTGATTTAAGGGGTCAAAGCATTTATGTCTGTTTTGCTGTACATTCAATATGGGCGAGGTTACAGCGACGAATCTGTCAGTAATTGCAATCATTGAGGGGTATAACTGCCCAAAGGATGTATGCCTCTAAAGTAAAGTGTCTGAGAAGCTGAGCGGACCAAATGACAATGCCAAAATGCTTGATAACTACGGCTCTCTTATTTTATTGCAAATGAGCTAAATATGTAAATACATAATATATAAGTTGAAAACATGACAAAATGAAAAAAAATTAGATTTGCATATGACAAATCTGTGGGGAGGGTTTTGTGACAGATATTTCCATTTCTTTGCCATTTTAGAAAAGTTGAACCCCACAAAAACATAGGTGGATGGCATGTAGAAGTTATTAAAGCATTGAATGATAGCCTTTAATCTTGTAACCTGTTTCAAAATTCTGAAATTTGTGATGTATCTAATTCAAGTAACACTCGCTGTTCAGAATTTAAAGTCTATTTATAGTTTACAGTTTAGTTAATTATTATACAGTTTTATATTACATATACATATTTGATATTTTAATCTTTTGATATTAATAATCAGAAAGGAGTTACCATTAAACTACAGACCAGTCCATTATATCCACACCTAGAAAGATATGCTGAGACCTTACAACAACAAGTGGACTTCAGAACAGGATTTAACTTTGGTCCACAAAATAAAACAACAGTTTTAGTACCAAGGCATGCTGAAGACTTTACAAAGTAAACAAACTGACTTTGTGTATTTTAGATATACTTGTTTAGTGCTAGTCATTTGGGAAGATCATCAAGATTATAAATAATTTAAATATGGTTTTAAAAAGGCTTGCATTTTATAAACTAAGCATTTAATGTTGAAATGAAAAATAAATTGCCACAAAGTCGGCTAGAATGGGCATAATGAGAAAATAAGATGGTTCACTATAAGCAGAGCAGATTGAAATTTAAACTTCATTTGAGAATTGTTTGGCATATATTATTGTGTTGCTGTATGATTTATTACGTTATATCTAGTACATTTTGAGTATGAAATTACATATACCCCATGTCAGAAAAGAATAAAAATAAGGAGATGTAGTATGTCAATGAGACAAATGTCCGTAAATAAAGGACAAAAATGTGAATAATCACAAGTCACTCAGTATGGCCTCAAACTATGACCAGAACACACAGCGCAGTATGGTCCACCTATTCAATTTAAATTTAAAAAAAGAGAGAAATTGAACATTTTGTATAAAAACAGCCACAAATTTCCATTCAAAATTTCTTATACATTTATATGTGACCAGAGCTGATTATAGGTTAGAACTCTTATCAATTTTCTGGTCTTAGAGAACTTAATGCATAATAATTGTACTCCCAGTCTTACAGTGAGGGCTGTTTTGCAATCACCTCGCCTTTTCCCTCATCTATTTCCTACCAGAAAGACTTCATATTTGGTCAGCTGCATTGTTGAGTTTTAAGGTGTAGGCACTTTTTGGATCTGTCAGAATCTATCTTCCTGTTTGCTGATACTGGGGATTCATTATTATTCGTGTGATACCAATGTCTGTAGATTTTTTGGTTACAGGTGAACCACAAATTTAAATTTAACAAAGTACAAATTTTCTATAGGCTTGCATGCAGACTTTTGTAAAATCACAAAATGAAATATCCAGGTAGATACAATTTTTCTGTAATCAACGAAAATTGGTACCCATGAAAATTAAGAATCCAGTACTTTGAATTTTCAATTTGTTAAATGTACTTTTTTGTCAGACATTCTTCAATACTACTGAAGGAAATGACTTCATCTCTGCACTGCAGCTTGACAGTGATGACTTTTAAAGTTTTAGCACTTTTCTGATCTGTCAGACACATATTTCCTTTTTTACTATACTTACGACAATTAGGACAATGCATGCAACTTCTTATATAAACTGATTCATTTCAAATACATTAACTAGATAACATACTTTTGTTTACATTTTTTTATGACTATGCTGTTTTTTATTTTTCAGTGTTGAAATAACACTTGATTTTGGAAGTATAGATTTTGATGCCATAGTGAACAGCGGACTAGCTAGTTATTCACAGATATCATCATTGTTAAATAGGAAGATCAGTTTTTTCATGTTGGGAGAAATAGTTCAGACTTACCAAATTAGGACAATAGAAAAGGTAATCTTTTTCTGGTGGAATAGGGGATTTTCTAAATAAAGTGGATAACGTTTTTTCACTGATAATGATTACTTGAGAAGTAGTAATATTGTGTGGCTGTATTTCATGAAATTTTATGAGAAAGCCATATATCAATATGATAATATTAGTTATCAACCTGACAATAGCTAGAAAGGAATAAAACAAAAACCCCACACTTACAGCTCTTTCAAGATGGATCCTAATTGACTTAATAAGGGGGAATAATTATAATTCATGTAAAGAACAGAAATTATAATTGGTAGTTTACAAATTTGCATTATGTTTGAAAGTTTGATAAATTTTGTTGAATATATTTTCATATATTAGTCTTTCTGTTATAGCTGATTATATAGAAATAAGGAGTGGTGGTATTTAAAGTTTGTAGATTCCTACGATCTCACAATGTGGGTATATTGATGGAACAAATAAGGGAAACTATGTTAATCATGGATCATTGGTGAATAACTGACACATTTTCTCTTTGTTTGTAGATCAAGTGAACACAAATAATTTTGCAAAATGACTGGAGTTTATACTTTGCTAATTACCATTGGAATGACAAACTGAACTGATTTTATTGACATGGATGATTACAAACTTTCTTTACCATTTGGTCATCCAGATCAATAGTATAAAAATTTCAATGATTTAATTTTAGGATTATATTAGGTTCAGCTTAAAGAAAAGCTATGACAGCCATATTGAATTGACAGGGGAGATAACAAAACTAAAGACTATGGTTGATGGTGGTGTTTTTGATATAGATATCAATTACATCAGGCCTGTCACAGCCACATGGATGTCTGTGCAGGGAACATTTGATGAGTATGTATACTTTGTTAGTTTGTCAAATATTGCTGATTTTTTTTATTGCTAATTAAATCTCTAATGCAGCAAGACTTTTTATTTGTCCATATTTTTGGGGATATATTTTTCCTTCTGTGATTTTGGTGTAAAATGGGACACCCACATATTTAAGTAGTTCTTGACCTGTTTACTCACACTTTTCCAGATAATTAGGAATGGAATCTTAAGTGTCCTAATATTTAAACTTTGATGTCAAGTCTGAATTAGTTTGTTGATTTGATGCTGCAATAGTCCTTTAGGTTTTGAAAAAGATGGCCTGTTGCAAGGTAAATGTCATACCTTACCCACAACACTTTCTTTTATGGTGTTGGTCCAAGTTTCCTGCTCTTAAACTTGAGCAGCCTACTTATTGATTTATTGGGGGTTTTTTAGTCATCAATATGCATTGAAATATTTGCAGCTGGAAAATAAACTCACAAAAATAAGTCAATCTTCATTTGAATTTGTGATTGTTTTTTTTTCTTCTTTGTACTTGCATTCTTTAGAACAATTGATCAAATCACATTAAATTACCATTTATTTTGTTATGGCAATTTTTAAAATTTTTGAAACAGTGTTTTTCTAATGGACTATCAGTGTCCATGAGAAACTAGAACAGGGACTTAGCATGTAAAGGGTGCATGAAGGAACATAAAATATATATATTTTTAGGCTTGAAGGGTTCTACTTTGTAAATAATGACCTGTTCTCAAAAATGTATATAAAGAAATTGAAGAGATATTGCACAAAAATAACCCTTGACCACTTTTTGAAGTATCAGTTAATGTACTTAAGGTTAGCCATAAACAGCTTTAAATATATTTTTTTTTACCTTGAAGATTTTGATCTGTAATTTTTAAGACTTGAAAAACCATCACAATAAGGTATTTCATGCTTAGAAGACTTAACATCAGAAAATTAACTCAACATAGGTTTGTCATACAAATGTAGATTTTTCTAAACATTGTTATTTATATAATACTTGTAGATTGTGTGACAATTTAGCAGGTCAGAGTACAGGACCAGTAATTAACACTTTGCCTACAGTAGCTTCCAATGTATCAATACCTCAGGTAAAATAATTACAAGTATTTAAAACCATCACGTTCCTATGATACTTTTTTAGAATTTAAAATTTTGACAGAATTTTTGACAAAATATATATTTATTCTATGAGGAAAATGTCTTAATGCTATTTATATATGCTATGTGTGCTATGCAGTGAATGTGTACATGCTTTTTATAAATCCCCCAGTATAAAAAAGGCTTCATATTGTGTCAAGCAGGTGTAATTTCATAATATGAATATGATAAAAATCTGATATTTGATTTATTGGATTGTATTTGTGTATTTTACATGACAGAAACAAGTGTTTTTCTTTGTTTCACCAGCAAAGAAGATGACTTGATAAGTTCAGGTCAAACTTATCAATGTCGGTTCATTCATTATGACCTCGCTGATATGTCAGGGTCAAAGTTATTAAGATCGGGTTAACGTATTTGACGTCACAAAGCCGTGATAAGCAATTTTATGAAGAGTTGAACAGAGTGGTATAGACAGTGGGAACACAGATAACCTTCTAGAATCAGATCCTATGTTGACTGATTATTTTCTATTTCAGATACCAATAGCCATGATTCCTGTGCCATCTATATTGGTTTTATATAATAAGTCTACTGCTAGTATACCTAGTCTACAAACAGTTATAGATACTATGTATGTTGATGTCTGTTTTATTGAGACAAAGAAAAGTCCTGTTACTATGGAGTCTTTTTCATGGAACACATGCTCCTTCAATACTCCAGTGAAAGATAACACAGTAAGTCCTGCTACCATAAGTCTGTGTCAAGGAATACAACCTTCAACACTCTAATGATAGATATAAGGTAAGTTCTTTTGCTATGAAGTGCAAGGAATACATGCTCCTTTAATGCTTCAGTGAAAGATAATAAGGTAAACATGTTGCTGAGGAACTGTTTCATGGAACACATGCTTCTACAATACTCCAGTGAAAGATAATACAGTAAGTCCTGTTGCTATGGAGCTTTTTTCAAGCAACACATGCTCCTTAAATACTCTGTGGAATGATAACAAGGTTATTAGTCCCTTACCGACGAAGTTGAAGGGGACTTTAGGTTTGCACTCCGTCCGTCTGTCTGTCTGTCTGTCTGTCTGTCTGTCTGTCTGTCTGTCTGTCTGTCTGTCTGTCTGTCTGGAAAATCAGTTTTCCACACTTTTTCTTCGTGCTTGAAGATATTGATTTGATATTTGGTGTATTATTTTATTATAAAAAATTACAGATCAAGTTCGAATTTTGTTCCGGTCTGATGATTTTTGTGCAGAGTTATGGTCCTTGGACTTAGAAAATTCACGCAAATAATCAGTTTTCCACACTTTGTTTCGTCATGCTTGAAGATATTGATTTGATAATTGATATATAGTTTTATCGTGACATGTTACAGATCAAGTTTGAATTTTGTTCTGGTCTGATGATTTTGTGCAGAGTTATGGTCCTTGGACTTGGAAAATTTACTCAAATAATCAGTTTTCCACACTTTTTCGTCATGCTTGAAGATATTGATTTGATAATTGATATATAAATTCATCATGACATGTCACAGATCAAGTTTGAATTTTGTTCCGGTCTGATGATTATGTGCAGAGTTATGGTCCTTGGACTTAGAAAATTCACTTAAATAATCAGTTTTCAACAGTTTTTTTCGTCATGCTTGAAGATATTGACTTGATATTTGTTATATAGTTACACCATGACAATTTATAAATCAAATTAGCATTTTATTCCTATACAATGAATTTTTAACCGGTAGCGGACTATGTATTGCCATGCAATTTTCTCAGAATGCTTGTTCCTGTTTCTTTGGAATTGTTTTCATGGAACACATGCTCCTTCATTACTCCAGTAATAGACAATAAGGTTAGTTCAAAATAAATTATAGGTGAGAATTATTTTAGAAATTTTGAATATTTTATTTATTGAGGAGACAGGTATTTTTTTTTCAGAGAGGGGGTTGGAAGATTTATTTCAGGATGTAATATTTTCCCTGCATGTGTATGGAAATCAATGTTACTGTATACAGGGTAAACTATTGTGATGTAAGATTGCTTAAAGTTGATCTTTAAATATTTTAATGCATATATTAATTGCTTTCATTATCAAAGAAAATGCCAGTTGATGATTTACAGTTGAAAGGCAATATACATGAACTGTGAATTCATTTAATTCCATGGATATCAATTTTTGTGGATAGAAAAAAAATTGTATTTTCGTGGATATTTGATTTCATTGTTTTGCCAAAATCTGCATACAAGCCTATACAAAATTTCCATTTCATTGAACATTTAAAATCATGGTTTACCTATAACAAAATAATACATGAAAATAAGTATCCCACAAATAATAATAAATCCACAGTATATAATTGCAGGGCTATAGACATACCGTATAGCGGGTTATTTTCGCTGGTGTAAAATTTCGCGATTTTTACTGAATTTAGTATACGAAATATTTTGGTGGTTATTATTTTGGCGGATTCAAAACTTTTATCAATACTGTTGCATGTACACTTTTAATTTGGCGGAATTTATTTTGGCGATTTTGTTCTATCCGCGAAAATAAGCGAACATTTACACCCCGCGAAAATAACCCGCTATACGGTACCTTTACTGATATAAAAAGGAGTAGCTTCTAATGAGTTAATGATTTGTCTATATTCCAGATAAAAACTGAAAGATCAAATCCTGACCATATTGGACCAGTCCAGTGGACTATTATTGGAGTAGGAGGGATATTTATTCTAGCATTAGCTCTTTGGGCAATCCAAGGAAGTGAGTATAAAAATAAGAAGATGTGGTATGATTGCAAATGAGACAACTCTCCACAAGTGACCAAATGACACAGAAATTAACAATTATAGGTCACCGTACGGCCTTCAACAATGAGTAAAACCCATACTGCATAGTCAGCTATAGAAGGCCCCGAAATGAGTATATTACAGTACATGTACAAAAACATTGATATATATTTCCCAGTATCATGACATCTTATTTTAATGAGATGTTAACCACATGGGATCTGTCATTCATATTATGAGATAAAAAGATCACAGTTTTTACAGACATTCTAACAGAAGATGAACATGTATGACCCATAGGTATATTACCTCCGTGAAATAGTACCCCATTGATATATTTGACATTCCAAAAAAGTGGCCCAAACCAGCGGCACGTCTGTGTATACCTTTATATAGGAAGAGACCCCCCATGCCAAAGTCACTGTCATACAGCTATTTTTGAAAGAGTTTTTTTGAAAGAATCTACAGTTGAATTTGTCCACTGTTACAGCAGTTTAATTGTTGATAAAATAACTACAAGTTATCATGCAATCATACAATTTAACCTATTTTTTGATATTTTTAATTTCAGTTCATGAAATGTCAAAGAAGAACAAGTCACAAGAATCAGCCCCCAAGAACTGTAGTATTGAAGATACAGAATGAGATATTAAATCATAAACTGTATTTGAAATGACTGATTTTTAGCTCATTTGGCTTTAAGGACAGCTGTAAACTTTTCTCATCATTTTGCATCCTTTCTCCATAAAATGTTTAGTGGCATGAACTTTATATCAATATTTTCTTCTATACACACTGAAACAATTAGAATCAAACTAAGCAACAATTATCCCAATAGTGTGTAGGATCAATTATTTTTCAGTGCTGCAGACAACCAGCCAATGGGGTTTCCTCTTCTTTAAATCGTGTAAAGGGCTGAAGCAGATAAAGCCTTATTTAATACGTCAATACATTATATATGGACCTGTTCAGATTATATTGACCAAGGATGAAGTCCATACATAATGTACTGACTGAGTGAAAGTCCTTAATTTATATATATAATAATGTAAATAGTGTATTATGGAAATGGACTTCAATGTTCTTTTTGTGTATTTTACAATGTTTTTTGCAATATTTTTAATATATTGACTGTCATTATATATATATGAATAGAAACATAGTGTCCATATACTTAAATACCCTTTTAATCACATGATTGTAATAACCATTGAAAAAAGAAGAATGCCACACCATATGTAATATCTTGTTATATCTATATAGAAATAAAGAGATATGGTATTATTTCCAATGAGACAATTACCCATCAAAGACCCAAAAAACACATAGGTGTACCTAGGCCTGTTAATATAAAGTTTTGTTTTGACCCAAAGGGTCAGTTTTGGCTATGCTGATGACCTGGGATCTATTATCTATTGACTGCTGTAAAATAATTAAACAAAACATCTTTTCCTCTACATCTTAACTATTATACTGACATGACAGTTTTCTTCTCCATTGTCATATTATCTTCTTGCAAAATTGTGCTAGCATAGCAAACGACCATTAGTGTCTTGAGACAGTTTTGTTTCTTTAGACATACCTTAAAAGACGTAAATAACATTGCAAAGATATGTCTTATTATTACACAAATGTGTTTAAAGATGTCCCAAGACTCTGGTGATCATCCACTATAATTAATTGTGTAATACAAATAGAGAAAAGTTTTGTTTGTGCATCAGGGGTTGATAGAAGGATTTTTACCAAAGTCTTAAGTCCTTTGAGCCTCTAGATTCTTTCTTTTTTTATTTATTAGCATCACCTGGCCCGAAGGGCCAAGTGAGCTTTTCTCATCACTTGGCGTCCCTCGTCCGGCATCGGCCGTCGTCGTCGTTTACTTTTTACATTTTGAACTTCTTCTAGAGAACCACTGAATGGAATGAAACCAAACATGGCATGAATGTTCCTTATGAGGTGCTGACCAAGTGTTGTTACTTTGTAGCGGATCCATCATCCAAGATGGCCGCCAGCGGGGGACTTAGTTTAACATAGGACCCTATGGGAAATACATACAAATGTCTTCTTTTAGAAAACCACTGAATGGAATGAAACCAAACATGACATGAATGTTTCTTATGAGGTGCTGACCAAGTGTTGTTACTTTGAAGCTGATCCATTATCCAAGATGGCCGCCAGCCGGGGACTTAGTTTAACATAGGACCCTATGGGAAATACATACAAATGTCTTCTTTTAGAGAACCACTGAATGGAATGAAACCAAACATGGTATGAATGTTCCTTATGAGGTGCTGACCAAGTGTTGTTACTTTGAAGCCGATCCATAATCCAAGATGGCCGCCAGCGGGGGACTTAGTTTAACATTGGACCCTATGGGAAATACATACAAATGTCTTCTTTTAGAGAACCACTGAATGGAATGAAACCAAACAAGGCATGAATGTTTCTTATGAGGTGCTGACCGAGTGTTGTTACTTTGAAGCCGATCCATAATCCAAGATGGCCGCCAGCAGGGGACTTAATTTAACATGGGACCCTATGAGAAATACATACAAATGTCTTCTTTTAGAGAACCACTGAATGGAATGAAACCAAACATGGCATGAATGTTCCTTATAAGGTGCTGACCGAGTGTTGTTACTTTGAAGCCGATCCATAATCCAAGATGGCCGCCAGCGGGGGACTTAGTTTAACATGGGACCCTATGGGAAATACACACAAACATCTTCTTTTAGAGAACCACTGAATGGAATGAAACCAAACATGGCATGAATGTTCCTTATGAGGTGCTGACCAAGTGTTGTTACTATGAAGCCGATTCATAATCCAAGATGGCCGCCAGCGGGGGACTTAGTTTAACATAGGACCGTATGGGAAATACATACAAATGTCTTCTTTTAGAGAACCACTGAATGGAATGAAACCAAACATGACATGAATGTTCCTTATGAGGTGCTGACCAAGTGTTGTTACTTTGAAGCTGATCCATCATCCAAGATGGCCGCCAGCAGGGGACTTAGTTTAACATAGGACCCTATTGGAAATACATACAAATGTCTTCTTTTAGAGAACCACTGAATGCAATGAAACCAAACATGGCATGAATGTTCCTTATGAAGTGCTGACGAAGTGTTGTTACTATGAAGCCGATCCATAATCTAAGATGGCCGCCAGCGGAGGACTTAGTTTAACATAGGACCCTATGAGAAATACATACAAATGTTTTCTCTTAGAGAACCATTGAATGGAATGAAACCAAACATGGCATGCATGTTCCTTTTGAGGTGCTGACCAAGTGTTGTTACTTTGAAGCTGATCCTTCATCCAGGATGGCCACCAGATGGGGACAATGTTTAACAAAGGACCCTATGGACAATACATACAAATGTCTTCTTTCAGAGAACCACATACTGAATGGATTGAAACCATACATGGCATTAATGTTCCTTATGAGGTGCTGACTTAGTTTTGTTACTTTGAAGCTGATCTTTCATCCCATGATGGCCGCCAATGGGGGGACCTCCTTTAAGATAAGACCCTATGGGAAATACATACAAATGCTTCTTCTAGAGGTGCACTGAATGGAATGAAACCAAAACATGGCATAAATGTTTCTTATGAGGTGCTGATGAAGTGTTGCTACTTTGTTGCCGATTTACTGTTCAAGATGGCCACCAGGATTTTTTATCAAATTACAGGACCAATATTAAACCAAATTTGGCCTCACTCATTATTAGGGTATCTGTTATGATTTTAATCTATTTTTACATGATTTCCAAAACCAAAGTAGAATCAGGTGAGCGACACAGGCTCTTGAGAGCCTCTAGTTTATTTCTCAATCACATCAATTCTTCTACTTCAAGCTTCAATGATATTAATATTGAAATTCTTTATTTTACTTGACTTGTTGATCACACTCTGCTTTAATATGTTTTGTTGTTAATTAGATTCTTTTCTGCTATTTAGAGCATCTATAAAGGAAACGAATTTGTTCTCGCTCATCATTGTCTTGAAATCAACCATTTTCAAAAATCCGGATAACGTCATAGTAAAGTAGTAAACTGGCACCTGCCCCAACCGTGCAACTACCACTACGGGAGCGAAAACACGTCTTTAAGGATGTACACCTCTGAGGAGCCAAAAATTTCTAGAATTAAACTTTTTTTCTTAACCTGATTTTTGGGTTTATATGACTAAAAAAATAATTGGTGAAGAAAAAAATTCGTAAGGGTTCCGCGGAACCCAGTGTCTCGCCTACTTTTTCTGTTAATCGCAGGCTCAACAAAAATGAGGAAGTAAATCAATGAAAATATTCCTCTTGATACTATCTTTTGATTGTAAGAAGCTTCTGTCCAAGTTTGGTAAAAATCCAGATTAGTTAATGAATCTAATAAATGTTTAAAAACTTTATCTGCAGACTGAATGTAATGTTAACTGGAAGAAAACAAAATTTCCTTCTGGATACTAGCATTTGATCATAAACAAGCTTCTGTCCAAGTTTGGTACAAATCCAAAATAGTATAAGAAAGTTATTAAAATTTTAAAAACTTTAACCACAGAGTGAATGTGTTGTTTCCTGGCAGAAAATCTAAGTCCATTTAAAAGTAAAATACGGAAAAAATGGATTTTGTTTTTTACAAAATTTACTTCTGGATACTATCTTATGATCATAAACAAGCTTCTGTCAAAGTTTGGTAGAAATCCAGGATAGTTTAAGAAAGTTATTAAAATTTTAAAAACTTTAACCACAGAGTGAATGTAATATTTCCCGGCAGAAAAACTAAGTCCATTTATAAGTAAAATACGGAAAAATTGGAATTTTATTTTTACAAAATTAACTTCTGGATACTATCTTATGATCATAAAAAAGCTTCTGTCCAAGTTTGGTAGAAATCCAGGATAGTTTAAGAAAGTTATTAAAATTTCAAAAACTTTAACCACAGAGTGAATATTTGTGGACACCGCCGACGACAACGACGACGACGACGACGACGACGCCGACGGAATGTAGGATCGCTATGTCTGGCTTTTTCGACTAAAGTCGAAGGCTCGACAAAAATCATATGGCGGTGCACAACTTTTTTTGCTACAGCCATTTGAAAGTACCAAATTTTGATGATTTTCCCATTTTTCATCAATTTTTGTCTCGCCTTGACGGAGTCAAAAGTGAGACATAGGTATGCTGTTTCCGACGACGGCGGCGTCAACAATGTATTAGTTTGTGATTAGGTCTAGTTCATGGTCAACCACTAGTGGTAGGTCAATGATATTTGGTATGCAGTTGTATTAGCATTGGCACATCTCATTTCCATGGAGATTATTTGGCCCCGCCCCCTCAGTCAAGGTCTATTGACTTTGAAACTTTGCTTAGTTTACATGTATTAGTTTGTGATTAGGTCAGTTTATGTGGAACCACTAGTGGTAGGTCAATGATATTTGGTATGCAGTTGTATAAGCATTGGCATATCTCATTTCCATGGAGATTATTTGGCCCCGCCCCCTCATTCATGGTCTATTGACTTTGAAACTTTTGCTTAGTTTACATATAATAGTTTGTGATTAGGTCAGTTTAAGATGAACCACTAATGTTAAGTCAATGATATTCGGTATGCAAATACCGGTATGCAAATGTATTTGCATTTGCAAGTTTCATTTCCATGGAGATTATATAACCCCACCCCCTAATTATGGTTCATTGAATTTGAAACTTTTACATAGTTTACAAGTTAATGTTTGTGTTTGGGTTTGTTTTAAGGGAACGACTTATGAAAAGTCAATGGTATTTGGTTTGCAGTTGTATTAGCATTGGCACATCTCATTTCCATGGAGATTGTTTAGCCCTGTACCTTCAGTCATGGTTCATTGACTTTGAATATTTGCATAACATACATGTTAAAGTATTGCTATTTTAATTTCTACATTTGCATTGTCAAAATAACAAACAGGGGATACATATCTCTGTGTTAACAGTTTATTACCCATTTTTCGGCTATTATCATGAAAAAATCACAGTTTCACAATTAAACTTTTTTTCATACTTTCACTAAAGATAAAATGGACCAATCTGAATAAATTTAACTTAAAAAAACTATGGGTAGGTGTCAATATAAGAAAGTTTAATAAAATTTTGTTGCTTTTTTTTTTTGTCAATTTTGTAAATTTGGGATTTTTATACGACCGAAAAAAAAATTTGCGGTCGTATATTGGTATGACGTTGGCGTCGTCATCCGAAGACACATTGGTTTTTGCACATTAACTTTAGTTTAAGTGAATGGATCTCTATGAAATTTAACCATAAGGTTTAATACCACAAAAGGAAGGTTGGGATTGATTTTGGGGGTTATGGTACTAACAGTTAAGGAATTAGGGGCCAAAAAGGGGCCAAAATAAGCATTTTTGTAACTCCCAGACAATTACTTGTGAGTTAGTGTATGGATCTCTCTGACATTGTACCACAAGGTTCCATATCACAAAGGGAATGCTAGGATTGATTTTGGGAGTAATTGCCTCAAAATTTTAGGAATTAGGGGCCAAAAAAGGGGCAAAAAACAAGCATTTTTCTAGTTTCATGACAATAACTTGTGTGTAAGTGTATGGATCTTTCTGAAATTGTACTACAAGGTTCCATATCACAAAGGGAAAGCTGGAATTGAGTTTGGGGGTAATTGCCCAAAACGTTTAGGAATAAGGGGCCAAAAAGGGGCTAAAAATAAGCATTTTTCTAGTTTTCAGACAATAACTTGTGTTCAAGTGTATGGATCTCTCTGAAATTGTACTGCAAGACACCGTACCACAATGGGAAGGCTGGGATTGATTTTGGGGGTAATTGCCTCAAAATATTAGGAACTAGGGGCCAAAAAGGGGCAAAAAACAAGCCTTTTTCTAGTTTCAGGAAAAATAACTTGTGTGTAAGTGTATGGATCTTTATAAAATTGTACTACAAGGTTCCATATCACAAAGGGAAAGCTGGGTTTGAGTTTGGGGGTAATTGCCCTAAACATTTAGGAATTTGAGGCCAAAATTGGGCCAAAAAAAAAGCATTTTTACAGTTTCCAGACAATAACTTGTGTTCAAGTGTATGGATCTCTCTGAAATTGTACTGCAAGAAGGTACCATACCACAAAGGGAAGGCTGGGATTGAGTTTGGGGGTGATGAATCATAAGGGGGTTCAAAAATTATTTTTTTTTCTTTAAAATTTTCCATTTTAAGTTGGTTATTTTTTATTTATATATAAAAGAAAATAATAATGATATGGTTTGATTTCAGCAAAAAATTGAATTAATAGGGTTCTTTGATTTGCTGAATTTAAATGTGTATTTAGATTCTTAATTTTTGGTCCTGTTTTCAAATTGGTCTACATTAATGTCCAAAGGGTCCAAAATTAAACTTAGTTTGATTTTAACAAAAATTGAATTCTTGGGGTTCTTTGATATGCTGAATCTAACCGTGTATGTATTTAGATTTTGGAAATTGGACCATAATAGGTAAATTAAAAATTTTAAAGTTTTTAGACCACATTCATTCTGTGTCAGAAACATATGCTGTGTCAAATATTTAATCGCAATCCAAATTCAGAGCTGTATCAAGCTTGAACGTTGTGTCCATACTTGCCCCAACTGTTCAGAGTTCGACCTCTGCGGTCGTATCAAGCTGCGCCCAGCGGAGCATTTTATTCTTTTTTTTTTAGAACAAAAAGCATCTTATTTCAACTTCTGTGTTATAAATGATTGAAAAAATACATATCTAAGAAATTTGAAAAGAAAAAATTGATATGGGATGTACATGTATCTGGTAAAATCAATTCTTGTACCCCTCACCCATTTTCTCAACAATTTGGCTAATGAGACTGACTTGATTGGTTATAAAATTTGAAAATTTTATTACTCAAAAACTACTTACTACTTATTGTAAATACACAATTTTTTCAGAGTTAAGTTTGATTATAATATTTTTTAAATTCATTGATATTTTCCACTTGTATCACATGTTTTGGAAATAATTCCAGAACGAGATTTCAATGAGACTGAAACGTCAGAAGAATATATCCTTAATATCATTTAAGTACTTATGGAAAGGTTATTCCATTTCTTTCTTATATTTTTCATTCAAAACTTTCTTTAAATATATGTCGACAATAAAGTCAACAACACTCAAGTTTTTACCGCACAATCACCACTTCAGGTGTTGGTTCACTTATATTTTTACAGTTTAAATATATGTGTCAATTAACTATGAAGTTGTAAATGAAATACATAACAAGTTTATAAGCCAAACAACTAAAAGTGAAAGAAAAAAATAAACCTACGATGCTACATTATACATACTTACTCTTAAAAAAAAGGTTGGGAGGGGTGGTAATAAAATCAAATTATTTGAATTATCTAGGCATTTTGATTTTTAAAGCTAAATAATAAAAATGTAACTTATTTTCATTTCTGTTAATGTATATGTATAAAAAAATGCAGGTCTTTGTCTATTATATATACATACAAGGCTTATAATTTTGTACGCCAGATGAGCATTTTATCTACAAAAACATTTGTATTTGGTATAGTTTTGAAGCATGGCAGGAGCTAGGTAAATCAAACTTGCATGTATTTCATTTTTTTTAGAAAATTATGGAAAACTCTTTGAATTTAAAATAAATAAAACATTAATGGATGAATTTAAGACTGCACAATTTGATTCTGTAATAAATTCTGATAAATCACAGAAACAAAGAAATTTATGGGATCATTAGGTTAACAATTCATTTATGGAAGTAAGTTTATTGCATATTAAATTATCAATAACTAATTACTTTCTTGCAATAAATTGTCAACAATAACATAAAGTTTTTTATCTACACTCCTTATTGACTTTACATGTCCTTAAATCCGACTCCTTATTGACTTTACATGGAGGCAACCCTTTTTATACGACAGCAAAAAATTTTGCGGTCGTATATTGGTATCATGTCGTCGTCGTCGTCATAAGACATTTGGTTCTAACAGTTTAGGAATTGGGGGCCAAAAAGGGGCCAAAATAAGCATTTTTCTAGTTTCCAGACAATAACTTGTGGAACGGTGTATGGATCTCTCTGAAAACATACCACAAGTTTCCATACCACAAAGGGATGGTTATGATTGGCTTTGGGGGGTTATGGCTCAAACCGTTTAGGAATTAGGGGCAAAAAAAGGAGGAAAAACAAGGGTTTTCTGGTTAATGGACAATTTAAAAATAGTACAATGTTATGTTTGGATTACCTCCCTTACACTGCTTTTAAATTATGTATAAAGAAATGTTGTATTGTCTTGAGGTGATTAGCTGTCAATTTATTTTTCAGAAGTTACTATTTAAAAATGCTGATGTACTTAAATGGGTAATTATGGTTGCAAACTCCATTGGAAATTTGAATTGAGATTATGACCATATCTTGAGGGAAAGAATTTTTTTTTGGAAAAAAGGGGGGGGGGGGTGAAAAAAAAATTGGGGGGGGGGGGTAAAAAGGAAATTGTGAGGGGGGGGGGTCAATTAGCAACAGCATATTGTATTGCACAAAAGCCAAAAAAAAGGGGGGGGTAATTTTTTTTTTTTGGGGGGGGGGGGGTCAATTCACAACAGCATAGTGTATTGCACAAAAGCAAAAAAAATGAATATAAATTCAAATCATATAACCCATTTTAAGTTCTTTGACTACAGTTATTCTGTGTCAGAAACCTATTATGTGTCAAATATTTAATTACAATCCAAATTCAGACCTGTATCAAGCGCGAATATTCATTATTGTGTCCATTTTTGCCCCAACTGTTCAGGGTTGGACCTCTGCGGTCTTATCCAGCTGCGCTCGGCGAAGCAATTTATTACCTTATCCTTTACTTACTGAAAATTAAAGCTATATTTGATATTGTCAAGTGGACACTGTTTAGAAGTTAAGTAAATGTTTCTGACTGGGTTCTGTACTTTTCGATAAATTTGAGTTCATATTTCACACATCGTTGGCTTCTGGCCACGATTTTGCCATTTATTAAATACTTTTCCAACAATCTTATAATAATTTTTGACCGGGTTGATTTTTCAATGTTGAAAATTGCATTTAGTATTTTTCCACCAGGGGGGCTTCTTGTCACGATTTTGTCATTTTTCTAAATTCTCTTTCTAAATTAACTTATTCAAGTTTATTTGTTTGTAAAACGACTTGAGAAATAATAGAAATCATACAAAGATCTTTCATCGGTTATGGCTATATTCATGATTAGGAAATTTAGTGGTCAACTCTTCATTTCATAATCAAATGATTTTATGTTTATATTTTAAGTGGAATATTTTATTTGTAAGCTTTAAAAATCCATTTCAATTTGTAATTTATATATGTTTATATAATAAATGTAAATTTTGCACTTCCGCAATATTTCAACATCCGATTTTTAGATCATCCCTTTCCTGCTCTTCTCGAAATCATACTGTAAACATTTAGTACAAAAACTCTTTTTAACCAAAAAGACGATATGTCAACTGTTTTAAAAGGTAGGTTTTAATTAAATTCTGATATTTCTGACTCTTTTTAAGAAATGACATTCGTTTAAGCTCATTTTTTTTACTTCTTGAACACAGTTACATATCGATCTATATTTCCTGGTTCCCATGAAGGACGACATATTATTATTTGCACTAGTTATCAATATATTCAATACATATTACATGTATGCAATTTTTCCGAGGAACTCAGTTTACGTCTTAAACTCTGCTAACTCTTACTATGAAGTTTCATACTTGAAAAAAATATTAGTCCGAGCCCAGCTATTTTGTTGTTTTTTCTGTGCCGCCTTCCTACCACTTTTTTTGCAAAGGTCAAAACATAGGGTTGTTTGTCATTTTTTCAGCATTTAGATACCTCGAATTTAAAGCTTATACTGAAATTCTTTTCGTAAGGTTATCACATGGAAATTCGTCTTCACTCGGCAAATTCCGGAAAATATATCCCGATGATACTTTTTCAATAAAAAAAACCCCAACAAAGTATGATGAAAAACAAATATTGGGAAACAGAAACATATACTTTAAAAATGCAAAAGAAATAATACCATTAAGGCGTTTTTCAATAGTTTTAAAACTTGAACTATTTCAACAATTAATATAAAATGAGAAGATGTGGTATGATTGCCAATGAAACAACTCTCCACAACAGACCAAATGACACAGAAATTAACAACTATAGGTCACCGTACGGCCCTCAAAAATGAGCAACGCCCATACCGCATAGTCAGCTATAAAAGGCCCCGAAATGCCAAATGTAAAACAATTCAAATCAGAAAACTTACGGCCTAATTTATGTACAAAATAATGAACGAAAAACAAATATGTTACACAGCAAGTAACGACAACCACTGAATTACAGGCTTCTGACTTGGGACGGGCACATACGGAATGTGGCGGGGTTAAACTAGTTTGAAGGCACCAACCCTTCCCCCTTACCTTGGACAGTGGTGTAACAGTACAACATAAGAACAAATTAAAATCAGTTGAAAAAGGCTAAACTCATCAGATGGATACAAATAGAAATACATCTAACAAAAACAGAGGGGACGTCGCAGGGTATACTTATACATCTCCACAACAAAAAGAGACTAAATACAGATCTGACAGTCCTCGCAGTTACTGACAGCTAGTCCAAAGCCAATAACAACTAATAAAAAAGATTATGCATCTAAGATTAAATATCAATCAGTACACATCCAACATCCAATGGATTTAGTGTAAAGACGTCATTAACAATCGGAGAAAAACATGACATTGTGCAATGCCGACATACAGGTATCGACAGATTGTAGAGCCACGAATGTCCATGTATATGAAAAAAATATTTAGTTTGATGTTAATTTACTGATAACAAAATCAATATTAATACCAATAAAAACAATGTTCAAAGATCTAATTACAGTGTTGAATTGGTAATCTTTTAGAATAAGTTTATTTAAAGATCGATAAGATTACCCGGATCGTTTCTAAATTTCCAGGCTAGGTAAACATCTCCGTAAAAATTAGGATTTGCTATCCTGTTTGAAATAAGTTTTCAACAGGTACAACCAAACTTCAAAACCAAATGTTTATATCTATGGAAGAATTTAGTAAAGGTTTTAAGTAACTCGTGGTAACGAAATCCCTGACTTAATAATTTACCAGTATTGCATAGATTACGTTCATTGAAATCAAAAACGTCACAACAAAAACGGGCATAGCGAACGATGATATATAAACACCGTAAGATGGTGCCAAAGGAACATCACCGTCCAAAGAAGGAAAATTAACAATAGGGAACGAAAAATCGTCACCTTTGTCGTAAATTGTAGTGTAGAGTTTCCCGTGTAAAACTCAAATATCTAAATCTAGGAAAGGACAGTTATTACCCTTTATATTTGATTTATTCAAAGTAAAATCCTTTGGGTAAATTTTGACAATATATTTAGAAAATTCTTGTTTATTTAACGAAAAAATATCAAGATAACGGTAAGTGTTGTTGAATTTATCAATTAAATGCAATTTAGACGGGTTTTTACTGATTTTGGTCAATAACTGTCATTCATAACAGTATAAGAACAAGTCTGCTATTAAAGGGGCACAATTGGTGCCCATAAGAATACCTACAACCAATGCCTGTCTAAAATGTTTTATACATGTTGTGAGTTCAAAAACATAAATGTGAAGTCTGTAGTGAAAAAATATTTGAGTATTTTATGGTTAATTATTTCTTAAATATATAGATAAATATATTCAATTACCTCTGTTGATGTCTTGCAGTACAAATTGCAGTTGAGATTGATAGTTTTTAGATAAACATTTTTATAAAATGATAACATGCAAATTTTCTTATCAGATATCTTATCAGTCCTCTGTTGATGTCATCCAATAGACTATTTTCATATTACCGACTTTTGACTCCGGATTATATAATTTATCGACTGGTTACCTTGGACATCATGGTACTCTGTCAAGTAAGAGCAACCAAAATAAATAAAATAAAACATATAATCGGTGTAATTTGAGGGGAAAGTTTACTGTTTTCCGATAATTTTGTAGTGAAAAAAAATGTTAAGCAGGTAATTTTCCCCCAAAATTGTACCGATTGAACGATTGGTTTTACTTCTTTAGCTTGCTCTTACCTGACTTGGTACCATGATTTCCAAGGTAACCAGTCGACAAAGTATATAATCCGGAGTCAAAAGTCGGTAATATGAAAATAGTCTGTTGAGCTTTCTGCCATTTGCTGATATATAGACCAAAGGCTGATAATACATCTGATATGAAAAATATATCATTCAATAATCTGATATTATTATATCTATATCTAATTATTACTTTTAGTACAGCTCTTAAAAACTTAAGATGATGAATCTATATACAGACATGTAAATCAACTGTATATAGACTTTTAAAATTTTTAGGTTGGTGGAGGTTTCCTATTTCAAGTCATTAAATAAGAGGTTGTCCTGACGTACGGAATAAGATTCAGCGGTAAGCTGCTGTTGGTCTCAAATAATCATGTTTTATTTTATTTTTTTTAATTTTACAATCCGGCGTCAGAGCTATGCTATACTCCACATACACATATAATCAGACTATCAAGTTTATGACTCTGATATTATATAAGGAGATGTCGATGTGTCTTACCAGTGTATCTTGTATCTCCTGGTTAACAACTGGAAATAAATTGATTTTGGGATTCGAATATGTTAATTAGATAACTTACTGTCCATATTTCATGTTCATGTATTTGTCTTTGTGTCTTGTCAGTATATCTCCCACTTAATGATAATTTCTGTTGTACAGATATTGTTTCGGTTGTCTTAAATATCAAAAGAGAGGTTATCACATTAAACATGTTAAACTACTTCAATATACTGTCCATATGTCAATGCGCATTGATATTTGCCACCGTACGTGAAGCAAACAGCGGTCAACCTATAGCTATCAATCCATGCGCATTGTCGGTGTAACTCTTGCTTAACAACTTGGCAGCAAGTTAGAGAGAAGAAAATCAAATAATATTGTCCATATGACTATATGCCCTGCCATTGTACTTTAATATACTGTCCATGTGATTTGTCAGCACATCTCCTGGTTACTACCTGGACTGGTATTGATGAAATTTTTCAAAATTGTAGAAGGTCACAATCAAATTATTGCATCATGCCTAAATCAATACTTAAAAAAATATGCATATAATTTAATCTCCTGTTTATAAAACTTATTTGTTTCTTTTTGAAGGATGAAATATGGCAAGTTGGACTGAGGTAAGATTTTCTTCCTTAAGTTCAATGGTCATATCCCGACTCATGTGACTTACTGTTACAAACAGATACAAGTGTACAGTTTCCTCATAGGTCTATAGACTCACTGTACACACAGATACAAGTGTACAATATTCTCATAGGTCTATAGACTGTACAAACAGATACAAGTGTACAGTATTCTCATAGGTCTATAGACTCACTGTACACACATATACAAATGTACACTACTTTTAGATATCTTTAGACTGTACAGATAGATAAAAGTGTAGATTATTCACAGAGGTTAATAAACTGTACAAACAGATACAAATTTACAGTATTCTCATAGGTTCATAGACTGTACACACATATATACGTGTACAACATTCTCAGAGGCCTATAGACAATACAAATACATATAAACTGAACAGTATTAATTTTAGAGATCTATAGACTGTACAAACATGTACAAGTGTACAATATTCTTAGAGGGTCTAAAAACTGTACAATAAAAAGTAAAATAACAAAAATACCACGGAAAATTCAAAACGGAAAGTCCGTTATCAAATGGCAAAATTAAAAGCCCAAACACATCAAACGAATTGAAAACAACCGTCGAATTATTCCTGACTTAGTATGGGCATTTCCTTATGTAGAAAATGATGGATTAAACCTGGTTTCAAATGGGAAAATTAAAAGTCCAAACTCATCAAACGAATGGAAAACAAATGTCATATTCCTGACTTACAGGTACAGATACAAGTGTTCTTAGTTGAAATAGAAGGAAATTTTATACGAACTACAATGTACACAATTTCAAAGAGCAATACTTATGCACAGATACAATTGTCTAGAGTCTTTTAAAACCTCTGAAATTATAGATAGCAATTTCAATCTCTCTTGGAAGTAAGTTACTGATTTTAATATAAGATTTTGAAACCGTAAAATGTAACTTGTTAATTTCACATATTATATTTATTATACATTTGTATGTTCATGAGGGATATACAAAAAACCTTATTTTACTTACAGAAACTTCTTACAGCTGCTCAAGATGGGAATATTAAAGACGTAGAATTATGTGTAAAGAATGGAGCAAATTTGGAATGCACAAATGGTAGTTATGTAAGTGAAGTAAAAATATTAAAACACATTGAGTATTTATTATACAGGATACACAAGCTGAATCAGTTAAAAATTACCCTTGTTATTGTTTAGTGATTTAATTTCAAACGGGAATAATGATATTGCTTGTTATTGCAGGTACTCCCGTATTCAACACAATTAGGGAGAAACATCATTACAAAACATAAATATACAAAACTGCTGTATTCAACACAAACAGTGAGAGAAATCATTACACAACACCAATGTATTCAACACAAACAGGGAGAAACATCATTACACAACACCACCCCACCAATATATACAACTCCGGTTTTAACACAAAATGTGAGAAATTCATGTTTTAACCACTGATGTATACCTTAGAATACCTTAGCTGTATTTGGCAAAACTTTTAGGAATTTTTGGTCCTCAATGCTCTTCAACTTCGTACTTTATTTGGCCTTTTGAACTTTTTTTGATTCGAGCGTCACTGATGAGTCTTTTGTAGACGAAACGCGCGTCTGGCGCAAATACAAAATTTCAATCCTGGTATCTATGATGAGTTTATTCACCTATACTCAAGTTAAAAAGTGGAGAACATGCTAAGGGGGCAATCAAAACACATACATAGAAGACGAACGGACAATGCCATGGCCAAAAGAAAATGACAAAAAGACAAACAGTTCATAACATACTATGTATTGTTTACGTTTCTCGAAAAAAAATGTTTTACATGACAGTTGTGATGGAAGTTCTGACATCTCACAACACATCAGTTTGTTTATTTAGTGTTTATATAGAGTACAATGGTCATTTTATTCAGTTTTTACCACTGATGTTTATATTGGGTTTATATTTATAAGACAACATTGTTCAGTTTATGACACAAGTTTTCATGTCTGTTATATATTGATATTACAGTGGGGAAAGACATCATTAATGGTTGCTGCTCAGGCCGGACACCTGGAGATTGTTTGCTACCTTGCTGAACAGGGCAGTATTTTAAAGACCAGAGACAGGGTGATGTTATATGTTATCTCCTAAGTCTTATCATAATCCACTTTATATTGAACTATCAGCAAATCACGTTGATACTAAGACAGGTCAAATCTTATGAACAATAAATACTTACTAGAATTATTTAAAGTGGGATTCCATTGTACTCGTCTCAATGTACTAATTGATAGATTAGTGGTGTTTAATCCTACTTTCACCACTATTGGTTATATCGTGACGACATTTGTTTTTTGTGCGGAGAAAGCCGGAGTGCCCGGAGAGAACCACCAACCTTCTGTAAGAAAATTGGTATTCCTAGCCAATCAAACGCACCTGCCGCTAATCCATTGATTTAACTATTGACTTCATTTCTCGAAAAAAAGAAGATATGTCTTTCACATCACTGATAGAAGTTCTGAGATTTCACAATTAACCATGTTGTTTATTTATTGTTTATAATGAATACAAGTGTAACTTTATTCAGTTTTTACAACTGATTCATGTGATACATATTTTATTTATATTCTTTTCACTACATTGTCGAGTTTATTACACAAGTTTTGATGTCAGTTATATGTTGATATTACAGTATGGATGGACACCATTATCTCTTGCTGCTGTTAGAGGACACCTGGAGATAGTCCGTCATCTGGTAACACAGGGCGCTAGTTTAGAGACCAGAGACCAGGTAATTTTAACTGTTTTCCCTTCAGTCTGATCAGACTCTTGTCTATACTGAATCTTAACAAAAACACGTTTTTAATTAGACAGGTTTACTGGACAATGAATTACTTATATTGAGTGTGATCTTATATAACTGATTTCGTCCTACTGAATCAGATACTTAATGTCGTGTTGTGTTTTCTGTTGTAAAGTATTTTATTAACATCTGGTTTTGATAAGAAGGTGACGGGAACGAGTTGTGTTAACATTTTTAGTCAGAAAATAATGATTATACAGAGGTAATGCAAAACATCTTTTTGAAAATAAGAAATACGTGTAAGAATTATATAAAGTGTGTTCTCGTTTTACTCATCCTGTACTGAATGAGAAAAAGTAATCGGCTTTTATGTTTCTTGAAATTGAAAAAAAAAATTGATCTCTATACTGAATCAACACAAATATCATGTTGTTAATCAGACACACTTTAAGGACAACACCAATTTGTTATAATCAAATAAAGTTAGTTAAAGCTCATTTTTCTCGTCTCATTGAACTGAATCCATTGATATTAATATTGTTTCTTTAGCAATTATTTTCATCACAGTTATGAACTTACTTCTGACATCTCACAACATAACATGTTGTTTTTTTATTGTTAATGTAGAATATAAATAAAATTATCATTTCATTAAGTTTTGACCACTGATTTGTGTGATATATATTTTGTTTATATTTATTACACAACATGGTCCAGCTTATTACATAAATTTAGATGTCTGTTATATGTTGATATTATAGAGAGGAATGACACCAATTATGTATGCTGCTGAGAGAGGATATCTAGAGATCGTCCAGTTTATGGATACACATGGTAGTAATTTAAAGGCCAAATCCAAGGTGATGTTAGATATTATCTCATTAGCCTGATGAAACTACTCTTTATACCGAATCAACAGAAAATCATGTTGTTAATCATACATGTTTAATGGAAAACAAATATTTGTTTAAATTATATAAAGTGGGTTATTTTACTAATCTCGTCGAACAGAATCAGATGTTTAATGTTTTCTTTTGTTTTCTGACAAATAATAATTTTGTAAACATCTGATTTTAATAAGCAGTTGTTGAGAACAAGTTGTGATAACATCTTAAGTCAGATAGTATTAATTATACAAATCAAATTTAACATATCTTTTAAAAGTTCTGTTATTTCACAATAAATCATGATGTTTATTTGTTGTTAATGCAGAATATAAATATGGTCATTTTATTCAGTTTTGACCACTGATTCGTGTGATATTTTTGTTTTTATTATTACACACCATGGTCCAGTTTATGACATAAGTTTTATTGTCTGTTATTTGATGATATTACAGGTTGGTATGACACCATTAATTTTTGCTGCTGAGAGAGGACATCTGGAGATCGTCAAGTTTCTGATTGAAAAGGGCTGTGCTTTAGAGACCAGATCCCAGGTGATGTTAATTATTATCTCCTAGTCTGCATCAAAAATCATTGTGTTGATCAGACATGTTTAATGAACAATAGATACTTATAAGAATCATAATAAAGCAAATCCCTCTATAGTTAAGATGCGTTACATGTACAAGCGCAACAATATTATGACGTTAACGATTTATAACGTGGCGATTATATGAGTTATTTATTCCCTTAGGTCAAATGAAGAAGAATTCTAATCGTTTCATCAAATGATCACATAACATAACGCGTTTTTCTGTTTCTTGTACATTTTTGTTTTTATGTTGATCATTTTAATGAATCATCACACAATCATATTGTTAATCAGACGGGTTTAATTGACAACAAATACTTGACGTTACAATTAAATAAAGGTGGGTCACATTTTATGCGTCTGCCCTACTTAATCCATTGATATAAAAAAAATTATGTTTCGTGGTAACAGTTATTTTTCTAACATGACAATTCTGATGGAAGTCTTGATATCTCACAACGAAACTTGCTGTTTATATACTGTTTCTGTATGATATAAATACAAGTATGAATGTTCATTTTATTCAGTTTCCACTAATCCATGCGATATATATTTTGTAATACCCCTACTTGACAGAGAGGGGAGTATATAGAAATCCTCATGTTTGTCCATCCGTCCGTCTGTACATCTCGCACACTGTTGGTTTTCAAATGGTAAATAGAGAACGGCTTTGTGATGTTCATTGAAAATTGAGAGCCGCTTTTTGAAATTAAGTGAAACTTATTGGAATGTTTTGGACCACTAAAGACAACTTAAGTTCGATTTTTGTCGTTACCGTTCAAGAGGAATGGTACTTGATTGTTTGAAAATTTTGTGGTTTCTGGATGAATAATGAAGCACCTCTTTTTGAAATTTCGATGGAATGTTTTAGACCACTAAAGACAGGCTAAATTTGATTTTCTTCACTTTTACCATTCTAGGGTAATGGCCTTTGATTATTGGAAAAATTGAAAGTTTTGTGGTTTCTGGATGATAATGGAGAACTCCTTTGTGTAGTTGATTGAAATTATAACAGAATGTTTTGGATTACTAAACAAAATCATGATTTCTGAGTTGCTGCGGGGGGGGGGGGGGGGGTAACTGTGATCAATGATATCACCTCTCTAGTCTATATTTAATTCACAACATTGTCCAGCTTATGACACAAGTATTGATGTCTGTTATTTGTTGATATTACAGAGAGGAATGACAGCATTAATGTATGCTGCAGAGAGAGGAAACCTGGAGATCGTCGAGTTTTTGGCTTCACCAAAAAGTCATTTGGAGGCCAGAGATACCTGGGTAATGATAGATATCTCCTCAGTCTGATCTTGCTCCCCTTAATACTAAATCAACATAAAATCATGTTGTTAATCAAACAGGTTGTATGGACATCAAGTAATTGTTTTTATTATATAAAGTTCATTTTATCTTGTAATACAGGTCTTATTTTGTTTTCTGACATTTTTTTTTGTGTAAGCATCAAGAAGATGATGAGAACAAGTTGTGCTAATATCTTTAGTCAGATGATATTAATTATAAAGATCTTATATAAAACATCTTTTAAAAACACCAAAATCTAGTTCGAATAATTTGAAGTTGTTTCTTTTAACCTGTTTCATTGTACCGAATCAGAAAACATAACTTGTTCTTATGTTTGTTGAAAAAAATATTTGATCATTATACTAGATCAACATAAAATCATGTTGTTATTAGGACAAATGTTATGAGCAACTTGTTATGATTTTATAAAGTGGAATCTCATTTCACACGTCTCATTGAACTGATTATATTGATGGAAATATTTTTTTTTTATATTTCTTTTAACATGACAGTTATAATGGAAGTTTTGATACTCATAATTTGATATGCTACTTATTTCTTTTTTATGTAGAACATAGATGCAACTGTGACTGTTAATTTTATTTAGTTTTGACCACTGATCCATGTGATATATATTTTGATGTTTTACACAATATTGTCTAGTTTATAACACATGTTTTGATGTCTGTTATATGTTGTGTTACAGTGGGGAGAGACACCATTAATATTTGCTGCTGAAGGAGGACACCTGGAGATTGTCAAGCATCTGGCTACAATGGGCAGTAATTTAGAGGCCAGAACAGATGTAATGATAGATATTATCTCTTCGTTATGAAATACGGAAATGTGCTATGATTGCCGATGACAACTATCCACCTGAAACCAATTCACTTAGATGTTAGCAACTGTAGGTCATTGTATGACCTTCAACAATCAGCAAAATTCATACCAAATAGCAAGCTAGCACAGGCATGACATGACAAAATATTACACAATTCAAAAGTTAAAACCAGCAGATTGTTTACATGCAAAACAACAAACGGAGATGATATACAGGAACAAATGACAACCACTGAATACATGCTTCTTAATTTTGAACGGGCACAAACGGAGCCCAATCCTTCACCTAACATGGGACAACATAATAACAAACTATGAAAATCAATTAAAAAGGAAACTACTCTAATCAAAGCACAAAAAGAACTAAAGAAAACATTGTTTAAAGCAATTGCCTTTATGCTATGATGAATCTGCAATTTTTGTAAATAAGATTCATGCGGCGGTATGCCAAACTGGTCGAAGTATAACATTTATTAGATTCTTCTTCTGCTATGATAAATTTCCTATGTATTTATGATTAATCGATTTAGAACAAGTTCAGTTAAAGACAATCTTTTGGTCTTCAATGCTCTTCAACTTCGTACGTTTTTTTTACCTTATTAACATTTTTGATTCGAGCGTCAGTGATGAGTCTTTGTAGACGAAACGCGAGTCTGGCGTACACAATTTCAATCCGGGTATCTATGATTAGTTTATTACTGAAAGCTAGTTTAGATACAATAACAACGTTAAATATATTCTTTATCCAAGACTAATCAGTCTGATCACATTCATCTTAACCGAAATACTACAAAACCATGTTGTTTATCAGACAAATAAGTGTTAGAAATACATCAAGTGGGGTCTCATATTACTTGTTTATGGGTACTGAATCAGAAAATTAAAGTTCTAATTTGTTTTCTGACAAAAAATTGGTAAACATCTGATTTTGATAAGATGTTGACAAGAATAAGTTGTGTTAACACATCTAGTTAGATAATATTAATAAAACAAATCTAGTTTACACACATTTTCAAAATAATAGATACTCGTTAAAAATTATGTGAAGCTGGGTCTTAATTTAAACATCTCATAGTACTGGATAAGAAAATATAACAGAAAAATATGGGTCTCGAATATTTTTATTTTTTTAAACTTTGACCAATATACTGAATCAACACACAATCATGATGCTAATCAGACATGTCTAATGGACAACAAATACTGGTTAGAATTATATAAATTTGGGTCTCGATTTATTCGTCTCGTCATCTTGAATCGACTTGTATAAAGAGAGGCTAAAGATCCCAAATGGAAATTCAAACTCATAAGTCGAAAAATAAACTGACAACGCCATGGCCAAAAAAAAAAGAAAAAGATCAAAAGACGCACGACAGTATACAAAACACAACATGGAAAATTAAAGACACGAAATGTATAAATATTTTTTGGCAAATCTTGAAAAAAGTTATTTTGTTCACATTACAGTTCTGATGGAAGGTTTGACATCACACAATAAAACATGCTGTTTAATTGTTATTAATGTAGAATATAAATACTGGTAATTTTATTCATTTTTTATCACTTATTTATGTGGTATATATTTATTACATACGATTTTTCAGTTTATGGCACAATTTTTGATGTCTGTTATATGGTGTTATTACAGGGTGGTATGACACCATTAATGTTTGCTGCTGAGGGCGGACACCTGGAGATCGTCCAGTATCTGGCTTCACATGACTGTGATTTAGAGACCAGAGACCTGGTTAGATATTATCTCCTCAGTCTGATCAGACTTAGCTTTATACTGACTATCACAAAGTCTTGTTGTTAATCAGACAGGTTTGATGGACAAAAAACACTTGGTAGAATTATATAAAGTATCAGTTGACTTGCATTGTCTTACTGAAAAAGTAAAATAGCAAAAATACCGAACTCCAAGAAAATTCAAAACGGAAAGTCCTGTATCAAATGGCAAAATCAAAAGCTATAATGAGAAGTTAACGTAGTAGTGTTAACATCTGTAGTCAGAAATGATTGATAATACAGATCTAAAGTAAAACATTCTTAAAAAATTATAAATACTTGTTACAAGTATTACGCCAAGTTGGAATCATTTAATTCATCTTATTGAACTGTATCTATTAATATAAATACTTTTTATGTTTCTTGAAAAATGTTTTTTTTTAACATGATATTTCCGATCGAAGTTCTTATATCTCACAACAAAACATGTTGTTTATTTCTTTTGTTTTTGTAGAATATAAATACAATTTTGACCGGTTATTTTATTCAATTTCGTCCACTGATTCAGGTGATATATATTTTGTTTATTATTGGTTAACATTGTGCTGTTTATCCACAAGTATAATTGTTTTCTATAAAACCAAGTGTTATTCTATATGCCTTACATATTCATAAGTTCTTTGACTTATTTTTGGATTTAATGAGTTTTACATAGCATTAACATCATATATATATATATAATTTGTTTTGCATGCACACGTATAAAAATTGCGGTTTTTATTCAACGCAATCATGGGTTTGAACGTTGTGTTCAATTAAGACTTGTTTATATATATATATATATATATATATATATATATATATATATATATATATATATGTAAGTCTAAAATGAAAACAACGTTCAAACCTTAGATTGCGTTGGATAAAAACCGCAATTTTTATATGTGTGCATGCAAAATAAATTTCTTGGTAGAGGGGTCTAAATACAGCACAAACAACATTTTCCAAAGGACAAAAAATGTGAAAAAGTATATTTTAACAAAACGCATTTGACTAGCAGGTCGAACAACGGATGGTCTTAAACCCTGCTGACTGCCATTGGCGATTGCAAAATAAGCGGATCACCAGATGTAACAAAATGGATCTTAACTATTAATTTAATACCAAACATTATATATATATATATTTGTTATTATTATAGGATGGAGAAACAGCTTTACATTATGCTGCTAGAAATACACGGGTTGAGATAACCAAATGTCTAATTGACAAAGGCAGCAGTCCTTGGATGAAAACACGAAAGGTAATATTCAGTCTTCACGCTGATTCACCATCTGAATCTGAAAAAAATGTAAAACTCTGCATCATGATGTGAGCCCTATATAAAATAATATATTTGATAAAATTTCATATTGATATGATGTGTAGCAAGTATTGAACATAGTGCAGTCACTGCCACCAATCATACACTATCAACCCATCTTCCACCAATTATACACTTTAAACAATCCTACCAATAAGCATTCACTATCCACACATCTTCCACCAATCATACACTATCACCAATGCTACCACTTTTCATACATAATCTATACCTATCACCAAAAAATTGGTACAAACATCGGAACCAAATAACAGCTCATGCCAGTACAGTGCATGCATATAGTGTTTTATGCTTGTGCTTTTTTATTTTTTATCTTTTATTTTGTTTGACTGTATTATTTGATTAGCTTTTTTGGTTGCAATTATCTGCTGTGCTTATCATTCTAACCTATGCTATGTATTACGATATCCATTTTTTTGCATACTATGCTTTTAACTTTTATATGTCATCTATGGTAATTTACCATCACTGCCTAAAACTGTGTTGTTTTCATGACTTTTGTATGTGTGTATATATTTTGTTATTCAGTCGATTTGAAAAGCTCACTAGAGCTTCTGTTTATGTAGTTTATTGAATATCGACTTTAAATAAAACTTGAATTAAAGACACCTACCTCCAAACATCTCTTCCAACAAACCTACCCAATCATACACTACCAACACAGTTACCAACAAAGAAACACTATCATTCCAAACATACACTACCCTCAATCCTAACAATAGTAAAACAACCACAAACAAGCAAACCATAACAACACATCTTCCACCAGTCAAACGCTACAAAATTGCTAACAAACATTCATTCACTATCGCACACTTACAACCAATCATAAACTAACAGCAAATTTACTACTAATCATACATTTCAAACAGACTTTTCCAATCACACACTACCAACACACCTTCCACCATTCATACATTACCACAAACCTACCACAAATAGGTTGTTGAATAAGAATTACGCTCACAGTAAGATTGTTGAGTATTTTACGTATGAAAGTAATATATCACAAACTGCAATAATTTGTTGGTGACAGTAAAAACTGATATACAGTGCATTTATATCTTCACAATGTTATATCTGATATACCGGTATTACTTGGTGTGCGTACACTGGTTTATCTTAATAGAAAAGATATAAAGTAGATTTAAATAAGACCATATCCTACACTGTGTAAGTGAAATTAATGCAACAGCTAGTTTATATGTGTGTGATCGATTGACCAATAACTGATTCGATTGTTTTTCAGGGTCATACTCCCTGTGATATGGTAACATTAAAAAGCAAGGACTCTGAAGAGAAAAAAATTAAAAAGACAGAAATAATGGACTTCCTGAAGGTAGATATGATGTCTTTAAAAAAAAGAAACATTTACAAATTGTAAGAGAAACAGCAGACTTTATTTCAACTAATCAGCAATTGAACGGTTGCTTATTACACATTGACATTTTTTTTTCGAGCAGGCGACATTTATTTCTATAAAGTACGAATTTGAAGAGCATTCAGGACCCAAAATTCCTTAAAGTTTTGCCAAGTACATATAAAAAATGGATCTCAGATTAATTTTTCATGAACTCATTTCACACCAATGGCATTTTCTAAAGTCCTTTATTTAATCTTTACTCAAATTTACAAAATTTGAATTGTCGAGAAGGACTCCTTTACCATAACAAAAATTATATCAAAAGTAATTACATGAATGACCTTTCAGATGCAACTTAATTTATTTCATTACCCATGCTTTCCCAATCCACCCAACTTCCCCTAATCCAAGAAAAAAATGGATTTGGCGTGAATACATACTTCCATAGCCTCCTTCATACTAGCACCGATATCAGGAGATGTAGAACATTATGGAATAACCGTTTCACAGATGATATCGGATATGTTCCTTATGTCGTAACTACAATACCCCTCCATTTTCACGAATGTGACCTACCGAATTAGACTACTTACCGGGTTTGTAATAACATAACAACACGACGGGTGCCACATGTGGAGCAGGATCTGCTTACCCTTCCGGAGCACCTGAGATCACCCCCAGTTTTTGGTTGGGTTCGTGTTGCTTAGTCTTTAGTTTTCTATGTTGTGTCATCAGTACTATTATTTGTCTGTTTGTCTTTTTATTTTTGGCCATGGCGTTGTCAGTTTGTTTTCGATCTATGAGTTTGACTGTCCCTCTGGTATCTTTCGTCCCTCTTTTATGACTTATTTGAACAATATAACGTTCAAGGTTATGTATAATAAACATACAAGTACATATGAATCAAAAGAAAAATAGTGGCACGAATCTCATGCGTTTACAAATAGTGAAAACTTTTCATAATACACAGTAGCGACATTGAGAAAATTATACAACTACCCACTGTTATCTCTTATATTGTTGATCATACGTGATATTTTAGTAAAATTACAATGGTTGTTATATTTTGTAGTATCTGGCAATAAACAAACGAAATATTACTGAAATTATTATTAACTGATTAATTGATAGGTAATCCTTCCTTTTTCTGCTAAACCGCATACTTTCGACTGATTTGATCTATATATTTTTTTTAATTTAAGGTAATCCATAGGCACCTTATACTTATTTTGATTCGAGCGTCACTGATGAGTCTTTTGTAGACGAAACGCGCGTCTGGCGTACAAAATTTCAATCCTGGTATCTATAATGAGTTAATTATAGGATTTTTTTTCAAATGGAAATTATTAAGAAGAAAAAAACATTAAAAACATCTTGATTCTGTATTGTTAAAGTTGAAAAATATAGTTGTCTCAAACAAAATATGTGCCCCCTCTATTGAGCAACATCCATGAAGTGTGAATGGTCGGTTCCTTAAAGATGGGACAAAGTTAATGGATAAATACGATGGTTTGGAATTGTTGGTTTGGAAATAAATATTTAACAACAATTTTCCATTCTTTAATTAGATTGTTTCCTACAAGATCAAATAGACTCTTTACCATTGTGGGATTACTCCTGTGATTGAAGATTTGCTTACTATAAACAAATGCTTGTGAATGATTTTGAAATAGGATACTTTATATTTATCACGTCATGCATTAGATATCCCACTTATGGATTTCTTATGGATTCTATAGAATACCTCCTCGTGACATTTTCTGTACTTATGTTGTAATATATTTCATTTTTCCTCCCAAGCCCTTTCTTCCCTCGTGTGTAACAGTAGGGGGACATTTTGCTTATAGAATATATTTTTCTCCCATTTTCGTTCAACAAAATAACATTTTCTCTTATGCCCTAATTTGACATTCGTTTGGACATTAAAGTTTGATACATAATTTTTAATTCAATTATACACCACCATTGGAGTTTAACCCACGTTCGTTATAAAAGTAAACATTGTTCAATCAATTTAAATAATCAAAACATACTTTTGCACGGATAAGTGCATGCGATGAGCTAACACATTTCAAACGGTAATTAGAGAAAGGTTACGATTTAAGATTCCTTAATTAAGTAAAGACTTAAGTAATTTTATGCATACGAACAATTTCACTTAACTCAGGAAATTCTTAGTGAAATCTTAGTTTAAGGTACACTTAAGTTAAGATGTTTTATGCATACAGGCCCTGGTGTTTAAGTTTTTTACACAAAAATTACTTTGTCAAACCTTCATAGTATTTTATAAACTTTGGCGGAAGTTTTTTTTATAATTAAGAGATAACGTCTGAAGCAAAATTTTGGAAATATATTATTTTCATTTTATAGTGTTTTACCAATAGTTGGACTTTTCTTTTTATAGCTAATATTCACATGCAGTATGGGACTACATTGTTTTGACTAGATAGATGTGTTAACCTTCATGGATTGTTATGAAATTTCTAGAAATCGTTTCTGAAAAAGAAGTTTGATTTTGTAAAAAAAATATCTGAAATTTTACTGATAAATGGACTTACTTTTTACAGTCAACAGTAAACTTTTACACTAATAGCAGCAATAGCTAGACTTCGGGAAACCTTTACAAATGTTTATGTTCAGCTATTTCTTGTCAGTAAGCAGTGTTCTGACATTTGACAGTTCCAAGCTTGTTATTCAATTTAGAGGTTGACATTTGCATTAAGCAATTGTTTAAAGATTGCATGCTGATCTTTGGATGTCTTTTGGTTTTATGTGTTTGGCTTGAAGTGTCCTTTCTAATCAAGTTTATTAATGCAGAAATAGACATGTATTTCAATGAATTTGATGTATATGATGTATTTGATTTGTTTTTAATGCCGTCATTTTGAGAAACGATTAAACATGTCAGGTATCATTATAAAAAAAAGCGAAAACAATTAACAAATGTAAAAGAGAAATTCTGCAAAAACCATGTGAGTAATGTTAAAGATGGTATCCTCGACCCTTGCCTGAAATTGGAAGTTGTTTCAACTATTGTACAAACAAACTGAAAGTTGTTTCAACTATCGAAAATAAGGACATGATATGATGATCTATATATCTTTTTTGTAGACTGTCATGCAGAATACTCCTGAAGGTAATTTCTCTTATCCTTGTTATTCTGGTATTGACTGATATAATTTATAATTGCTTGCTTCTGAAATTGAAAAAAAATACATAAAAACTACTTATTGTGAAAAGCAGACGAAAAGTATGATACTGATGTAGTTATCAATGATGTCATGGAGAAACTAGTCTTTATTGGCTCGGTTACGAGCTACCCCGAATAACAGCTCTGTGTAGACCAAATTGCAATATGATGTCACCAGATCTCTTTGGTCTTAATTTTCAGACGAATACTTAGTATGTATCGTACAATCTGAAAAAATATACTTTTTTGTTATTGTTAGTTATATTTTCATGATTCTTCAGCACATTTTACTAAAGCAATCATATGCCATTAGCTTTTTTGCGCTGAAATGTTTCCAGAACGAACACTATATTTTGAAATACTTGAATCGTTTACTTTTCACAGTTTTAAGATGGTTTTCTATCATTTTTCTGGCTACCAAATGTGAATGTTTAAACCAGTCAAATTCACTATAAAACCAGGTTCAATCCACCATTTTCTACATTTGAAAATGCCTGTACCAAGTCAGGAATATGACAGTTGTTGTCCATTCGTTTGATGTGTTTTGTCATTTGATTTTGCCTTGTGATTAGGAACTTTCCGATTGAATTTTCCTCGGAGTTCAGTATTTTTGTGATTTTACTTTTTTTTTTCACAACTCAAAACTCATAGAGGGACAAACTGGGTCTCATATAGACAGCCGCTTATGGAACCTGTGATGAAAGATTGTGTTAGTGTACTAGTTTTTTCGTTCTCATACGACATCTCGGAAAATTATATGACTTGCCGAAAGAAAGAAAAGAAAAATGACACAATACTGTAATTAATAAGCGGTTTAGACAATTTTCTGTAACCACCAACTGCAAAAACAAAGACGAATTCTGTTTACTACAACACCAAGGAAACAGACTAATGACATATAATACTAATGCTATTAATACTAGTAATATGATGTACTTTGCACACTGTTCTGTATTTTTTTTCAGTTAAAAAGAACTCCTGGTATTGAAAAACAAAAAATATAAATTATTCTTCCCACTGCTCAGAAGAAGGGGCTATCCTGTTTTACCCCTGTCTGTTCGTCCGTCTGTCTATCCGTCGTTTGGAATCGACGTCTGTCCTATGAAATTTCTGTAGCATTTTTCTCAGAACTACAAGTCAGAGCTTTCTGAATTTATTTTTTATGTTAACATGCTATATTTTGTGACAAGTTTCAGATTCATGGCTAATTAACTTCTTGTGTACCGATTAATATTTTTTTCTAAACATCGCATTTTTCTAGGGAACTACAAACAAGAGCTTCCTGAAATGTGACACCAGGCTTCATGTGAACATGCTTTACTGTATAATACAATAATTTCTCTCCAACTTCCTATTAAGCAAACACGTATAGCTATTATCGTTATTGAGCAATAGCTCACAATTCAACTTGTATAAAAGTGTTTAGTAGTTTCACCCAGGATGACCCTGCTTAAGGATATATGTATATATTCCTTTATCTCCATAACAGCTTTCGCAATATGTAGAATATCTTTCTTCAAGTCAGTTCAGACACTTTGTTGTGGCTTCTAAGAATCTTGTTTTGACTATAGTTGTCTATCCTTCCTCAACAGCTTTGACCAGGTTTTGTTTATCTTTTTTCTGCATCTGGTTTTTCAACAAGTACTTTTTAAGGAAAAAAAATCAATATTAATGATATATTTACAGATTACTTCCAGAAAAAAAAGTCAGCCATGTTGAATCGGTTGATGGGCAAAGGCACCTATGAATCGTTTGACATGCGCTGTATGGTGACTGGCCAGTTTGGGGTAGGGAAATCTACTCTTGTAAAGCTGTTAATTGGGGATGTAATACCAAAAGGGAGACATGCTACAGATGGAATCTCTCTTATTGAAGGTCGCTGTGGCCTTGATGTTAAGACTAGACAATGGATTCTTTATGATCCAGGTAAAGGTCAATCTTTACAAATTTGGAAACTCAGATTAAGACCACATGCTGTTCTTTTCTAAGTTTTGTAATATATTTTCTTAAAAGCATCAAAAAGGTCTAATATATAATCTATGCGTATAACGTTTAATACGATGCTAGTAATAACGGTAACATTACAAATCAATGATGTTATATTTTCCCATTTTTCCCATCAGAAGACAAATCAATTTGCTTTATTTTCAATAAAAAAAAATTTCCTTGATGATGGTTTTACAGATTCATTGTAAATTTAAGATTCAGGCCAATCCCTTGTTGGTCTTAATTTTCTTTTGCCGCGACTGAGTCCCAGAAAGGAAAATTAGGTGTGCTAAGTGGTGCTGTTTTTGAAGGCACCAGCGTTGTCAACGGTGTCAACACTTTGTAAAGTTTATAATTAAGTCATTTTAAAGAGAACCCCAAATAGTAGATCAATGATACTTGGATATGTAATTATTTAGAGCATTTTCAAATCTTATTCATTTTGGATTATTTTGCTACACCCTTACAGTCATGGTCTATTGACTATGTAACTTATGCGTAGATAATATGTTAAATTTTGCAACCTCAAGAGTGTAAGGGAAGCCACTAACTGTTGGTTACAATGTTGGTCCTAAGTTTGATTGTCTCGCCTGCAAGGTTAAGCTTTCGTTGTCAAGTCCGTAGTTCAGATACTATAAACATTGATAAACAATAAGACAACTAAATTTTAGGGAAAGAAATACTGTTAGGTGTACATGTTCGGCAGGATTCATATGATTGGCACTCATTTTCATGGTTCATTGGGCAATTTAAGTTTTCAAAGTTAAGTCTGTTTCCAAGCTACTTAGAATAATATGTCAACTTTGAAATGATTGTAAGTGTTGCAATTTTAATCTTATCATTGGCTTTATTCTATAAAAATACATACAAATGATACATTTTGTTGATCAAACAGTTTATTACTGTTTTCTTTTTACACATTATTACTTGGATGGAGAGTTGTCTCATTGGCACTCATACCACATCTTATTTATATTAGTGGGGAAAGGGACAGATAGATTGGCTTTTGGTTGTTTGACCTGCCTAAGATAGTAGAAGAAAATTATGTTGTCTGGTCTGTGTGTCAGTCCATCCATCCCATACCATATTAAAATTTTTGGTAGTTTACCATGAAGGATTAGTAACATAAATTTGAAACTAAGTGTTGTAATCTTAATTTAAATATTGTCATTATATTATCAAAATAACAGGAAGTCGAGATATGTTTTTGATGTTAATATCTTTTTAGTGACAGGCAAAGATGTTGATTGGGTTTTGGTTGTTACTTTTTTTTGGTTGCTTGGTATTTATGTTTCAGAAACATATATTATATACATCCGATTTAATATTCGTTCATATCTGTTTATATCATAAATGTTTTTTTTTTTTTCAAAAATATAACAGATGTATTCCTATATATTTTTTCGTACAGGAACTTATGAAGCAAGTGATGTTGTATACAACAAGGTGTTAATGACCTCGGTAGATACAGATAAAAGTAAGCCAAAAGACCAGTTAGAAAAACCACAAGCATCATGCACAAGCCCTTCTGAAAGTAAAGATGATAAACTGGTAAATCCAGATGTTCTCCTACAGCAGTCACAGGCTATGGCATTGCCTCCCCCATCGACAATACCCGATTATATCTCAAACCGACGTCCACTAGTCATAGCATTGTCACCTCAGACGTCCTCCATTGTGCGTCTATCAAAAAAGCAGATGAAACAGAAAATAAAATCCAGGATGACTGAAGATGAAATGAGAAGGAAAATGGAAAAAGTTCTCAAGAGTGGAGAATATAAGATGAAAGTGGGACGTCTCATTTTTTGGGACTTTGGTGGACAGTATGTTTATTATACAACACACCAAACATTCATGACTTTTAGAGCTTTGTTTCTTGTTATTTTTGATGGAAGCAAAGGATTGCACGAACAGGTCCCTGACGTGTTGTGTTTTCCAGGACAGCATACGACACCAACCCCAGCAGGTAAAATACTGTTAATAACATGGTAAGGTCTCATACATCCTTGGCTTTTAAATTTTGGGTTTGAGTGTTCCTGATTAAGGTATGTCAAGCATGATGGTGATTAGATGGAATTTTCATGTTACTGAGTAACTTAACATTCAGCTGTGAGTGAATCGCACCCTTTCTGTGATCACAGTGATGGGTTTTATGCACATTGAAGCAATGATAGGCGACAGTGATTTGGATACGAAAATCAACTTCCTAGACTATTCAGCTACTCAAACCCAAAAATATCATTGATAAGGCAAATATTAAGGGGGACAATATTTTACTGATGTCAAGTGATTAAGAAGAGACAAATCAAGGTAATAAACTAGTAGTCTGAATACACAAAAAGTTGAACATGAAGCATTGCCATTTAAATGACTCTTGTGCGATTCCATAAAGTGCAAACGACTCTCAGATAAGTTCAGAAAATGTAAATAACCCGATTTTAATAATCTTTTGTATTTTTAGTATTTTTACAACACTGGGTCAACTGCATCCTGACCTATTGTAAGGCTGTTTATCGAGGCATACCAAAGATCTTGTTTGTTGCTACACATAAAGACAAAATACCAAGGGTAGGTGACGTATTATTAGATGTATATCGGCCTTTCATGCATATCGGATTTGTTGATATCTGAAACGACTGTGTTCCAAATCAACAGAAGTAATTTACAATTTATGACAAAAGTAAGGAAAATCCGTTTTTGCAATAGAAAATTAAATATAGAAAACAGAGAGACAACATATTGACCGCAAGAAAGAATAACAAAATACAACAGTCAACAATCAATAAAACTAAAGATAAAGCAGCATATCTCACACAAAAAAAGGTCTGCCGATTTTGCTTGACATATGACACCTATGGTATTATTCCTGTTACAATCTGTTGATGAGTTATATCAAGTGAATAATAGATTATGGATTTCAAAACATTAATTGTCTGATTACGGTGTACACAAGACATATATCTGGAATTTCATGAAAATGGAGGAAATATGGAAGCCTGTTTTTCATTTTATATTTTATTTCTTATGAAAGAGTGTCTTTCTTTCTAAATATAGCCTTTAGATCAAGCTTAACCGATTATGTTGCATTTGTTGTATCCGTTATTAACTCCAACTTTATAAGACTTAATCTAGCGTACTCTGACATGTTCAATTTGTTGTATCGGTTATCAAATCATCCTTTATAAGACTAGGTCTAGATTCCTCAGATTTGTTCTATTTGTTGTATCAGTTATCAACTCCACCTTCATAAGACTATATCAAGCTTACTCAGATATGTTTCATTTATCCGTTATCAAATCCTCCTTTATTAGACTAGATCTAGCTTACTCAGTTATGTTCCATTTGTTTCATCTTTTAACATAATTCTTCTTTATTAGATTATATCTAGCCAACTCGGTTATGTTCCATTGGTTGTATCCATTATCCACTCCATCTTTTAAAGAGTTGATCTTACTTACTCGATAATGTTTCATTTGTTGTATCTGTTATCAATTCCTGCTTTCTGAGACTATATCTAGCTTTCTGTGTAAGTTCTTTTGTTGTATGTTATCAAATCCTCCTTTATAAGACTATATCTTGCTTTCTAAGTTACATTCCATCTGTGGTATGTTATCAAATTCACATTTACAAGAGTAGATCTATCTTTCTTGGGTGTGTTCTATTTGTTGTATCTGTTATCGTCTCCATCTTTATAAGAGTAGATGTAGCTTACTCGGTTATGTTCCATTTTTTGTATTTGTTAACAAATCCTCATTCCCTCAATTATCACATGACCAAATAATATTTTTCATCGGAATTTCCTTTTTAGAAGATGATGGTGTCTTAGTTGTGAATTGCCTTTTAGCTCACAGTCTGAAAGTGCCATTTCTTGGCGTCTGTCTTTGTCGTTCATCAGCTATCCGCCGTTATTGTCTATCCACTTTTGATGTACAACTGCCGTCGTAAACGTTAAAAAAATAAACGAGAGCAACTGTACATGGCATAAATTTAAGCAAACTAAGATTTACATGTAAGTCAACACGGTTGTCTATTGACCCGTCATAGGAGGTATTGTCCCTTGAAAGACATATGATTTTGTTTTCAGAAACCATAGTATAGATAGGGAAAAACACAATAAGATCTACAAATAAGTCAATTTGACAGAAATTGTCAAATGACTCCTTATATGAGTTCTCGCCCATGAATTATTATTTTACATTTTTTGAACTTTTTGCAAAAACTGAAATAGAGAGAGAGCAACAGTAAATAGCTAAAATGTTGTGTAAAATAAGACCTACAAACTAATCCAAAGGATGAAATTTATCAATTGACTTCTTAGAGGAGTTATTGCTCTTGAAAAATAATGTTTACCATTTTTTGCCTTTTATTCAGACACTTTAATAGACATAGAGCAATATAGCATATAACAAACAAATCTACAAATCAGTCAACATGGCCGTAATAATCAACCGACTCCTTATCAAAGTTATTTCCCATGAAAGATGAATTTTACCAATTTTTTGCATTTTTGTCAAAACTATAATAGATAGAGAAAAACATCAACGTCAAAAATTATCAACAAAATAAGACCACATGACTGCCAAAGACTCTTTATAGGATATATTGCCCTTAAATGATTATTTTTATTTACAAATTTTCATAACTTTGCCAACTATTTCTAAAAGTTTAATAGATATGTTTAAATTGCAAATAGTCCAAATGATCATCAATAAAAGATCTAAAAAAATGCCGTTAAATAAGATTAACAAATTAACAAACATAAACGATTGTAATCAAGGTAAAAATAAATTGAGGTACTTGAGAGCCTCTTGTATTTGAATATTAACAATCGTAGTGTAGGAAATATTGTATCTATATCGTAGATATGCCAAGATCCATTTTCATTTTTTTTTTAAAGTATGAAAAAAAGAGTGAAATAAGGGATCCTTAATGTTAATTGTTCTTGAATTGAAATGAGTCTTTGCTATTTTTAGAACTTAAGGTCATGGAACACATGTTTTTATTATCAAACAAAATATGATCATTTTGAAAACATTTGAGCAATGTACCATTTTTGCATGTTAACTCAAATTAACAAGTTAAATCATGTTCCCACTCTAAGAATGGGGGCTAAATCATATTCTCCTTATCCGTCCATCCATACGTCCAACAGATATTTTTGTCACACTTCTCGCAATAGATTTCATATTCAGCCAGCAGCTTGACAATGATGATTTGTAAATGTGGGGACTTCAAATAACCCTTTCCTGTTGAACGATACTTTGAATTGTTCAATATTTTGAATGAACTTAAAATTGTTTTGTCACACTTTGCTACAGTCTCTAGAATATTTTCATATTTAGTCAGCAGCTTGGTTGCGATGAGTTGTAAATCGTGAAACCTTATCGGATTCGATATACAAACTTGTTTGGATTTTGCTTTGATTTATTAAAACATGTGCTAAGCCTTGCAATCAATATTTTTGATGTAAACGGCTTGATTTAGCTGACCCACTCTATATTAAGTGGGAACCTAACACTTTGACTAAAGAAAATTTGACTCGTTTAATTTTCATTACATTTTGACAAAATATCAACTTTGACCTGTTGACAAAATTTTCAAGAAATTTGAACCTCACAATTTACAAGAATACTTGTTTTGGATATTTAGCAGTTTGACAAACAATAATTTTGATAATTGAGAAGCTTGATTTCTCTTTTACTTATAAAATGTGATTATACGGTTGAGCTAACTTTTAAAGAGTTAACTCCCCTAGACGTTCTGTGACCTCTTAAATGAGTTCCTCCTAGTAAACTAGTAAATTGCGTAATAGTTGTTTTATGTCTCTGATTGTAAACTGTTTAAAACACCAAATATTGATTTATCTAGTACCTCTGTATTTCTTTATAGGAGAAAATCGAGACACAGCGTAAAGAGTTATACAATGGAGTAGAAGAGTTATTTAAAAACCACGAAGGACGGCATCATCTGGTACTTGATAAACATATATTCGTCAATGCAACAGACAAAGCAGATCCAGAGATTGATGTCCTAAAGAAAACCATCACAGACCTTACGTTTGAACATCCATGTTGGGGAGAGAAAATGCCGAATGCTTGTGTCCCCCTTGAACTTGAGATTGCTGAGTTGGTAGCTAAAGGGAAACAAATTTTGTCAATTGGGGAACTTGAAGAATTAAATGCCATCAGCCAGGTGTCTGTTCTGTTTCCCGAGGAGCTCAGCGATTTTCTACATTTCCATCACTCTGTAGGAAAGATAGTCTACTTTGACACCCCACAGTTGCGAGGTTTTGTGATCATCAGCCCACTTCTTCTGGTGGAAGTAATGAGATCCTTTGTTACAGGTATTTTATTATATGATTTCCACTTTGATGCTGTTCAATATGGCAATAGTACATTGTTTTAATAAACATTATGCGGAATTAGTTGTGAAATGTGGGAACATTGTTCGGGAGGAGTACGTATAGCCTATTTTATTTCTTGTCACATGCTACCGCTTTCATTTTTAGTGCATCTGACCCGAGAGATCAAGTGAGCTATTCCCCTCAAGCAACAATCATCATTGGTATCTATATTAATAACTGTGTCCGTACGATGATCCCGCCTTCCAACCAACATGGCCGACATCACTTTAATAAGATCATAGGGGTAAAATGCTAGTTTTGTCATTTATCTTGAAAATCGCTATAGATAGAGAAATTCTTACTGCGCTGAAATGTTTAGATAATATCTACCCACTGCTCCTGACATGAAACTCTCCGACGACTTTTCATGGGAGTTATTGCCCTTAAATGACTAATTTTACACTGTTTTAATTTTCGACTATTATCTTAAAACTGTAATATATAGATAGAAACTTTAAAGAAAAAAAAATAACCAGAAACACAAGATCTTCAGGTAGGTTAACATTACTGGAATTGTCAGTTGACTCCTCATCAAGGTTATTGCCTGCAAAAGACGATTTATTATCAATTATTTTCGTTATTGCCTATTTCTTTTCTTTGAAAACTATAATAGATACAGGGAAACTTTAAATAGCAAAATCGATCAACAAACAAAGCTCTACAAATATGTCAACCTACCGAAACCATTGAACGGAGTTATTTACATTTGTGTATTTGCCAAAAGTCTTGAAAACTATAATAAATAGAAAGAGATTGGAATGGTAAAATTATCAGGAAGAAAAGAATTACGAATAAGTCAACATGGCTCAAGCGTCCGTCCGTTGTGGACACCGGTTTAAGATCCAGATGATAAGAACACACTCTTTCATACTAATGTGAAATAAGGCCTTTGGTATATTTCTGCAAACATTATATGTACTATGGATTCATTTATTTTCCTGAAAATCAATTTCGTGGATTGAGAAAAAAATGTTTTGTTGATACTGATTTCGGGGATATGTCACAGTCTCTACACAAGCCTTTAGAAAATGTGTACTTCGATGCATATTTAATTTATGATTTATGTATACCGACGGAATGCACAAACATTGGTATATCATAAAATATAATGAATCCTAAGTATTTAAATATATGATATAAATAAGAGCAAATGCAGGATTTATGTCAGTTAGACAGCAACCCAAAAACAAAAAGTAAAAAATTTAGAGACAAACACACATTTATAATTTTTGTTATGATTTTTAAGTATCCAAGAGGTCTGTTTTGAAATCAAATGATTTTTTTTTCTTTGTTGTTTTATTCAAACTGGTCAAGTCTGCACATTTATTGTTTGAACATCATCCGCAGATGTGCATATTTTGATAAAAATTCGCTGAATAATTTTGAGACAAATCTCAATTTTTGTTTAAAAATAACAAATTTTGAGATATAGTTTTGTAAACGGAAAATATCCCAATATTGTGGATAGGAGGCCAATGAAATTTTGCATAGTTGTTGTCCATAATATGAAGTTATGCATATTAGATTTTTACCAAATCACAAGTTTTGAGGAACATCTTTTTGCTCTCGGATTTCAATGAAAACTGTTTTGTTGGTATAACCTTCTGCTCCAAATTGATTTCTGCTGTAAAAAATTAATTCCTGTAAATAAAAATATTGGGGAGGGGGGGTCGTTAAAAAAAAACCACACAAATTTTGAGAAACTTCTTCCTATGCTAGAATTTCAATAAAAATGTATGTGATGATACTCCAAATTCATTATCTATGTTCAAGATTATTCTTTGAAAACTATATTTGATATTACTACCATACTACATAACAAATCATAGTCACTTCAGATTTTATGAAACTTTATATTTACTAAGGACATTTCCGGAATTTTTTCCTTGTTTTCAAAATTTTATGTAACTTGAAACGGTATCAAATGTATTGCTGTGTTTGTATCGAAAATTGTTTTTTGATAATGTACCACACACAAAAATGTGCAGGCGGGGCCCAACCTGACATCGTTATTTTTCTAGTAAAAGTATTCTTTGCATTGATTGTCGCGAATAGAAATTAAAAATTTCTATGTATTTTGGAGTAAATATTAATATTGAAATTAAGGACAGGCTAGTATTAATAGCAGATTATTTAAACTTCCTTATTTAATTTTATTTTACAGATATAACCTTTTGGCCAAAGAAAGGTCACATCAGAAAAACATTTGAAAGGATGTCCGGAAGTGGAATAATACAAAGAAAACATCTGTATCATATTTGGAAGCAAACGCACTTTGATAAAATATTACCTTATAAAGAGTTCATATTTGATATGCTCATCCATCTTGATATTCTATCAGAGCAGCGTAGATATGATACTGATACAGGGAGTCGGCTACCAGTGGAAAACTTCTTTGTACCCTGTATGCTCATACAAAGAAATGATACACGTTTCATGACAGGTGAATGCACACCAGAGAAAGCTATCAGTTTGGCATTCATTTTCAAAGGGACAATTATACCCCCAGCCTTGCCAAATCGTCTTATCAGCGCATGTCTCAGTATGTGGAGTGTGAAGACATATGAAGGGAAACAGCTCTTGTTTTCAGGATTTATTGGATTATCATTCGATATGGCACATGATATTGTGGTATGTGTTGAAGGCAACAAGATTCTGCTTTACATAGTCCATAAAACTTCTAACGGACTCATCGTACCAGATATTGCCACTGGAATCAAGGAATGCATGTTTACTACATTAGAGAGAATTTCAGAGTTCTATCAATCCGCAGTTCATGCCTCACCTAACAGCCAAAAGCTACCCTTCCACATTGAATATTCATGCTCCAGGTTCGGATGTTTTATCACGGAAGAGGCAGCATTAACAACTAATGAATGGGTCTGTGATAAACATAAGCTTTTACATAAGAAAGAAAAGTGGAATATTTGGCATCAAGATCAGGTATATATAGATAAGGTTGTTAAGAATAGGTTTTACATCTTTTGTTGAGAGACAAAAGGTAAATAAGGGCTCAAAACTAAAACATGTGATGTACAGGCTAGGATAGGTAGAAACGAGATCATCTGTTGATGACAATGGTAAAACGGCCCTTAAAACAACGTGTGATGTAGAGGTTGGGATAGGTAAAAAAGGGACTGTCCTGTTGATAACATATAAACCTAACCTAACATATAATTAACAGAACAGTATAGGAAAAAAGAGCTGTTTGAATTCTTCCCCATTTTAGTTTTAAAAACTGAATGCTGTAAAAAAATTGACATGGCAGTGCATCCTTCTTAAAAACAAAGGTGGAAGATACCAAAGGGACATTTAAAATATGAAACCGACAACACCATGCAAAAAAAAAGAAGAATCAAACCTGTCAACCAAACACTACACAGAAAACTCAGGAATGAGCAATTAAAAAACAGGGTTGATTTATTACCATTGTTAGGGACAAAATTTAAAACTTTAGGATGAAATTAAATATTTTTGAAATCTGTCGGCAGTTGTTAAGATGTTAATCGTGAAGAAAAAAGTTTTTTTCCCAATATAAAAATTTTAAAAAAATGTTTTGCTTCATGTATTTTATTGATCACCCAAGTGTGATTGCAGAATTTACATCTTTTTGCGTTGATCAGTAACATTTTATGCAAATTCAAAATAACTACACTACAATTACATTTTTTTATTAATATCTTATATAGTTCAGCATGCATTTATTCTGTCACAGGGCGAGGGAGTAACCCACATGTTTTAAGCAAAACAAATAGACCGTAATACTATATTTGAGTGAAATATCCCAAGTGATTTTAAATGTGATTGGTAATCATGACGTGGATATGAGCCAACATCATGTGTTAACAAAAAATGAAGATCAAAACGGTAATTAATGTTGAAATCACTCAGGTGTAATTCAATTGTTATTTAGGTTTATCAGAGGATGTAGGCTCATGTTATCTGTCTGTGCCATATCCATATATCCCATTCATTTGGCATCTGAAGGGATATAACACTTCCAGAAATATGAACTTGTATTTCCTTTAAGATCCCGAATGACATATATAATCTTCTATTAACACTTCACAATTTGTTTATTCTTGATTTCAATGGACATTAGCTACGAATTAAACAAAAACATTAAAAAAGCGGAATACAGGAATAATATTTCGCTATTAGTAGTCAGTTAAGTTCAATTTCGTCAAAATAATCTAGAAACTATCGCTGATGTATTACTGGCTTGCAGGACAATAATCCAACTAATTTGAATCCGTAACAATGGGACCTTCAACTATAACTTTAATTATAACTATAGTGTAGATAGGTTACTTATGTGTTTATCATGTGGCTCATTCATAAAAAAAAATAATGTCAACTTTGAAAGACAAGGTAGACACCTGTTATAACAATGACTAATCCGCCACAAAAACATTCATATACAGGCAAAACGATGATATACATATATTGTTTCTCTATAACATGCATTCAAAGAATTGTCATTATACGAATATACGTGCTTGTCTGTCTATTTATATTTATATTCATATCTGAGAGTCTTCTCGATTGATAATAAGAAGACTTTTGGTCTAAAATACGCATGCAATACTGATACATTAAAATGATTCTATGGATAGTCAATTGTGTTTTTTTACAATTTGTAATTTGAATATACGTTTTAGTATGATATAAAACAAATATGGAAATTTAGGTCAAATGGGTGTAAATTAATTTGATAGCTAATGCCCATTTAATATAATAAATGCATAAATTTTTTGAGCAATATTTTCAGAAAAAAGAACAATGTGAAGAGAACTGTCAAGGTAAATAGCATTAATTAGATAATATCATACTGTTTATTACAGTGGTTTAACCCAACAGTAGTGATTACTTATCTTTTCCCTTCTATTCTTCCACAGAGAAAACATTTTTGAATGCAGGGCATTAATAATACTTGGTACACGTCGTCTTTTACACGTATAACAAAGCCATACTGGGTTGATTTCAGTACTTGCCGATAGTTCATGTCTGTTTTTCTAAACTTTTTCTTACCAGATAATTTGGTTTCAATCAGAATGTACGATCATATCCCCTCAGACTAATGTAAGTTTTGGATTAGGTAAATGTTAAGGTTTTATAGGGTTTTTTTTGGCAATATATCATTTATGCATATTTATCCAAGTAGCAAAAACAGCATGAGCTCCAATTATTTTGGGGTTTTCCAATACTGTGGATTCATTATTATTCGTATTGTATTGACACCTATTTGCGTAGATTTAGTGGGTAAACGTGAACCACTAATTTAAATGTTCAACTAAGTACATGTTTTCCATGGGTTTAGTCTGTGATATAACCACGAAATCAAATATCCACGAAACTACAATTTTTTCTCCACTAACCAAAATTGGTAACCAAGAAAATTACTGAATCCACAGTAATAAAAAGAACCACTTTTTCTCCATTAATCATAGACATGTTATGACGGGTGTCACATGTAAAGCAGGAACGGCTTACCCTTCTGGAGCACTAGTGTAAAGGGTCAGGTGAGCTTTTCTCATCACTTGTCGTCCGTCGTCCGTCGTCGTCGTCCGTCGTTAACTTTTACAAAAATTTTCTCCTCTGAAACTATTGAGCCAAAGTTAACCAAACTTGGGCACAATCATTATTGGGGTATCTAGTTTTAAAAATGTGTCCGATGACCCGGCCCACTAACCAAGATGGCTGCCATGGCTAAAAATAGAACATAGGGGTAAAATGTAGATTTTGGCTTATATCTCTGAAACCAAAGCATTTAGAGCAAATCTGACATGAGGTATACTTGTTCATCAGGTCAAGATCAGACAAATCAGACAACCCATTGTTGTGATGCTGCCCCTTAATTGGTTATTTTAAGAAAATTTCGCAGTTTTTGGTTATTATCTTGAATATTATTATAGATAGAGATAAACTGTAAACAGGAATAATATTCAGAAAAGTAAGATCTACAAATAAGTCACCATGACTAGAATTGTCAATTGAACCCTTAAGGAGTTGTTGCCCTTTAAAGTAAACTTTTAACAATATTTCGTAAATTTTTGTAATCTTTTAAAAAATCTTCTCCTCTGCAACTGATGAGACAAATTTAACCAAACTTATTCACAATCTTCATTAGGGTATCTAGTTTTTAAAATGTGTCCGATGACCCCGCCTGCTAACTTAGACGGCCGCCATGGCTAAAAAGAGAACATAGGGGTAAAATGCAGTTTTTGGCTTATATCTCTGAAACTTAAGCAAAAGTATAACAGTTGCATTATTTCATGCATCAATTGTAAACAAAAATATCAGGTGAGCAACACAGGCTCCTTGGAGCCTCTAGGTTAAAACTAGTGTTGCAAAAAAAAATCTATGTATGATATGTTGTTATTCGTTCTTTTGTTTGTTTTTTTTTTAATTATGATTTTTGTATTGCCTAATCTTCTTTCGATGTTTTATGCAAATTTTATTTGTCCGAAAAACACGTACACAATTTAGTGGGGGACTTGAAACATCGTCTTTTTATTACTTTTGAATACATTCTTACGTCATTTTAAAATTCAAATCATTCAATTAAAATTTTTGGGATAATATTTGATTTGGAAGAAATCCAATTTACCTGTTATTGCGTTAGAATCAATGCGCCTTCCTCCAATCAGTGTTAAAAGACATGTCCTTCCACAGTTCCTTTTGTATTTCAATTCCATTTGCAAAAAAAAACATAAGGGGCACTTTGATGTAGTACTCTTGGTGCATAGGTTCTTGTCAACGTCTCTGTGTATGCATTTGACGACGGCCAGTTTTAATATACTTATTTGCATACAGCCATAATTGTATGTGCATGAACTTGTGCGTGAACTTTCTAAGAATATATTTCACTTGTAAAGGAAATGTAGGTACCAAACAGTAGAAGCAACTAAAGGTCATTTAGAGATTACTTTCAGTTCTCTATCAATGGTTGTTTTATGTAATAGTTAAATAAATGGACAATCTCACGGAGTTTTATGACATTTTGCAAGTATCTAGAGCATGCGGAACTCATCTGACTGTAAAATCTAATAATGCATAAATAGAATATAGCAAAACGACAGACAACATCAATCCAAATCAAAGATCGCAAAAAAACATGTCTTTCAATAATTGTGACACAAACACGTCATAACATCAACCAGTTTATGCTTTTTTATACCAATGAAACTTGTGGTGTGTCAGGCAGTTTTCCTTTTCAACCTTGTTTGAGGATTTTTTTGGTTAAGTAAGTTAGTATAATATGAACATGCACACGGGTTAAGTATCGAATGATAAATAAAACAGTGTACAATGGAGCTAATGGTAGGTTACTACTGAGGAATGGAAAGTTGACAATTGGAAATCAAATATCGCCATGTTTCTCATAGATGTTACTTTGAAATCGTCAATCTGTGTCGATTTGAATTATTGATTTGTGTCAGTGGTATCCTTTAACTTCGAGTTCAATGGAAATATAAGATGAAAACATTTGTTGAAATGTGGTTTTGCTGATTGACAAGAAATCATCAACATATCTTAAGATGAAATTAAAGAAATTTTGATTGAAACTTAATCCTGCATAAACTGGAAAACTGCATGTGGTTGATATCATATGTAAACGGTACACTTGTATTGGGAATTACAGTGATTATTCTTTTGTTATGTATACTTTGTAAAACAAATAACGTCGTATTTACAAAATATTTGACCACCTACGGTATTGGATTCACTTTATTTTTATCAAGTATCACTTTGTACACATTTAGGTTTACATGAAGGTGCATTGAATCAGAAACCAAGTGATATCGAACTTCAACGATTTGTGTCACCGTGTGACGTTACAACAGTACGAGAGTTATCCATTCACCTTGGTATGACATTGAAAGAGTGGGAAGACCTCAGAGAAAATTATGATCGGATTGAGATTGTTAAATGTAGAATATTGGTCGACTGGAGAGAAAAACATAAAGGAAGATTTAGCAACATCGCAAAAGCTTTAAATGATATGAAACTCGATACCCATATGCTTTGTCGAGTAAGTATCTGGAAATATAGTACACTTTCTGTAAAATTGCATAATTTGGCTGTAGTCATATTTTGGATTATTTGGTGTCTAAAATGAAAGGACCGAAATTAAACACAGCAAACAAGTAAATGCAAGATGCAACTAAAATGAAAATAATGTTTCAATATGTAATTAAATTTGATGAGAAAAACATCAAGTACATTAATCACATAACTATGAGGGCCAAATGATGAAACAGTGTAATTAATTACCTTTTTTGCTATATTTGGCAGAGTAATTTAATTATAACAACATTTAATTTATAAAATCTAATCTTCAATGCATCTCTTCTCGTCAAATTTATTGCAATTAAGTATGACTTAATGTTTGTTTTAAAATTAATTCTAATTTAATATTTATCTGACCTTTGTTTGTCTTCATTAATCCCCAACAACTAATATTGAACAATAATTTCAGCTTCAATCAAAATATGATTTTTTCGTAAAAAAACCCACGCCATAATATTCCTTCGCCAAAATATGCCATTTACGATATTGTTTTTATCTGATGTTTTTTTTAATGGCACATGCACCGATAATCCTTTGAAAAGGGTCTATTATTTGTAAGTTGTGTAAACATTTGTTTTTGACTGAATCATTGATGTTGATGATTATCTGATTGAGTGTATAAAAGTATATCTGTTGAAGCTTGTAACCATTGTTTTTACTATTGGATTCTTGTTCAAAGAATAACTCTGAAAACATATCTATATCTATATGAAAACAATGTCTTTGGTCGTATTCGCATTGAGATAAACTTGAAGTGGTGTTAGTGTTTTGAACACGTAAACTAAACTGTACAACGTTCCCATTGATAAATATCCATCTTTACATGTAGTTTAAATCAGGTTTTGACGACATGCAGTCGATAGTCAATATTGGTGGTGTGCAGGTTAACGGTGCATAAAACTAGATTTTAAAGGAGTGAATTGTATGAGGAATATTTAAGGAAGAAATATCGATTGAAATAAAAATGATAAAATAATGTTTTGAATTAAGTTGTATATACCAATTTTTTGGTCCATAACTTAAAATAATGCTCTGTAAATATTGCGAAGGAAATAAAACATTTTCCCAAGAACTAGTACCTGTTCACGTGGGTATTTCAATTTTTGCAACATGAATTGGCCAATTAAGTAAATGCAATAGCTATTGTTCTCTGTCAATTAGACCTTTTAATTTCTCTTTGAAAAGCCAATCATTCATTGATCAATTTGGCTGTGAAAAATAAACTCCCAGTGATTAAGATGCATGTACCAATACTGAAAAAAAAATTTGTAAGAGCATGAGATAATAATTACTAATTTATGTCAATGATAGAATACTGAAGAACACATTTTAGTTTCATTTGGTCAATATTCAATTTCAAGCAATGTGCATTTAAATTACTCCTAGATTGTGACTGTGTGAACAATTATCATGTACTGGTAATTAAAACCGGTATACAGATGAGAACAAATTTAATGTGAATACAGTGTTTATTACATTAAACTAATTACACCCCGCTGCAAAGCAGGATGTATACTGTGTTATCCTTGTCTGTCCATGTGTCCGTCATTCCGTCCCATGAAATTTCCGTCTCCTTTTTCTCAGAAACTACAAATCAGAGCTTTCTCAAATGTATAATTAATAAAGAGATATGAAATTCATGTTATATGGCTTCATGACAGCATGCTTTATCGTGTGACGTGGTTTCAAAGTTATCTCTCATCAACTTCCTGTTGACCAAATACCTATGTACTATGAACATATAAGCCATGTATGAAAATTTGGTCACATTATTCTCATAAACTACAAATCAGAGCGTACTGAAATTTGTTATATGGTCCTATGATGCATGCAATACCGTGTGCCGCGGTTTCAAACTCATCGCTCATCATCTATCTGTTTACCGAATACTTATATGTTCTAAACATTGTGTTGAAGACCCATTGGTGGCATAGGGATGTTTTCTGTTCTTTGGTCGGGTTGTTATCTCTCTGACACATTCCCCGTTTCCATTTTCCATTTTATATTAGTCATGTATGACATTTTCGTCGCATATTTCTCAGAAACTTCTAATCAGAGTTTCTTTAAGATTGTTATATGACTTCATTTCAACATGCTATACCGTATGACGTGATTCTGATTCATCTTTCATCAACTTTCTGTTTACCAAATACTTACATATTCTAAAGATAATAGCCATGTTTGAAGTATCGTCATACTTTATTAGGGAACTACAAATCAGAGCAATCTGAAATTGTTTACATGGCGTCATCTCACCATGCTATACTGTGTGACAAGGTTTCAGTTTCATCGCTAATCAACTTCCTGTTTACTAAATACTTATATATTATAAAAACTGTCGTCATATGTTTCTAGGGAACTACAAATAAAACGTTCATTAATTCTGTAAGCAGGCTTCATGTGAACATACTTTACCGTGTAATGGGTTTTTTGAATAATTTCTCTTCAAATTCCTGTTAAATGAAAACTTGAAGCGGGGTATTCTTAAAACAATAACTCACAGTTCTACTTGTTACAAAATGGTTAACAGTTTGATGTATTTAAAACATGTCGTTTTTGAAATGAAAACAACACGTTATAAATATCATGCATCCGAAGCGCTTTTTCTTGATTTACCTTCATCAGGAACGCTCGAAGTCGACTATTTTAAAGCCATGGATGTATAAGAACATAAACAGTAGAAGAGCTATATGACGAAAAAAGGGCTTAAAAAAGCCAAACATACAAACGTATATAATCATATATGAAAATTTGGATATTTTTTACATTTGAAAGTTCAAAGATTCTGCACTTTAACAATTTCGTATCAATATAAAAATAAGGATATGTGTTAGGATTATTGCAAATGAGAAAAATATCCACAAACGTTCAAATGAAGTGGATTTAAGCAATTATAAACAACCGTATGGCCTTCAACCATGAGGAAAAAACACATACCGTATTGTCGGCTATAAAAGGCCCAGACATGAAAAATAAGAAACTGATAAAACTAACGACCTAATTTATAACAAAAAAAATTACGACATTTATGACAGACATGAAACAAAGAGACCCATTAAACTACAGGCTCCTGACTTGGGACAGGCACATAAAGAATGTGGCGGGGTTAAACATGTTTGAAGGCGCCAACCTTCCCCGAACCTGGGACAGTGGTGTAACTGCACAACATAAGAACAAACTATAAAAATGAGTTGAAAAGGGATATCATAAGCATGTTGAGTATGATTCAATGAAACAATGGTTCACATTTGATTTTAGTACACCCCACAGTGGTATAATGCTGCACTTAGAAGTAGTCATATGAAACTTATTTCCTTACATAATTGTGCGTAAACATAATATCAGAATATATGAGGTATACTTTAGCTAGATATGTTTTGGATAGCAACCCAATGACACAAAAAATAATCAGGTTGGTTTTATTCTATGTAACATAATCATTGCAGGCAAAAAGGATAAGAATAGAACGATGTGGTACGTATTTTTCTATTTATTTAAAGCTACAGTTGATTACTGATGTTCAAATGTCACAAAACATAGATAACCAGTGACAAACATTCCTTTATATATTACAAGTGATAAACAGTCATTGATATATAACCAGTGATAAACATTTATTGATATATAACGAGTGATAAACATTCCTTGATATATAACCAGTGATAAACATTCCTTTATATATAACCAGTGATAAACATTCATTGATATATAACCAGTGATAAACAAAATTCCTTGATATATAACCAGAGATAAACATTCATCGATATATAACCAGTGACAAACATTCCTTGATATATAACCAGTAATAAACATTCATTAATATATAACCAGTGATAAAAATGCCTTGATATATAACCAGTAATAAACATTCCTTTATATAACCAGTGATAAGCAATCCTAAATATATTACCAGGGATAAATATTCCTTGATATATAACCAGTGATACATGGTCCTAAATTTGTAACCAGTAACAAACATTCCTTTATGTGTAACACGTGATCAATATTCCTTGATCTTTAACCATTAACAGTCTTTGATCTTTTAACACTTGGTCTATAGCCCATAATAATATTATTTGATCTGTAAAACGTGACAAACATTCCTTGATTTATAAAAACTAATGAAAGATACCTGTTGATTGTAAGCATTGGCAAACGTTCCTGATGTACATTATAATAATCTAAACAATAAATTGAACCTTTATATTTTTGGTACGTCCGAAGTGCTCTTCTGAATTAACCTTAATCAAAAACGCGTAAACAAAAATTAAAAAGACAGAGTAGTTCGTATATTTGAAGAGCTATGTGAACAAAGGGGATCTAAATGGAATAGACAAAACCTTCTTAGGTACTTAGTAATCTTTACCTTAAGAACCGTAATTATAATTGACAAATTTATCAACGAACAGTTTAATTACTGTACGAGATATATATATATATAACCAGTAATAAAATTCCTAGATGTATATTGAGTCATAATCTGTGACCAATTTATAACTAGTAGTTATCATTCTTTGTCCTAGAACTAGTAACAAAAGTTCATTTATTTGTAACCAGTGCAAGATATTTGTGTATCTTAATAACCTATGTCAAACATTATTTATCTGTATTATATAATCAGTGACACACATTTTTGATTTTAACAAGTAAAAGTGTCTCTTTGATAATTAGTTTATATGATATTTTATAGAAAACACTTCACTTTTATTAATTTGGATCAAAGTTCTCAATCACTTGCACGAAGTGCTCCTTTTTGAGAAAGTTTAAATTTTATACATTTGAATAGGTCACTTTAATAGACCTTTCACATTTATTCACACTTAGTTTAATTTTGCAAGAACTCGAGAATATAAGATTTAGTGTTTCTAAGGCAAATTGCAGTCTTTTATCTCAATGTAATGTCCTGTTTAATATGTCTTGAGCTTGTTAATTCTTACAGAAAGCAGGGAGGAATACATGGATTTCATTCCAACCGATGAAATACTAGATGAACTGGCACAAGTTATAGGTGTAGTATCCTTCCAACTGGGTATAGAATTAGGATTATCTATAACATCATTAGACAATATACAGTACAACAATGGCCGGGATTTAGTGGCACAATGTAAAGCAATATTATTTCAATGGAGAAAAGATCAGAGCGTCCGACCAACCATAGAAGTTCTGCATAATGCTTTGGTAAATGTCGGAAAAGGATCTCAGTGTTTAGAGGAGATAATTAAAAGTAAAGGAGTGAAGAAATATATTCCCGAAGAGAAGGAAGTTGAAGTAGAGAAACAAGGAAAAGATAAAACATTCTTGAAAAAACTGAATCCTTTTAAGAAGAGGAAATTGTAAAAAAAAATTTAAGTTGGTATTATATATAACTAAAACATACACCATCCCGTTCTATGGCTGTGTGTGAACTTTACGACACAATTGAAATCGGTTTTGATTTAATTTTCATGCTAGGAAGATTCACATTCAACAGAATTAAATGTACTAAACATGGTTATTTAGACTGTTCAATTCAATTATATAGTTTAACATAAAAGCAGAATAACACAACACAGTCAAATTAAGTTGTTTAACTTTGATTGTTACCGAAATCAATTCATCCCCTCAGACAGTAGATCTAACTGAACAGTGCTTTGTAATATTGCAGTTATAATCATACTTTTTGAAGTCACAAACTTTGTGACGAAACGAAATACACCCTACAATCTTTCGAAATTCATTTTATATCGAATACGACTACGACTGCGAATACCTTATTAAATCCAATTAAAGGTTCCTTTTCCTAGCATAAACATATATATATATATATATATATATAAGTGCCTATAAATAGCAGCACATGACATACAAATCTATGGGAGTTTCCATTTCTTATTTCAAAACAAGTACTAATAAATCTTGACACTGATATATTAATATTTTCAGAATCCAAATTATGTATTATTTTCAAGGCAGCTAAATTCAAGTGCAACATATACATTGAGCTGCAAAAGTTTCTTATCATCTACATCCGATTTCACCTGGATAGATGCACGCTTGATAGAGCTAGTTAGTCTAGCGAAATATTGCGTTTATTTTCATCATTTTGTAAATATTTTAAACATTCTTATATTTACATACTAAATAGTGTGTTAAAATTACATTGTTAGGCAATCTATCTATATATATATATATATATATATATATATAGTTATAATTATACAGTATTATTTAAGATATATTACATTAAAAATTAATGAATAAATAAATAAATAACTATCCTCCATACAAGATAGGTTAAAAAATAAATAAATAAAATATTTACCATTTGTAATACTAAAAACATAAACTACATCACTACTATATGTATATTTAGTCACTGGAATGCAATTTTTTCTTATTTCAAAACAAGTACTAATAAATCTTGACACTGATATATTAATATTTTCAGAATCAGTGGACATTAACCAATTAAACTGTTCGTACTTTGAAATATATATATCCAACAACATACAGGTAACATTTTTCAGAAATTATACGATTTCTCGAAAAAAAAAAAGTAAAATAGCAAAACTACCGAACTCCAAAGAAGATTGAAAACGGAAGTCACTTAACAGATGGCAAAATCAAAAGCTCAAACACATCAAACTAATGGAAAATAACTGCCATATACCGGACTTCGTACAGATTAGACTCATTCAGTCACTAGTTATTTTAGCTACTAACATTTCATTTGCAGGTTTGAGACACATATTTACTCAAGTGGTAGGTCAATGATCTTTTGTATGCAGTTTTATTAGCATTGTCACATCTCATTTACATTGAGATTGTTTGGCTCTTCATGGTTCATTGACTTTGAATATTTTGCATAACTTACATGTACAAGTACGGCTATTTTGATTTCAACATTTGCATTTTACTATCCAAACAACAAAAAGGCGAGATATATCTCTGTGTTAACAGTTTATTTTCAATGACGCTTCCAGTTCAGTTCAACATATATGGATCTGATTTTTAGTACACCAGAGGTTACAATAGTTTATATAGAGCATTAAGAGCCTTCAAATAAGAGAGGTTGGATACGGGTTCCTGATTCCCACTTCCCTCCCCATCTACTCCAAATTCCCTCATACTCCCACTTCCCTCCTCCCTTACTTCCTCTAGAATACCTCTATTTTTGCTCCCCTCATCTCCCGGTTATCGCCCCCTGACTCCCGCTTCTCTCCCCCTCATTCTCATGTTTTCTAACCCTTGTCCACCCCCTCAAATAAATAAAATTACAATAGCATGAACCCCAAAAGGAGCGAGAACTGGTGCGTCTACAGGGTAAGCGTCTCCTGCTATGAATGCATCTTCTTAAAGCAAATTCACACTTAGTCAATAAAAGAAAATTGAAATAGGACGCACTCGGTAAATATACAGCTCAGACGACTTTTCTGTTATTTAAAGATCTAATGGCGACGGATATGTTCTAGTTGTCATAACCACAATCCCCTCCTCTGTTCTTCGAATGTGACTTATCGAATTAGACTTGTCACCAGGTTTGTACTTACACGAGCAAACCGACCGGTTCCACATGTGGAGTAGGATCTGTTGATCATCCCCGTTTATTGGTGAAGTTCGTGTTGCTCAGTTTTGAGTAATCTATGTTTAGTATTTTATACTGTTGTTTGTATTTTGGTCGTTGTTCGTCTTTTGCTATGGCATTGTAAGTTGTTTGGATATCATTTTTGGTATCTTTCGCCTCTTTTCTTAGACCTCGCGAAAATGATTCATTCAGATCATCTAAAACAACCAAATCGTGATGGTGACAATTAAATTGATGTAGTGTCAATTTCAGTCTTTCGTCCTCATAAATCTTTTTAAGCAGTGTGTGTCAGCAGCACATGTATGTGCCTGTTAAAAAGTTCGTGCAATGTGTACATGTAGGAGCATAAGGTATGAATTGAAATATGCAAACACCACACGATGATGATATGTTTCTGCTCACAATTGGACGTTGAGAATTGGAAAATTGAAATTATCACGTTTGTCACAAATTTTAATTTGAAATCGACCGTTTAAAAAACTCAAATTTATTTACTAGTGCAAGAAGCAAGAAGCAAGAAACAATAAAGCTGTAAGAGAGCACTGATTAACATTTTCGTGCATTACATTTCGATATGTGTTCCCCACAGACTATAACTTTGAAATTGGCCAAACGAGGTCAAAACTCGAACCTCATTTAATGCGAGCTGCAGTAAGACTAAATAGAATACACATATTATCAGTTTTGTCATTGCAACCACAGGGTGTCGCAGTTCCCAGTTCCCGAATCCAGTATTCTTCCTTTTGTCTACGGAGAAGAGTATTAGATACAGCGGTTTGAATTCAAAAGGTGTTTAAACCGTTAAGTATTATAAATTTAACACATTTCTGAATATTTTGCCAACTTCATTTTTTAAAACGTTATAGTGACAAAAGGAAAATACATAAATGATTAAATTATAACTAAAACATTACCAATACACTATTCAAAAGGAAAAGCAATATCTCGTATCAGGTCTGTATGATCTTAGGAAAAAACAGTCAGTTATTTTCTAAAAGTTTTTCTTTCACAATTAAACCAGGTTATTCAAAACCACATATGCCTCATGTAAAAAGACCTCATTTGCATGTTTATTATCCTTTAAGGTAGATGGGGTGTCTAAATTATAATCCATAGAATTCTTTCATAATTTGCCAACATGTAGTTTATATCATGCTTTTTTAAAAAAAATAATAAAAAGAATGGGTCACGGGCCTTATTTTCACGCTACAGGTTGTGCAAAATTGACAGATTTTGTATAGATTATGCATGGAAAACCCAATTTTCTGCCATAAAATGAAAACTACACCATAGAATTTTGAGATAAAATATGAGAAGATAGGTCTAATAGTATGCTTTCAGATAAGAAAAAGAAAAAATGGGGTCACCGGACCCGTTTTCTTGCTACATAATAAAATAGGTAAATTCCTAACACATTCTATTGTAAAAGTAACATTATGTGAATTAGCTGCCCTTACATTTGAGTTGCCTCCCCTTATGTGGCAAAGTTGGAAAAAATAGAATCAAACAAAAGTATTCTGTTTTTTTGTAAAATACAACCATAAATATGATAAAATATGTCATTTTCTATATTGAAATGAATATTCTTACACATGAATTACCACCTACTCTCACAATTTGCACCTTTTATTATAAATCTAGACCGACTGTTTTCTGGTATTTCAAAATCCAAGATGGAGGAAGACACCCTATCTACCTTAAGCTCAAGACTCACAGTGGTTTTCTTGCCAAACTCAAATAACATAATGTATAAAGGACTGAAGTGCAAACATCCAAAGGACACTCATGTTATTCGATTTTAATTTTGTTTTTCGGAATTCTCATTTATTAATGCTCTTCAACTTCGTAATATTTGATTTGGCTTTGCAACTGCTTTGATTCGGGTGTCACTGATTGTCTTATCGAGACGAAACACGCGTCTTGCGACAGGCGTACAAAATTATAAGTCTTGTATCTATGATGGTTTTTCCAGGTTTTTGTAAGTATAAAGGGATAAAAAAAAACCAATAGAAATAAATAGTCTTTTTGAATTTACCGAAGATAAAAAAAAAGGTCAGAAACTGAACAATACGCAGAAACTAGATAAGTTTCGCCTTGACATCGTCTTCTATTTGTCTTTAACTGTGATGAAAGAAGGAAAAACATGGTAGGTGTAATAAGTAATAAAACTAATGATAATGAAATAAGTGCTATCACGATTAGGTTGGTTTCTGAGATGAGGAAAAGTTCATCAATCTGTTGTTTAGAATGATTGTTAGGTGTATATATATATCCGTCAGAAAGCCTTCGAATGACCTTGGTCCCATTTCATGATTCATTAACTAATGTCAACTATTCGATAGAGGTCCGTTTCGCAGATACTGTAAGTTATTGGTCTACGGTTTGTAGTGTATTAAATGACAGTAAGATGTATAAGTTTCGTCTAACCTTAAATTAGTTGCTTCAGGATAAAGGGTCAATGATTGCATTTATAAGTTTACATGATAAGGTCCGTTCATATAATACTGTAAACGATAGGTCATCTGAATTTTTTATATAAAATAAATGTAGAGTACACATCCGAGATCTAGAATAACTAGGATGATTTAACCTTGGCCTTATTATCCTGCTTAACTAGTCAAAGTTAACTTCTCGTGTATGTGTCATTTTCTCATTTTCTGAAAGTACAAGTATTCCATATAAAGAATGACATTGACCTTGTATTCATATGTCTTCGTTAATATAAAATAAGGAGATATGGTATGATTCAGTTTATGTGGTACATTGTACTTGTTGTCATATATTGATCTTTAAAGCTTAAAACATCACATGCAATCATATATGTAATAAAAGACGCAAGCGAAACATATCTAAGAGTGCACTATGGTAACCTTAAAATATCTTTAAAGCATTGTTATGTAGATAACTTTTATGCTAAATTTTAATTGTAT